AATGATATTGAAATCCTAAAATAAAAAATTTATAGTAAGTAGGTCTCTAATAATTTTTTTGAAAACTAATTGTAAATATTAATTTAAATATTTATAAATTTAGGAGTTTTAATTACAAGTAAAACATTTAAATTTTAAATATAGCTCACGATTTACCATTAAGGTTTTTATTTACAAATGTTTGAATTATTATTTGCAACTTATTTTTAAAATTTTTTTATCAAACATATAATTATCATAAATTTCTTATTACGGGACTTTATTATCATTTTAGGTTGCATGTTATAGTAAAATTTTGAGGGGATGATTTGTTTATTAGCATTATATGAATTAAACTAAAATTAAAACTCATTTACTTTTAACAAGACAAAGGTAAATAAAAAAATATACATATAAAAAAAGAAAAAAATTAAAACTTAATATGCTATGGTTGAACAACTTTAAGCTGAAAACAATATTATTGATATTTTTAATGTTATATATATTTATTATTTTTTCCTATACATTATCCATTCAAATGATATTTGAAGTTGAATCAGACTTCAGTAATTTTTTAATTTTTATGTCATATAGTGCTGAATTAAGATGTATAAAAGCTCAAACGATAAAGGTGTATTTTAATTACAAAATCATGTAATTATATATAGAAAAAAAATAATACTCTCTCTGTTTAAAAATTTAAGGTATTTTTTAAGGAATTAGATACTAAAAAATATAAGATATTTTTAATCTTTTAAGGTGCAATTATTACCTTTTTTTTCAAGAGTGTCCTATTAATGAATGACTTTATATTTATTGTAGGGTGTTTAATAGGAGTAAATATAAAATAATATAATTTATTTAAAAGTAAGTAATTATTTTATTGGGAGTGAGATTCAGTTAAAAATTTCTTATATTTTTAAACAGAGCAAATATTATTTTTTTTTTCACAGGGACAACAACTCTTATTCCTCAGAATGAGGTTTGCTACATGCATCGTTGCTATACTTAGCTTACGCCTTATCAAAAATTAAATTAAATTTTATATAAATTAAAGAAAAACAAGAATTATAAATACTGATATGTAAGCATGCCCAAATCTTTCTATTAAGTAATTGATGATCGTAACCAAAGGTTATGAGTATTTATGATGTTTCTACACTTTTTTGACCTTGGCCAAATTTTTTTTTTTGACGGGCCTATGACGTTCGTAAAATTGATCCCTCATTAAATTAAGAAAATCATTACAATATATACGCATTAAACAGTAGTCTTTTATAATTCAATAAAATATATACCATTTGATAGAGATTTGAAATATATAATTTTGTTTCTCACACACACGTAATTTTGTGTGGTTAAAATTTGCATCATGTGTCGTTATCCTAGCTGTCATCTTTGTGCATGCATGTCATTATTAATTGATAATAATTAATAACGGCTTAATTAATTCCCCAGTAAGAATTATATTATATATAAATCATGAAACTGAGTCATCAATTTTTGTATACATGTAATCTACTTGATTATACTAATTTATATTGACAATTCCATAACAAGTAAGAGAAAAATGGCAAGAAAAAAAAAAATTATACGAGTGCTAAACAGTTGTTTAGCTTGGTTCTTAATCTGCGGAACAGTACAGTAGTGCTAAGCACATTAGTTACGCGCACGTCAGCGTTTGGGCTTGGTGCGGGTTGTTAATGCTTTGTATTATACTGTTTATAAATCACTTTTAATTGTAATATCAATAAATTAATTAATTAATTGATTTTAAAATTACACATTTTTTCATGTTTTTATCTTTATTTAACAAGGGGTTTCAATTAGAATTTTTTTATTAATTATTCCTACTAATTAAGAGATTTAAAAAAATATATCATTAATTATGTCTTGAAAGAATAAAAACTTTTTATATTTTTTAAACATTATATTTTTGAATAAAATGTCTTATGATATTAAACAAAGAAAGCATATGTTGTTATTATTATTATTTTGTTACACAAGTATTCTTATTAGAGTTAATTATGAGCATTGTACTTCCATAAAAAAGTTGAATCTCAATTCACTACTTTACAAGGGGTTAATCCTTTCCGTTCAATCTAACAGCATTTTAGTAGCAGTGATAATAGTTATAACAACAATAATAATAAGAGCAGCAGCAACTAACAAATTTAATCTTCATGATAAATCCTTGATGATTTAATTTAGAGGTCCCGAGCATGACCAAAAAAAAAAAAAGTAAGAGCAGCAGATCTTGATATGAGTGATGAGTAATATTGTTGTATTGTGTTGTTATCAATATAAGTTTGTTCTTATTACCATTTTAAATTTATAATGTCTCTCTTAAGTTTTCAAGTGAATAATTTGATTGTTGCGTCCACCCCATAGGGTGTTATATTAGCATCACCCTGTTAAGACAACAGTGACTAGTTTACGAGCAGCATTTCAAGTATTTGTTTGGCTTATTATATGATGCAGCCAAGTTAACTAATTATAATTCATGATCAAACTTGTATTTTTTTAATTATCATATATAATAATTTTTTTTTCATAATTTTAAAAGATTCCAATCAGATGGTAAAAAATTAATTCACATCCTCCAATCAAGGACAAAATAATCATCCTGCTCTGTTGTATTAAAATACTGAAAGCTAGTATTGGCTTACCTGTACATGGAGTGGATGGTGATCTATTAGCTAGAACTTAGAAGTAAGATGAATGCTTCTCTCAATTAGTAAACTTTAATAGATTGTTAAACATCGATGAAGACATTTTACCAACAATATATAATTATTATTACATGATAAATCAACCATCTTGGCTATAAATACCAATTTTATATGGTTAGCTTGTTTCTTTGGGTATATCAGTCAAAATCAATTGTCCATGGCTTCTAATAAATTAATTTTAAATTTCTAAGAAATAAATTAAAGTATATAGCTTCCAATAAAAAATATTTTTATGTCATTTTATACTAAAATATTCAAATAAAAATATATAAAAAGTAAAAAATATTAATTTATTTTTAAATTTTATGTCATTTTATACTAAAATACTATATATTGACCACATTATTATATTTATTTTTTAAAAAAATTAAAAATATTTATTTTTTCATAATTTTATTATTTTTAATCAAAAAAATATTTAAAATATATTTTAATATTAATTTTTATATTTTAAGAGTCAATTAATTTTTTTAAATTTTTTTGAGTCCTATACATCATTTAAATATACAAAAAATATATTTTATATTTTTTATAAAATAAAATAATTAATTTTAAAGTAAAAATAATTTTAAAAATAAAATTTGGGTATACATGAATTCTTGACTTTATTAATTAATAAATAAAATAATATTTTTAAATAATTATTTAGTTATCACCCACACTAAACTTAGTTAAAAATTAAGAATAAATTAGAGTAAATATCTCTTGTATGTAAAGGTTAAACAATATAAAAAGTTAAAAAAATAATTTCAAAAAAATATGTTACTTATAATTAAATGATTTTTTTTATGATATAATGATGATTATTTTTTTTCATATTTTTTAAAATTAAAAGTACAGTTTGCCCAAAAATTATTAAAAACATTGAACTAATTAGGACAATGTTTTTAAGTTACTGATCAAACTATGATTAAATTGAGATCAACTTGATCATAGTTAAAATAATATAATTTAATAAAAATATATAAAATATTTATATATAATTATGATAAGAGCAATATTTAAACAATTAAGATATTAATTTATAAGTAAATAAAATATTTATGAATAAATTAAAATAATACAACAAAATAGTAATAGAGTTACTTAAGTATAAAGTTGATAAATTATTATTTTTTATTCTTTTAAAGTTAAAATAATATTTTATGCTTAACAAAATTATTTAAAATTAAAATTAATTTAAAAATAAAAAATATTTTTAAAAAGTTTCATCTATTCGGGCTAGCCTAAATAGTTCAAAGCTTGAAGGTGCTAGAGCCAGGCTTAGCTATATAATTTTTTAGATAGGTTATGAAACTTTAAGTTCGATTCAAATAAAACTAGCTTGAATTGAGTCTGATTCAAATAAGCTCGGCCTATCTGAATTACCAACTATATCCATACATGATCTCATCTATCCATTTAATTACTTACTTGGTTTAATGGTAGAAAATTGTTAATTGTTGCATTAAACTAGATATATTATTCATTTAATTATTACCACAAATAAACATTATAATATTGTTTGCAAAAATATTTAAAATAATAATAAATGCATGGCAAAAGAACTAAATTACATGAAAACACAACATCGCACATGGAAAAAGTACTCAGACAGAGTATAAAAATGATCCAAATCCGATGCTGATAAGCATGGTAAACACTAAAATATTTTTAAAGAAGGCATAGTAAGAAATTTTTAAATTATAAACTAATATGGTTTATAATGATTCTCTCTGTTTTTGATTGGTTTCACAGGCTATTGATTGATTTTCATAGTTTGATTTTTCTTATAATTAAGTTTTGGTTCACCAATTTTTAAATTCGATCGCTTGGTCTAGTCCATTTTTCATAATCATAATAAAAGATATCTAATTTTAATTCTTTTGGTTTGAAAACATATTTGTTTCTAGTAAATGTCAGGGTGAAAAATCTATTTATCTTTTATTACTTACAAATATGTTTCTATTAAAATTAATTTTATTCAAAGTATGATTGAACATAAAATGTGAACACCAATTATAACTAAAATTTGAATTTTTATGTTAAAGGATTAGCCTTTTTTAATATACTCAATCCTTATTTGTTTTTTTTTTTTTTTTTTACTGGGAACAACAGCTTTTGCTTGTTAAAAATGTTTTTTAGCCATGGTCCTTTGATGGGGTGGAATGTGTAGCCCAAAAGCTTAAATGAAAGTTTACTTAGGCCCACATGGAAAGCGGACTACACTTGATCCATAGCCCAATTCCATCAATTTCATCATCTGGGGTTTTGGCTCTCGTACTATAAGTATGCATATTTGGGAACGGATTAGGGTTTTGTCTGAAGTTCAATAATACTCGTGCAATGGACGCCATCACGGAGGGCGTTAACAACATCAACATCTCAGATTCTTACAAAAAGAATCGCATTCAGGTCTCCAATACAAAGAAGCCCCTCTTCTTCTATGTTAATTTGGCCAAGGTTCGTTCCCTGCGTCTTCAAGTGTTTTTCTTTTTGTGATCTTTTCTTTTTTTCTTTTTCTTTTTTTGCGGAGTTTTATATGTATGTTGCTGTTCGCAAATTCTTTTTCTGATATAAACGTTTGAAGTTTGCGAGCTTCGTGTTCATATTTTTTCGGGGTTTTTTGGTTTGTTTAGTTTTTGCTTATACTTGTTATTATTGCAGAGGTATATGCAACAGCATAATGAGGTCGAGCTATCAGCACTAGGAATGGGTATGAAGTCCTGGAGCTAAATAGCTTTACTTATTTTGATTTTTAATCTCTCTTGCCTATGTTGAAGGAAGTAACAATAGTATGCTTGGATTAATATTAGTGAATGGAAGACCCAAGAATGTTCTGTATTTTGCTAAACTCAAGAATAGCATATTAACATTAATTGAATAGAAAATCTTACTTTTGGAAGTTTAGAGCTTTAGTTAACCACCAAATTTTCCGAGGCCGGTGTATGTTGGCCGGTTAGTGAAAGTGATTCTCCAGTTTAGGCTTCATTCGCTACCTCAGGGGCTCTCTTGGAGTTGGGTCCTGAATTCTGTGCATGAACACTTTCTTTTTTCTGAATAGCCTGTGGCGGAGCATATTAGTCATTAAATTGCTATGCAGTTTTGGTTGACTACTGTAGGCTATATGGTAACTTTTATGCTGACTTCGGGACTTGTCATTATAAGCCTAGTAACTTGGCGTTATCACCCCATATAAGTTTTGGATTGCAGACTATATGGTCATATGATGATGTTAGATAGTCTTTTATCTTGTACATTTTTTGATAATGGAAGACATTGTGTAGCAAATACCTCTTAAATGATGAGTTTCATATCAGAAAGGATTTATGTTAAAGTATGTTGTGGCCTGTACCATAATTACGGTTCCACTGTCAAAGCTTATTAATAATGCCTTGAGCTTTTATTTAGATTCCCCCACCCCTGTTCCACAATCCAATCTCTAGTGAGATGAATGTAACGTGGGTTTATGTATATGTGCTCGAGGCCAATGGAGTAAACTATTTATGCTACTATTATGAATAGAAATTATAAAGATTCTGTATTCGCTTCCTAGAGATTTTTTGGCGCTTCTTCCTATTTAAAATCATGTATAATTTTGAACTTGGACATTGATGCAAAGTGTATCTTATTTTAAGATTGGAGTCCTCCACATTTCAATTGTTCTATTAAATTGTGGCATTGATAACTGATGGTTCACTTTGACAAAGCATTAGAATTTATAGGTTAAGCAGGCACGCTCATTTTACTGAAATTAGAAGGCCATACCAGGTTGTTTATTATCTGGACTGTTAGATTGTTTCCTATTTCTGGTATGACATCCCAAAGACGTGTTAGTGTTTTTAATAATTTATATGAACCATTCCTTTCTAGTTTTATCCTTTCTGTTTTACCTTCCTTTATTAATTTTTTTTCCCAATAAATTCTGATTGTTTTCTATATATTTTCTATACAGCTATTGCCACGGTGGTGACTGTTGCAGAAATTTTGAAAAACAATGGGCTTGCGCTTGAGAAGAGTGAGCTCCTACTATCCGCTTTTTTTTTTTTTTTTCCTTCACTGTTTTGTGAAAGTGGTTGAAGAATCAAATTTGATTAATAGTGGAATTTTAATACAGAAATCATGACATCAACTGTTGAAATAAAGGATGACTCTAGAGGGAGACCTGTCCAGAAGGCCAAGGTGAGAAGATTTAGTCGTGCCCACTCGTTGAATCCACATGTCTATTGTTTGTCTTTAAACTTGCTCCAATATTTCTCATTTTCTGAAAAAAAAAAAATTGGTTCAGATTGAGATATTGCTTGGGAAAACGGCAAACTTTGATGAGTTGATGGCGGCTGCTGCAGCGGCTGCTGAAGATGGTGAAAATGGAGATGTTGATGAGCAGGGCGCATAATGTTGTTCAGACTTGCACCCTATCACGTTATGATGTGTAATATTGACTACCATATTTGTTTTTAGAACCTTGGAAGGAACCAGATAAGCGTTATAATTCATTGCGCTTTTTGGATGATTTTTTTCTTGTAATTTCGTTTTTTCTTTGAAAAATTGGTTCAATGATTCTTCACTATAGATAAATTCATTTTTTTTTTAAAGAAAAACCTAGAGTAGGCCATATGCTTTTGTATGGGAGTTCAAGATGTGTTGTGAATGGTGTGGCTTCTTGCAACTTCTATAAATATATTGATGGGATATTGATATTATTGATATGAATGGATATTGATGTTGATTGGGTATACTTGATGACCATACGTTGATATGGATACGTGGCGAACGGGTCACGATGGTGAGATAATGAGACGGTTAAATTGGTAAAATAGCTCTTGACAAAGGAGTATGTTAAAGCCAAATGTTGACTAGATAGATAGTACAACTAGAGCCATAAAGGAAAACTTCCAAGATAACACGCTAGAGAGTAGGAACGCAAGGAAACGTAAGGAGGTTTGGAAATGGGAATAACAAACCTAAAAAGCTAGAGCCTAGGTTAGACCTCGCAGGATCCGATATGAGCCGTACATTACAATTGAGTAGCAAAGTAAAATACGCATAATAAAGTGGAAAGAAACATCATCCCCAAGCTCTGACATGGAAAGCTGTGCAACATTTCCGAGAAAGCTCAATGTTGTTAGCTGACGTATGCCAAATTCTGTGTAGCTGAGCCATGTGCTGTGGCAGCTATCGCTCACTAGGTGGCTAAGAGCACGAATCAATCCCTCGTAGAAGCTGTCTTACTTCGAATGACAACGAAGCTGATATTGCATAGACAATGAGGACAAAGGTCGTGATGCTGGCATACACACATAAATTACATGGTAGCAAAACGCAACCTGGGAAATAAGTGAACATAAGCGGCAGCTATGTTTTTTGGGCCTCTAAGTGGCTTTTGAATGTTTAAAAAAGCTTGTACGCAGTAGTCGCTGAATGGATTAGAGATTTAATCGTATGTGATTGAGAGATAATACCCAATTATGTCAGTAGAAATTAAGGGTGTTTACCAGACTCGGACAATCTTGTCCTATGTCTCATCTTAGAAGATGAACATGATGAAATTTAATTTTTTTTAAAAATGATGATAATAATAGGAATTTATATTATTTGAGGTTATTTAAAAATAATAATATGGTTAGGCATTTAATTATGAATTAAAAACTTAACTTTAAAATTATATAAGAAATATTTTGTTAAGATATAATTTTAAAATTTTTTAAAAAATTATTATTAATGTGTGTGTATGAGTTAAAAAAAAAGAAAGAAAAGAAAAGAAAGTAAAAAAAAAGGGGAGGAGGTTTAGTCCCATATCGATTAGATGGGGAATGAAAGGCACCTCCTCATGTATAAAAAGAGGAGGTGCATTGTGGAGGAGTATGAGGAAATTTTTATTGCAATTTGTAAAAATTGCAACTAAAAGCCCAAAATGCAATTTGTAAAAATTACAAGTAATGGCCCAAAGGTTTGAATAATTAAATTTAAACTTATAGTTTTTTTAATATAATTTTGGGACCACAATCTTATTTTTATATTATTTTTCTCTCTTCCTCTCATGTTGCTCGGTGTTTTCTCGCAGGGGGGATTATTTTCTTTTTCTTCAAGTATATTCTAACTTTGCTGTTTAGATTAGCATTTAAAAATTTATTTAATTACAAAATTAATTTTATAGTTATTTTCTAAATAATATTAGCTTTCTAGTGATATGATTATTTTGTAGGATAGAGTAAATATTCAGATTAGAATTTTTCTATAGGATAGTTAATCTGATGATATGATAGATTAAAAATATAGGTTAAAACTCTTAGGGATATAATAAATATTATAGAATATTTTCTTGAGGTTGAAACTCATGTTTAAGAATTTTTGAGTTAAAATCTAGATCTATATGGTTGAATTTATGTGAAATCTGAGATGTAGGATAAATCTATGATTATTAAATATTTAAGTATGAATAGGTATTTTTGAGGTTATGAAAGGTGATTTGAGGCTTCAGGATAATTTTAAAATTTTTAATTTATTTTTGGATGAATTTTTAGAATATAGAAGGATGAAATTGTGATACTAGAAGTGATTTGAGGCTTAAAAATAATTTATTAGGGTACGAAAATTTTAGAAAAGAATTTGGGAAGTTAAATGAGGTATAAATCTTAAATTAGTGCCAATATGAATTTTAGATCTAAGACTTTCTAACTCTTTAATTTAGAGTTATTTATTAATTTTAATGTAAAATTAATATATAGTATTGTGAAATAATTATATAGATTATATTGACAAGGATAGTGGTGAAAGAGGAGTTGTGAAGGGAAACTTGTTATTCAAGACACAAGGTAACCATTATTAATGTGTTGTGATGGGTGTATTTGTGAATGGTTATGTGTTGCTTTATTATTTGGAAAAATTATGAATTATTAAAAATAAATACTGTTATATACTTATTTGAAATTATTGCCAAGTGGATCAAAAATTTATTTTTGTTTATCATGATGAGATATTATTGTTCGGATATATTCCTGTTTGGATATTTAAATGATGTTTGACTTGTCAGGGTATTTTAATATATGGTGTTAATAAAAATTTTTGTTTGGTTAATTATTACCACATGGTAAGCCCTCATTGGACCCAATGAGTGGCGTGTCGCTTGGTCCAACTCACCTTTGACCGGGTGATTTGGCGTCCGAGCATGGCGAAAGGAGGATATAAGATGCAGTCATGCAAATTAAATACTTATTCGGTTTGTTTGAAAATATTGTTCCGTTAAATGTTTTGTGTGCCCACTTAACAATCGCATGATTAGTTATAACCGTATGCATTATTACATATTAATTTTTGGTTACTGAGACTTTTAAGTCTCATTTCTCGTGGTTAATATTTTTACAGAAGCGAGTTCGGCCGAGAAAGCACCAGAGGTGTAATTATGGTATATGAGACACCATCTTTTACGTTGCCTCCTATTTTAGATTATGCAATGTATCTTGTGCCAACTTAGAACATTTCTTATTTTGACAACATGTAAACTCTAATGTTTTTTATTAAATGCATTTATATGACTAAGAGGATTATGTTTGTCGCTCTTGATTCATGACCTGATTTAAATATCATGCCATGAGGATCCTATCTATCCTTCATGGTTCTAATTATTTTTTTTTGAGATATTTTAAGACCTGTGGTATATTGTCTTGGATGTATCATGGTAAGAAAATTTTCTACCATGATAATGGTTTTAATAATTTGCGAAAAATCGGTTTGTATTTTTGAGGGTGTTACACCTTTCTTATTATATTCTCTTTCTTTAATATTCTTTTATAAATGAAGTATTAAATGAAGATCATTTGTGAATTTTTTATTTTTGTCTTAAAAAAATAACATTGTAAAGTGTATTTAATAAATTTTTATTGATATATTTGATTTTGTTTAAAAGTATCTAATAAATTTAAATGAGGCAAGTATTATATATTAATAAAAAATAATATGTATATTATATATAGGATGGAAGGAAGGTAGTCTAGTGGCCCACCCTATCCTGAACCATTTTTTGTCTAGTCTTGCAAAGTTCTGTCCTCCTTTTTAGATTATGATAGACTCATCCCGACATAGCTAGGACATGAATACCCATAGTAGAAATACAAATGAATGCGTATATTCACTAGCAAAAGAAGCTCATAATGTGACTACTGAGATGATTAGCAGAGAACCTCCTCCACAATGCAAGGAACTCATGAGGATTGATTTGATCAAGAATATGATAATCCCTAAGGTTAATGCTTTTCTTTTAATCTTTTTAAGATCACTTGTTAAGTGAATGGATTTAGACTACTTATCAATTTTTTTTTTTGAATAAGAAGACAACTACAGTTGATTAGGAAAAGAAATAGTAACATCATATAAATATCCATGAGAATTAAAATTTTCACTAACTAAGGACTTCCACCAAATCAACTATCTTTCCGAAAACTCTTCAAACCAGTGATAACCAAAATATAAAAGTAGATTATTGATATCACTCCACAGCATCCGTGTTTATGGGCTTGAAGTAGCTCTACTCAAAAGATTGTTGATTTGCTTAGGGTTTTTAAACACTAGTAATATTTGAGAAACCTGATGGCCCAAAGTCCTCTAAATTAGTAATCCATTTAATAGTTGATCTTAGTTCTTTCATGGAAAAAAACAAAGGATCAGTAGTGCAATGAGTTTACTTATGGATTCTTGCATTAATGAAGCTATAGTCTTTGAAAAAGAGAATTGTCATCTCTCTTAAATTTGATCCTGAGTTGCAAGAAATCTTGTGGTAGCTTAGAAATAGAAACAATCCCCTTCTAGCTCTAGCTTTGCAAAATTTGAACTTCATACCTTGAGATGCACAATGTAAAACAGGTGCTTTAGAATCAGTTGTAGCTATCAAAAGTGATTAAATGAGCCATTTGACTTTTTTTGTTACCTCAGAAGGATGAACTTCTTTCTATTCATGCTTGGCTAAATTCCTGAACTCCCAAATTATTTATATTGTCAAGGGCACCTCCACCTCCTTAAGAATATGCATATTAGATGGAATTGATTCATCGGACTTGATCTAGAAAGAAATGAAATTGCTAGTATTCTCCATAGCACCTGATATGATCAAACAAGATGATGCATACTAAATTGCTCTTGCAAAGTCACAAAAGAGAAATCTATTATTCAAAGACTCGCTATGATTACTACAAAGTGAACAAATTCAGGATACTTGCAGGTGATGCTTCCACAAAAAAATTGGACTTGGAATAGCTTCATTCAAAACCTTCCAAATAAATAACAGTGTACTATGAGGCAATTTAATTTTCTAGAAGAACTTCCAATTGATGTCAAGTGAAGATGCATTAGCAATTGATGAGCCATGTGAGATAAGATGGTACCCTTTCTTGATAGAATAATTACCCCTAATTGATTTCGTCCATATCAAGCAATCTTCCTGGTTGAAAAAAAGAGAAGGTTGTGCTTAAAGTTTCCTCTCTGACTCGGCTATCATATGAAGAATTTAAAAATTGCTCTTTCCATGTAGCACGTTCCTTGTCGAAAAGATTAACCATAGAGAGATTCCTGTGAACTAAACTATCCCTCAAGGGAAACCACTTCATGTGGTCAATTGGAATTGAAGTTCCATCTCCAACTTACCATTTCAAGCAGTCCGAAATCACATAGGAAACCTTAAGAACATCCTTCGTGATTTGGGAATAATTATTTTTTTGGCTTGCAATCACCTTTCAGAGTTGAGTTCAGATATTTAACTTTCAAAGTTTTCCCAATACGATAATTATCATCCACAGAAACAATTCTCCTGGACTGTTTTGCAAGTAAAACCTTGGTTAAATGGAATGGTTTGAGACCAAGACCACCAGTCCTGTTAGACTTACAAAGGCTCCTCCAAGATGATAAATGCACTCTTTTGATTCCTTCAGAAGAGTATCCCTAGAAGAAGTTTGCGCAATTAGAATCAAGTTTTGATGCAAGATTCTTTGGAAAGAGAAAGCAAGACAGCTGATAAATACTTGAAGAAGCTAAAATAGACTTGATAAGAGTCAATCTTGAGACAAAAGAGAAGATTTCCATCCACCAAACTTAGACTGAAATTTCTGCAAAACCTCCCTAAACATTCTTTGTTTTTCAGTTTCATTATTAGTAAACATGCCAAGGTATTTTCCAAGAGAGTCAAGTGTTTCTAACAATTAGCATCTTGGCCCATCTATCTTTGCTAACAGTTAGCATCTTGGCCCATCTATCTTTGTCTTCAAGAGAAGAATTTGGGCTAAAAATGACTTTAGATTTGTTGAAATTAACTTATTGGCCAAAAAAGTGGCAATAATTCGCAACAGTGCTCTTCACCAATTGACATTGTGCGTCTTTAGCTTTGAAGAAAAGAAAAGTGTCATCAGCGTAACTAAGGTGAGTTAATGGATAAACTCTTCTATAAATTTTGATGCCTTCCCATTTTCTATTATCCTCCATTTTGGCAATTGCACAAGACAGGACATTAGCACAGATAATAAAAAGATAAGGAGATAAAGGATCCCCTTATCAAATTTAAATCCATAATATATCTATTGTGCAAGGAAAATGATAATGATTGAATTCTTAAAGACACTAAACCCAAAGGAGTAAAGGACTTCATTCCCTAGGTTTCGAGCACAAAAATAAATTAATTTTATCAATTAGCCGAAGGAATTCTTTGACCTTTGTCAATTTTTTTTTTGAATATTTTACAAATATTTCAAGTCAATGTAAATGATTACTTCCCTCACTCAGGTTATTCTTTTTTTTTTTGGGGTTAAGTAAGGCAATTTGCAAAAACATGATTGAATTTACTACTCCCTCCATCCCAAATTATATAACATTTTTAAAGGAGTTTCTCAATTTCAAAATATAAGATAAATTGAATAAATTAATATTTCATTAAATGCATTAATTTTAATGCTACTCTTTTTCTCTTTATAATTAATTTTTATCCTTTTTCTTTTCAATATAGTAAATTATGGTTATTTTTAAAATTTTATATTTTTATTCGTTAAATGTATTTAATGAGAATTATTAATATGTGAGATTTTATCTAAAAGTATATTATAATTTAAAATAGAGGAAGTATAAAAGACTATCTCCTTACCACATGATAAATTAAATTTTAAATTTTTGTTGAGAGAGTTGTTCATGCCTCAAACATGATTACATCTAATATAAGAGATTTGTGTTGCACTTTAGTTAAATTTAATATGCACCTCAATTGACATTTTTTTTAAAATGTGTGATGTTTAATAATAATAGGAAAAAGTGATCTTTTAGTCCTTTAACTTTTAATTCATTTGTAATTCAATCTCTCAACTATGACACGTTATAATTTAGTCCTTCAACTATGACTCGCTTATGACTTAATCCCTCAACTTTTGAATCACTTACAAATTAGTTCCTGAATTTTTGTTAATTTTTTTTATATTAGCTTATATCTTACATCAATAAGCAAAAGAAGGGTATTTTAGAATAATAGATGAGCATTTTTTTATCCCTCTTATTTGATAATTTTTTTTTAAAATTAAAAAATAAGGATCAAATTTTAGGTGAATCAAAAGTTGAGGGATTGAATCGCAGCGAGTTACAGTTGAGGGATTGAGTTGTAGAGAATCATAATTGAGAGACTGAGTTATAAATGAGTTAAAAGTTAAAGGATTAAAAGATTAATTTTTTTATAATAATAATACCTTTTCGGGCTTTTTGGCTTAATATCAAGTGTAGCATCTATTTTTATAATAATAATAATAATAATAATAATAATATGGGTTTATGTAATGTATTAATTGATGCGTCAGAAAATCACGCGGACATGAGGACAATGAAATCTGTCGGAGAAGAATTCACTGAGACTCGAAGGAGAGCCCCAAGCTTCGGAGGCATACCACTCTGCATCTCATTCAATCAAAGCGGATCTGTTCATCGCTTTCGATTTCTGTCTCAAATGGTCTTTTTGTCTGTTAGACCCTTGTTTTGCGTCCTCGCGTTCACGCTCTCTCTCCTCCTTATTCTTGCATTTCTATCGTCGTCTTCCCCTTTCTCCCTCTATCGGACTTCTTCGGATTCGGCCGTGTACGTCCGTAATTCTACGCTTTATTTGTTTATTTTGAATTTATTTGGATGTGGGTGATGGAATCATTAGATTTATTCTTGAAATAGATAGAATAGGAAAGAAGAAAGAGAACAGTAACTGAGAGTCTTCGATTTGAAATTTAACATCTTTTGAAGCTATCATTTTTTGGTTCTTGATGCTTTTAAGTTGGGAATGCAGAGGGGAGGGAGATATATGGAGTGTTCGGCGCCTCGTCGAGTGGAGACCTTGCACATGGTGGACGCAAGGACGCCAAAGAGGTACATGTTACTTAAAACGGCTATTCAAGATTTTTGTTGGTTGAAAGTTGATTGTTGTTAGACTTTGGGGATTGCTGAATTTATTTGGGTAAAATGAATCCGAGTTTGCTTAGCATCTGATGAAAAATTTTGGTAGGAGCTCCCATTGCATTCGGGAATAGTTAGAAGTTACCGTTGGGAGGTCGAAAAAAATTATATCCTGAAACAGATGTTTTTATGTTAAGGGGAAGTTTTACTGGTATTTCATGCATTCATTTAATGATCGGAATTTAGGGCATTGGCCTGGAAATAAGTTTGTTATTTATAAGTGCCCGTCAGTGAGTAGGTTTAAGTTGGTTAGAAGATTGGGTTAACTTTTTATTTTCTGAATCAACCGTAATTGGGTTCATTGCAGACAATTGCTTTCGTTTTTTCTTGAAATGCTGCAGCTCCTCTACCTTTAGAAACCAATGGATATATCAGGGTGGATTGCTACGGTGGCCTCAACCAGATGCGAAGAGATGTGAGTTTTTGAAGAAAACTCCTGAATTTCAACTTCCCAATCCATGTAGAGGAACTTTTGATCTCCCTGTTGCTCTCTTAAAATAGTGTTATAGTAATACTATCTATTGGTGAATGCAGTTTTGTGATGGTGTGGGCATTGCTCGTCTGTTAAATGCAACCCTTGTCCTGCCAAAGTTTGAAGTGGCTTCATATTGGAATGAAACAAGGTTATTCATCTTTCTGTTTATACAAAGTAATAGTAATTAAAAGTAATTTTTCTGTCTTCTGTGTAAAATCTTTCTAATTTGCATTTTTTGGTAGTGATGTCCATCCGTAGGTTAGTAAATTATATTGTCGTCTAACCTAAAACTGCTTCTGAATACTTGGTTCCATTGCAGTGGTTTTGCAGATGTATTTGATGTCGACTACTTCATTCAACAGATGAATGGCTTTGTTAAGGTTGTCAAAGAGTTGCCACCAGAGATTGCATCAAAAGAACCCGTCCCAGTGGATTGTAGCAAACGGAAAGGCCAATTCGATTATGTTGAAAGTGTTCTTCCGGCTCTATTAGAGCATAGATATATTTCCTTCACGCCAGCAATGTCCCAACGAAGGGACAGGTATGTATATTTTGAGTCCTTATTCCCTGGACAACCCCCACCTTTTTTTTCCTTCTTAAAGAATACAGCGTTACACTGGAAATTAGATCATAACAGAACATTTTGGATATTGATGATTTGAAGAATTTCACGAGGCCTCTGGGTTTACTCTTATTTTTCCTTCCTTTCTCCCCTTTTCTAGGTAGCGGAACCCAATGCTTTTTTATGCTAATGCTTATAATGATTCATTCGATGGTTGCATCTTAAAAGTAAATCCTTTTCCCTGTCAGCATATAAGATAGCTATCAATCAGTTTGCCTAATAGATTGGCTCCTCTGCTCATAAATAATATTTTGATCATTTTCTATTCATAGTTGAGGGAAAATTTAGATTGAGCTGAAATAATTACTTTTTCGTGTGACTATTCCAGCACTTTTAAAAACCTCGCCCATTCTAATCATTGTAGGTTGCGTTTATTTCAACATCTTTATTTATAATTTCCTGAATCATATAGCATAAACTAGGACAAAAACATGTCTTTTAAAAAAAAAAAGCCCTTCCCGTTACCTTCCTCTCGTTCGTTCAGTTATAATCAACTTTGGCAGTTCTTCAAAATTCTTTTGGCCCTCATTTGCAGGTACCCTCTATATGCAAAAGCCGCTCTTTGTCAAGCATGTTATAAGGCATTACGTCTTACAAGATCCCTGGAAATGAAAGCCTCTGAGCTTCTTCAAGCTATCCCAAAACCCTTTCTCTCACTTCACCTTCGTTTTGAACCAGACATGGTTGCTTATTCTCAGTGCGAGTACCCAGGCCTTTCTCCTGTCTCCATCAAAGCCATAGAAGAAGCACCGCAAGGTGACAGAAAACCATGGACTGGTGAGTTAGCCCGCACTTGGAGAAGACGGGGGAAATGCCCGCTTACACCAAATGAGACGGCTTTAATACTTCAAGCTCTTTCCATCCCAACAAGCACAAATATATATCTTGCGGCTGGGGATGGTCTGATGGAAATTGAAGGGTTGACAGCTACTTACACTAACATATTTACTAAGTCTAGCCTTCTGAGTAATGAGGATTTCACAAACATGCATGGCAATACTAAAGCTGCTTTAGATTATTATGTATCTATTAATAGTGATTCTTATATAGCTACATATTTTGGGAACATGGATAAGATGGTTGCAGCAATGAGAACCTTCACGGGGCAGTATAAAACTCTTTTTTTGAGTAGAAGAGCTTTTGCAGAATTAACCTTTCAGAGGCTGAGGGAAAAGGAGTTGATGCAAGCTCTATGGAAGGTTCATAGAGATGATTTTGCCATGGGAAGGGGATCTGCTCTGCCTGACTGCTTTTGCGAATTTAAGTTGTGACTTTGGATGTCATTAATCCTTTTGGCTGTATGTTTCACTTTTCTGGAAGGAAACCCTCGCCGTCTTTCTTTTAGGGTGTGTATTCTTTCATAATTCAGTTAAGCTTCACTTTACCTGAAGGGAAATCTCTGGCTTTTTTGAGTTTGTGTACGACTGTCACTAAATATTGACTTGGTATAACATGAAAGGTCACACAGGTCAGAATACTCATTTATACCTTTATTTCTTCAGTACTCTACACTATCTAAAATAATATACGTAGTTAGGGCCCTTAAGGAGACATAATGGTAATGGCATCTCTACATTTGGAAACCAGTCATTAATCTTCTACAAATAATGAATGTTGTGTTTTCCCCCCCTTTTTCTTTTTGTGTTACATCAAAAGGATTCAAACCACTAACCATTACCCATATTTAATCTAATTCTTGTCACTTGAGCTAGTCTTGTGTTAGTATAGTGGCATGAAAATCCTGTTGATCAGAATTCCATTGTCGTTGCCTTTTATATATATGCCTTGTAAAAACACAATGTTCTGTGTTCTTCCTACTCAACGGGATATTGAATACAACAGATAATGAAATGCTAGCGTGTGCCATATATACAACCTCTTCATTTGAAGGTATGATAACTATAAATATTTCAAAATTAACCCTTCATTTTTTGGGGGTAATATTAGTCAAGCCTGAGTTACCATAATACTAGATGAAAGTAAGCTTCAAACCTGATTCAAGCAACTAACCAACCGACAAGGCGTCTGAGAGATTAAAAATGAAATAAAAACCCACTCACTACTCGGAATCAACTCTAACGTTATGTTGTCTACCACTTAAAAAGATGGTACAAGATGGGCGGATGGCACCTTCAAGAAAGTGATAGTATCTGTTCACCATATGAAACTGCAGATCCACCAAAACATGATTGAGATTTCTGGTTTAATCTTTTGAAGTTATCACGAGCAATCCCAAAGCTCCAATGAGAATATACTATAAGAAAAAAGAAAGAAAAGACAAGAAAAAAGAGGTTAGTGCATTCCAAATTAAATGATGTGACTTTTTTTCTAACTATAAAATGGCATAGGAAAACAAACCTTGATGATAGGCTTTTCAGTCATGATAATCGTCACCCAACCAACATAAGGCAAGAACCTGCCCAAGAGAAGTTTAAGCAACGGCACATAAAAAGTATCTTTTATTCGGACATGTTTTAAATTTTCAGAAAATAGGTAGAGCTATAGAAATCTTGTAGGCTAAACAAGGATTAGCCCCTGCCCTGGTGCCCTGAGCAATCACGTTGAAAACCAAATTTCTTTCTTTTTTTGGTCAAAAAGGCCAAAATTCCAGATATTGATAGTTCACTTTTATTATCTTCTAGTGCGCATGAAGTATGTAGCCAGAAATGCACGAAACTTTATCATGCAGAAGTGTTATTATTTTAGTTGGAGAATGAAGGCATATAATCTAAATATTGCTACTGACTACTCTGGTAGCTCTATCATAAAAGCAATAGCCAATAACTTCTTGAAGACAAATTTTCCAAACAAAGCAGCAGTTAAAATGGAGCAATTGTATCTGGAAGGGAGAAATCTTATACCCAATAGCTCTACCCATAATGTGATGCCTTTGTAGCCAGAGTTGGCCGTGAGCATAGAGTAGCCTGTCATCCCCATAATTATTATCTCCTGTGGAAGACAAGAAGATATATGAAGGGAGTATATCATGGCTATAAATTATTAGCATATGAATAGACACATAAAAGTACAAAGCAATGAAAAAAATTATGAAATGCCACATTTTGGAGAAAAATGTGTTTCAAAAACATCGTCATGGTTAGGACAAGGATAATTAAAGACAGGTTCACAGCACAACAAAGATAAACAAGTCACTGCCTTTGGTGAGAACATCAACCTCCCCCGTATCGTTTCGTTCATGCACCTACAAAATAAACATTGATAAGGATCTATGAAACATGGTAATACCGTAATATTAATTTTGAGTTAAATCAATTGAAAGCATAAAAATATTTAAGCCCTGAAAATAATTTTGCACTAGGGCTTTATGTAGTTTCTTAAACTGGGCAAGTTCAATTTGTTGTAATTCTTTCCTCGCCATTTCATTGGTAGTCAATCACACACTATTACTGAGACAAAAATTAAATAACAGAAAGATATCCAGTGCCAGATACAAGTGAGTAAAAATTTCAAAGGTGCTGAACAGAAAGCCCAACATTTTGTTTAATTTGTCAACACTTTACAGTTGCCTCATTAAACGGTTCAAGATGTTTTTTCTTCAATAAACATAGGCTTACAGATCCAAGAGAGGGCAAAATCCTTCTTTAACAGCTTATAATTATATGTGCCTACAATTGTTCAGTGCATCATTTTTTATCAGATGTCCTGTCAAAAGATAAATGAGTCCAAGCACATGATGCCACTAACTTTCAAGAGTGACATTAAGTTAGGGTCAGTTTAAACCAATCTATGACCAAAGGAGCACTTCACAAAAATAATACAAAGTATAGCCAACATATCATATTTACCTTGATTACCCGATGAACAATTGGAATCTCACGGCCCTAAATAAAAAAGTTTATGTCAATTAACCATGACAGAAAAGATAGGAAACTAGTGAGACAGAATAGGAAGCAGCAAAGAAACACAATGTCAACAAAATCTGAGATTGTAGTACACAATCACATGTTCATAATATTCTACAAAATAGCATCACTAGTTTTATTAAAATTAATTTTCAAAACCAGACACAAAATATACAAAGAAAAGGGAAAATGTGATAAAGAAAAAGGAAAATCAGAGAAATTTTAACTTGATATTCCAATGGTTACAAAAAGTTCTTCACCAACATGAAAGAGCAGGGTATAGAAATTAAAACGGGGGAAAAGCTCTTGATGAAAGAAGTCTTATATGATATGGTGATATAAATATGAAGAGAACCAAATACAAGTTAAAACTGACAGAGTACTTACATCAACATTAAATACAACAATTTCTCCTGTACGAATTGGATCTTTACTCATATGCAAGAATAAGATGTCTCCCTGAATATAACATGAAATAACATTTGTTAACTGAAATGAAAGTAGAAACAGAAAAAATTTATGGACAAAAGCCCCTCACTACGTGCTTAAGTGATATTAGACAAACAACAAGATTCTGGACATTAGGACTCAACACACATGATAGTAACAATTGCATAAGAATTTTATACATCTAGTCAACTAACGGGGATTCACTCAGTAGATTGACTTACACGCTTGAACCCCGGTTCCATACTCCCAGAAAGAACAACAACAACAGGAGATTCACTGCCAGTAATGCACATTAATGCCTTCCATATTATCAAAGCGGATGTCACAATCAAGCCTGTTACAGAATGTAGACTAATTCAGTAGACATAAGTCTAAACATCAGAAACAAGAATGTTTTAGGTTCGTGTGGCAAACTCTACATAATTTATATGGATGATCTAGCAATAGAATATGCATTCAGCAGAAATCTTGGCAGGCTTCTTCACAATTCCCCCCCTTTCCCCCCAAGAATCATCGCATAAACCAAAATTTTAAACATCACCGAGTCCGCCCCCTAATTTCTCATTCCGCCTATAAACTATGGGACCGGGCAGCCCCAAAGATAACCCTTTTAACAAAAAGCCTTAGAATACCTCAATTTCCATGAGGACTCAAAGTCTCCATATGACAATAAGGGTCATAACAACAGCTCCTACATAAAATAACCACAAGCAACGATCCTTTAAAAGACAGTACTTTTCTCAACTTCTTCTTGCTCAAATGAAATATATAGTCTTATGTTCTTCCCGACTTGTTAATTGGAAAAAACTTAAGATAAAATTAAGCATATTAATAAAAAAAAAAGTCAAGGTAATTTAATCGAAAGCTTCAAATTTCTTTACTTCACAGCTACTCACAACATTGCAGGTCCCAGAGAATACAGAAAACACGAAGTCACACCACAGGCGCACACAAAGAAAGGGAGTAGAAGAACGAACCGAGACTAACAGCCTGAGTGAGGGCCTGGCGGATCTGAATAGATTTAATGGAGTCCACCGTCTCACCAATCCAACCCATGATCTCTTCTTTTCGATACGGCAATTCGATATCTGTGTCTACTAGCACTAATAGCTATACGAATGTGGCGTCGACTTCCCCGCTTTCGTAACTCGCCTTTTCTCGCGGAGCAAGCACAGGGCACGGCTATTATTATAATATAATATAATAAACAATCCAATATGTTGAAGAGGGCTATTTTTCAGGGAAAATGACGCAGAAAGACCAATGTAGAAAATCGATGACGTTCAAAGACCACGTCCTCTTATTTTTATTATGAAGCATATATAATTATTTCACGTGAGTTAAGTCATTAAATATGTTTTAAAATAAAAAAATTTAATTTAATTTTATTAAAAATAAAATATATATACAATCTATAATAAGTTATAAAATTAAATTTATAATAGGATAGAATAAAAAATAATATTTCCTCGATTAAAAAATGTAAGGCATTTTTAATTGAATCTTACCCTCAATAAAATAATTATCTACTTTTAAACTAATCCTATCTATTTATATTTTTTTCTATTAAATACTCTATAATAAATATAAAGTTATTATTAATAAAGATATTTAAAAAAAGATAATAATTACATTTTGAAAGACTAAAAATATTTTATATTTTTAAATATTCAACTCCTCAAAAAATACCTTATATTTTTAAACAGAGGAAGTAAATAACTTTCTTTCTACTTTTATATTAAAAAATATCTTTATGAAGGAAAGGAGAAAACTAGAAAGTGTCATCAAAACAAGAAATTTCATCTAGATTTAGATTAGTGTAGTGTAGTTGAGGAGTATTTGACCCATATCAAATAGCTTTGTACTCTATTCTATTCATAAATGTAAATTATCTTATCCAAAGAATTGTACTTTTTATGAATTATTTTTAATTAAAAATAGATAATTAACCTTTTTTTTTAATTTCGCTCTTTCACAACTTACTGTGAGATATGAGAAATGAATTATTTTTAAAGATATGCTAGAAAATTTCTTCAAAAAAATTACATATAAGTTTTAATTGTGTTGTCAATGGTATTATTTCAGTTGTTAATGAATTTTATAATAATTAATTTTTTTATATAGAACTTCAAGATAATTCTCCCAATTTCTTTCTTTTTTCCAGACAACAACAATAATTTAACTGTATTTCATTCTAACAAGATATATATAAGAGGAGGGGTGTAAATGCTTAAAAAATATTTGAAGATTAATATTAAATATTTGTTTGAACAACGAAAATTAATATTAAATATAAAAAACCACTGCATATTCCTTTTACTTTGAGTCTATAATATAAAATAAAATTACTAAAGGTGGGGTCAAAACAAAATAACGTGGTAGAATAATTTTATTTTCATTATATACATATTTTTATATTTTTATTATGAGTCATTTCTAACTATCTTACCTAAATTAAGGAAAAGTAATTAAGTTATTAATTTTATTTGAAAATAAAATAAATTTATAATTTTACTTTATTTAAATACAAAATTTTAAATTTATTTTACATTCTCTTTCATAATAAATGAGTTTAAATAAGAATTATATTAAAAAAATATAATTAATAATATACCTTATATTAAGGACAAAAAATGGTTTTGAAATGCATCATGGAATGAGGAGAAGATAGAACATATAACATATATATATATATATATATATATATTAATATTAATTTAAATTGATGATTGCATGTTAATAATTTTTTTTTGGAATTAGAAAAAAAATAAGTAATAATAGTATGGATATTACAAGCAGATTGAACCCGACATCACACCTAAAGGGAACATAGATATTATTAGACTACAAATTAATAACTTCTCCCTTCAATTTAAAATATAAGTTTTTTTTTAAATTTACATATTAATAAATTTTAAATTTTCATAAAATTATATATTATTTTTCCTTTTTATTCCTAACTCAAATTCAAATTATTAAAGCGTTTCATGGTAGGTGAGAAATACGCTTATACAAATATTTAAGTTAATAAATACAAAGAATAAAATAATTATTTTTTTAATATATATTAAGCTCGTTATATTTAAACCAAAATTAATTAGTGAAAATGCTTATATTTTAAAGGGAGTAGTTATTGGCACATGACACCTTAACTCTAAAATGAAAAAAAAAAAAAAACACGAAAAGGAAAAGACTATTTACTTAGAATGTGAAAACGGAACAACACAAAGACAAGAACATTGTTGTATAGAAAGATCTTGTTCTTCCGAAAAATAAAAAAGATCTTGAGCAGCAAACGCTCACGTCCTCAGATAAAACGTGTTATTTTCAGCCTTTCTTTCTTCTTGAAGTATACAAGGTTGAGGGTTTGCGTTTGCGGTCTTAGTCTCTGCCGTAGTTGTGCTCTCTCTCACCTCCTATGGCTCTTCAGCTTCCCGCTTCCATTGGGCGCTTCAACTTAACCGTCCGATCACGTCCCGTTGTCGTTGCCCGCAGAATCAACACCTTCGCTGCACTATCGCCGCCGCCAACCGATGCCATCAACTGGGTTGAAACAACTTCCGGTTTCTTTAAACAGGACAAACGACCCATCATGCTATTCGATGGTAATTAAATCAGCTTCACTCTTTTCTCCCCCTTCAAATTTCCAACACAAACCAATATGAAACGTATAATTACGCAGTAGAGGTGCTTGATGATGAAATTCCATTGGAGCAAACTGGATTTATAGATCAGTGTAGTTTCATCTTTTCAGATTTTTTTTTTTTGAAGTCTACCAGTTAGTTTCTGAAAACATCTACTTCCTTGCAAGCATATCAGGGCATCCCAGTTGCTATAGTAAGGTCTACTTGGCCAGGGAGTATGAGTTTGAGGAATTAACGATTTTCCATAATATGAAATCTCGAAATTCTTTTCCTGTAGTCAAATCAACAAAAAGCGAACAAATTACACCCACACCTACGGACCTCAATTCTTATTCTGATTTCAAGTTATGAGATAGGGGAACTCATTCCCTGGAGAAATTTCATGTAGCTGGCAATTTTTCGATAACTATGGAGCATTTGATTTTTGGGTGATTGCTAAAAATTCAGGGGCTTAGTTTACACTTCTTAATTGTGACAGGTGTATGCAACTTATGTAATGGGGGAGTGAAGTTTGTGCGTGATAATGATAGAAATAGGTAACATAATCATTCTCTTCTCCTTTAAATTTCGTTGATTGTTTTCATTTTCTCCGATCCTCTTCAGTCTTCAGATAATGACAGAAAATTGCGTCTATTATGAAATACTTGACTGCTAGAACGATATTGAAACTTGTTTCAGTCATATCGTTTACTTGACAGGAGAATTAGATTTGAGCCTCTTCAGAGTGAAGCAGGAAAAATGTTACTTAGAAGATCGGGAAGAGCTCCTGATGATATCTCAAGTGTAGTACTGGTTGAAAAGGATAGGTATGTATTGAAGAGCTTTGCTTACATGACTTAGAAACCACATTTAATAGTCCATTAGGTTGCGGTGATTCTATGGGAATTGTGGTTTCTTGGTTTAAGAATTTTAACCCTTCCTTTTAACTTCCCTTTCAAATGGATCGCTATAAAATTTGAATAGAAAGAGAAAAATCCCTATTGCAGCTATAAAGAACAAGGTAAAGACTAAAGAGTGAAACTTAAGAGTTTTTGGTTGATTCCAGAGCATATGTCAGGTCGGAAGCTGTGCTGAAGATAATGGAATACATTGACTTGCCATTTCCTCAACTAGCATTTTTTCTTCAATTGGTACCTCTGTAAGTTGCATTTTATCATTTGCTTTCCCTGCTTCATTTTCTTGATGGGTTGTGAATTTCATATCATCGATGACTGCAGGTTCATAAGGGATTTTGTTTATGACAATGTGGCAAACAACCGATACACTATTTTTGGCCGTTCAGAATCATGTGAAATATAGAATCAACCAATCTGCAATCATCAGTAAAATGTTATGTTAGAAACTAGAGATCTTAACTTATAATTCTTTATTGTTCTAGTCGAAGCCCAGTGAACTTGTCATCAAATATTTGATAGCAAGGATCCAGCGTATTACAGGAAAAAAGAAAAAGACCAAACCCTTTGAATCACTTTAATAGTAGTCTCCACTCTCTTGTACAAAAACTTTGCTAGTCATTTTCTGTATTCTGTATGGATGCAAATGAGAAATATTGAATAGCATCAGTATGTTTCTCATGGTCATCATTCAAACTCTATAGGGAGCGAACGTGATACATGTATAATTAGTCAAATAATATCAGTAACTTGTAAAAAATGTATGGAACTTGTCTCTATTCTTCCAGAAGCAGTTTCCTAGAAAGAAGTGGAGCCTAGTTATATGGTTACAGGGCTTCGTCCGTATGTGTATGAGAAATCACTGGTATTTACACTTCTGAAGGGACAGATTTTGGATTTACGCTTGAAAGGTTGTAGGAACAAGCCGTGGAATCAGCAGCAGTAACCATTTTACTCTGGAAAAATCTCTGATGCATCATATTTTTTTGGCAGTTTCAGGTATATCTGAGCCAAGGCATATGCATATCTGCCAAGTAAACCATTGAATCACGTTCCGAGGAAAAGGCAAATTTGGTTAAAATAGTTACACTGCATGTGACATCCACTAAAAAGATCAGATTGATGTACCCCAGAATGGCCAAGATTAATGCTATGAGAAAGAAGAAATATTGGCAGCAAGATTGCTTAGATTTGTTCTTTGCATGATATCCTGGAGGGATGTGCCTTGGTTTGATATATCCATATTGAGGCCGCATCAGAAAAATAAAGCCCAGTAAAAATCCTGAGATGAATCCTCCTATATGAGCTGAATTGTCTACCTTGGGTAGGAATCCAACCGCCATGTTAAGAACAATAACCACCGCTGGAATCATTAGAGCTGAACACTGCAAAAGTATCAATAATGGGTTACTTTTTCTGCCAAGCACACACCATAAACAATCAGTTGATGTTACTGTTTATTTGGGAAAAGAACGCATTTTAAAATTTGTGGAATCCTCTCCCCGTACTCTTTGTAAGTCATATTTTAGAAAGGTTTTTTAGTTCTCTGTGTAAGCTATTTTCTCTCTCTTTTTTTAAACATTTTATGTACAATTCTAAAAGTATTTTTTAACAAATTCTAAAAAGAAATGAAACATTTTAATTCTGAAAAGAAATATTTTTGCACCTTAAATCACTCTTTTTAAAATTTAGAGACAAAATTGAAAAATGATTAATTTTTAAGGTAATTTTTATTGTTATATTAATTCATCTTGATTTTGATAAGTTCGTTAAAAAAAAGGACAGGAGGGGCCATGTATCAGATGAAATCTCAATAAGAGATTCATAATCAATGAATTTAACAACAAATATCAAAACAAATAGAAAAAAGAACTGAGAATATTCTTGGCCGAGTATGTTACCTTGTTGGTATAGATAGACCAGTTGATGAGAAGCTCAGAAAGCATGGAACCAAGAAGTCCAAAAAGTGCGCCTGAAGCTCCAACAGAAACTTGGTGTTGTGCTGATCCTTTCATACGCATAACAGACGCCAAGCTTCCTCCAAAACCAGATAGCACATACACTAACCCTATTCTCACTGTCAAATTAATAACTATATTCATTAATTAAGTTCATCAACTAAACAGATTAAACCCAAAGGAGGGGCAAAAATTAAAAAAGCTTACGGAACCCAAATTCCCTCTCAAGTCGAACACCAGTAACTAACAGACTGAACATATTGAGAAGTAAATGAATAAGTCCAGCATGGAGAAATATGCACGACACTAAACGCCATCCTTGGTGCTTCTCCAGAATTAGGTCCGTATCAAGAGCTCCCATTTTTCTCAGCCTGCATCAAAGCGACACCTGAAATGAACCAGAGAAGTGGATTGGATCAAGCAGAGAAATGGGAAGGGGGTAGAGAGAGAGAGAGAGAGGCGGAACCGACGCGTCGACACGAGGGCCGAGAAGGGGATTTTGGCTCAAGGGTTCGAAAGAGAATCTGTGGAGATGATGAGTGAAGAGGCAGTGAACCGGAGGGGAGGAAGAATTAGGGCAATCGTTGAGGTACATTGTGTAGACGAACAAGGCCGTATTTGCCAGAAATATGAGCGGCACAAGCCATGGGAACCACGGCTTCGGTGGCGCTTCCGGTAGGTAATGGTGGTGGTGGCCGTGTCCCATCTCGAAGCCGATCCGTGCATGTTCCACCCTGCTTGCTTTTCTTGCGAGCAGCGATTCATACGGCTTTGCTTAAATTACGTATCTCTCTGGCTTACAAATTTGGATTTTTTAAAAAGATAAAAGATATTTCCATAAAAAAAATACGAAATTCACTGAACGATCATTATTTTTATTTGAAAACATGTTAAATAGATATTAATATTTATAAAGAAGAAAAAATAGCCATTTAATTGATATGATTTTAATTTAATAATAAAATAATTAAGTCTCTGAGTTTTAACTCCATACAAGTTAATTTATCAAATTGAAGTCATTTAACATGGAGTCTTTACATTTTTATCACTTGATTACAACTTAATTTTTGAAAGAATGGATATTTTTATCATAACAATGATCAATAAAATAGATTGCCTTGTAAAAGATTATTGGTTTCTTGTCATTTTGAAATTAACCTTAATGTTTCAATTCCATTATTCTTATAAAACTTAAATGCCTAAACTGACTGTATTGCATAAGTCAATGTTTAGATTAGAACAAATATCTTATGTTGAAAATGAGTCATTATAAACTTGAAAACAAATTATAATGCTTATTCTACATAAGTTAATCCTTAAAAATCTTCCCACCATTTATGAAAGTTTTTACGCCGCAGTTACTATCTAAATTTTACTGAGCATGTCGTTTCCCAAGTAAATGATTCTCATTATATACATCTCAACATTAAATTGTTAAAACATTGAGGTTGATGGATACGTCGTGAGATTTTTTTTCTTTCAAAATTTTAATTTGTTTATCAAGTTCCTCTTACTAACGTATAATATAATAAATAAAATTTATACCAACTCTCTTAATTTTAAAATCATGAAAAGTGATTTTTAAAAAATTTCTCTTAGTAAAAAAAACTTAATTGAGGGGTGTTTAATTGAACAAATAAAAAAAAGTTAAATTAGCTTATTCTGTGGAGTTCAAATTCTAATATATGCAATTACATAATGAGTAAAAATGCCAAAAGCATCCTCAAGGTGTTAGTAAGGCCATTGATAATGATGATCCCATATAATGAGAGTTCTGATTAATATAGGCTGGTGGTGGTAATATCTTAGATTTCTCAACATACTGGGCGATGAATAAGTTATTCATTAACGGGATGCACCTCAATCAACAACCGAAATTCATTGGTTTAAATAATAATATATATCTAATAGAATAATAATATATATATCTCTTCGAATCAGCACAATAGCTGGGAGCATGATATATAGCTCTCTGGACAACAAATAAAAAGAAACAAAAGGACAACACATTACGTACGCACTCGATACAAAGTATTAGTATATATTTATATGATTAATAAACTACTTATATATATATAGACATGATTATTAATAGGGATAATCAAGAGTCAGTTAATTAGGAAGCAAGCACTTCTTCAGAGAAGGTTTGGTGTGTGAAAAAGTTCCATGAGCATTGTGGCAAAAGGCAACGGCTTTCTGGCCAGCAACAGCAGAAGAGAGATAGACTCTGTCAAAAACGAGGTTGGAGCATCCTATGTTCTGGTCGCACCTCAGAGCTATGGCTTCCTTCGTCAATGATGTTCCCACTATCCCTCTGTACGTTACATCGCTCACTCTTATTGCAGTAGTCTTCATCCCCATCATTAATCACACAAAAATAAAACATGATTAATTCATATCACACACACACACACACAGAGACAAGCATTAATAATACTATACAGGAAAAAAAGACAACAATAGGTCCCTCTACTTTGCATTTTATTTTTAGTTCTTGTAGTTTTATTTTGTTGTTTCTATATCTTTAATTAGTTTTATCCATTTACATCGTTAGTTCCTACTCTTTTGAAGATGAACATAAAAAGGTTTTCTTTTAACGTGAAAATAGGTTGTCTTGGTGTGATTAAAAAATAAAAGGTACAGGTGGAAAAGTTTTCTTTTGTATTTGGCTTAAACAAAATGAGGGAGACAAAAGCAAGATTAAGTACCTGTCAACAAATGAATTAGCAAGATTAAGTACACATCAATAAAATTAATTCTTTCAGTGCCAACTTATGGTCTTTAGTTATATGCATTTCTAAAATTATATGGACTAAAGCTACAGGAAAATTAGACTAAAAGGATGAGGAACAATAGAATAAAATTATAGGAACTAAAAATAAGAGGCAATTAAAACTAGAGGTAGCTACTGTTATATTTTCCTGATATAGTGATATATGTATACTTGTAAGTTGTTACCTCGTTCTTGCAATCAGTCCTATGAGGGCAGTAAAACTGGTCAATGATAATGGGGTTATTGGCACGAACGAATCTGATCCCTTCGAATCTAATCTTCCTTGCATATCCAACTCCGCCCTAATTAAGAAAACAGTGTATTAGTACTCATTCTAATTTATTAGACTTAATTAATACAAAAGAAGTTGGTTGGTTAATTAATTATTTATTTGTAGTTAATTACCTGCCATGTCTTGATTCTTACACCAGTTAAAGTCTCTGTTATTGTGCAATTCCTCACTGTGATATCCTCCACGTTGTCGGTCTCTCCACGTGTTCCCAACGATCCGATGCTGCAAAAATATCATCATCATGTGCTATTCCCTTCATTACAAGATATTTTAACACACACTCACTTCTTTTAGATAGAGAAGATTTGTTTTGGTGTTATTTATTTTATATAATTGGGAAAATTATAGTCAGGAAAATATTTTAACCAGGAAAATTATATTCAAAGTTTCACCGACTAATGTGAAGTTGACCATTATACTATTATATGTACCGAAACTTATTCAGAATATTTTTTAACTTTCGAGACCCTACTCCTAATTGTTGGGCTCTGTACCAGTACAAAGTCGGAGAATGACTCATAAATAAGACATTTACATCAATTTAATCCAATCAAAATCATAGTCAGATATGTTAAAGCCGAACTAATTAATAAACTATAACATATATAGTCAACGGAAACAAATTTTACTCACTTTGTTCTAGGAAAATTTTGACCAAAATTTCGGATTTCTTACATGTTTTCTTTAAAAAAAAATTTGGAGAGAAATGTAACATTTTTGTTGTAACGAAACTATACTAGCTACCCCAATTTAAGATTTCATTGATTTGTCAATGGATAGCGCCGGATACTGGCTAGATGGCAATAAAAAATATAAATAGGTATCTGACTCGTTAAATAGGTGAGATTTGAGTATTATTGTTAGGCCTAATTGTAAGTAATTTTCTTAAGCGATGATCATATATAGTTCCTTCAACTAGAACCAACGCTAGTAGGTACAGTTGAGTACAATTTTAATGGAGGCAATAACTCACCTTATACCATGGCCTGGACCACAAGTTATACCTGATATTTTGATAATGGAGGAACCAGCACTAATTGCAATGCAGTCATCACCTGAAATAACCAAGACGAATAATACAGAATTGATACATTTAATCATATGAGAGTGTATAAGATTTTTGTTTGTTTAGCACTAACTAGGTTAATTATATTTATAATAACAGAATGAGAGATGTAAGATAATATTAACCTGTGCCAATGAAAGAATCGAGAACTCGAATGTTTGTGCAGCCAGAAATATCGATGCCATCGGTGTTGGGGCTATCTCCAGGAGCTACTAAACGGAGCTTAGATATTTTGCCCTGCTTGCAGCTTGTTAGGGTTATGTGACTCCTTGCTGGGTTCACATGTGTTGTCCCTTTCAGTTCAAACCTATTGCATCTGTACAGCGTCAATGCCTACACCACAAATTAAACTCTCTTTTCATTCGTAACAACAAATCATGATCAGTTTAATTTAATTGACTCAACAGTTTTGTGTAATATATATTACTCCCTCCCGTTCTAAATATATATAAATAACAAAGTTAGCTAACTTTACAGTTCTTAGTTATTGTCTTAAACTTAATTATTTAAAAAAAAAAAAACTTAGTGCAAGTAATGATAGGTAATATTGGTAAAAAGAAATTAACTACAATATATTTACCCTATATTCAAGACCAAATAGAGTTTTAAAACTTTCCCAACAATACTCAAATCTATACATGTGTAGATATATAAGAAGTATTTCAATTATATTGAGTTCAATAATAATCAAATCTGATATAGTAAGACTGCATGTATAAAAATTATATATATATATATATATATATATAGTCCCATATGAGAAAGGTAGGTCTTTATCTTAGATCTCAGTGTTCTAATTTAAGCAACGTTCTTTCTTAGTTTTTGGTTCATGTGTATGCATTTGCATCCTTAAGAAAAAGTCCAAGGATGAAATGCATGCATGATCTATGAATGAATGGTATTATATATAGTAACTTGAGGTGCAAAGAAAGTTTAATTAATTCTTTTGTTTTGTTTTTTGGTTTTTGCCATCCAAAGTTGAATTAATATTCGGATGACATCTTTTTTCTTCTTCATGAACAAGCCAAGTGCATAGAAATAAAGAAAAGCTTATACTTACCGTTGGTGGGCGGCACTTTGCACCCTGATCAAACGAGAAATTAGTGAGAAAATGATCATCATGCATATAGAATAAGGCAGAAATTAATGATCATGATGAGCAAGTTAAAATTTGTGCATGTGTATACTTACAGGAGCAGCATTTCCAATGCAAGGCTGATCCCACCAGATAGAACCTCGACCGTCGATAGTTCCTTTTCCACCGATGGTCAGACCTTCTACGTAGTTGAAGCTCAGCCATGTGTTTATTTGGGATCCACTATAATCTCCTTTTGTTTTCGGCGCTACTATGTTCCCTGAAAGCTGTCCTCATTCCAACAATAATAAATACCACTTCCCACCATATATTCTCATTTAATTTACCTCAGTTTTTTCTTCTGTACTGTTAAGCTTATTCTCTTTCTGGGTTATTGATACCCCTTTCATGAAAAATCAAGGGGTTTCATCATCATCATCATTATTATATAGGCCCAGCTATTCTAGTTATCTCTATTGATTGTAACAAACTTATAGCCACAAATGAATTAGTAATATTAAGAGGCTAGGAAATTCAACTTTTGTGGTTAATGACATATGTTAGGAATGGGGAGTGACCATCCCAAAGCAAGTGATAAAATGTGAATGGGACTTGTGAAATGAAAAGTTTCATATAAGATAAAGTAATATTTAATAATTAATATAGAATAAAAGGAATCAAAAAAAATTTTTGAATTAAAATATAATATTCTTTCACTGATTTTGCTCATTTATTTTAAATCGTTTTTGAGTGGTCACTCTTCATTTTTTAAACAAGTACTGTGAGAGCCTGTCTGCACTTAAGACCTAGAAGCCCTTGTTGTGTTTAAAGTCCATATAAAATAGGACCGGCCTACTGCAACAGGAACTTGTGTGTGCATTACTATACACACACACACCTGGATGTAGATGTACTTAGATTTGCATGGACCCTTGAAGGTAACAGGTCTGAGTAAGAACGTTTTTGCTGGAACGATGAGATGTGAAATCTTCGATTTACTTTGACAGACGTCTTTCCAAGCCTTGAGAAACGCCTGTGTTCAATGTTGAAACACTTTGTCAGAGAAAGTAATTAGGAAACAAATAAAACAAAGATGTTTATTTTAAAAATAACTAGCATGTTCTTTTCAAAATATGAAGACTTTAATTAGATTTAATTAATTACTGGGGAATCGTTGGTAGAACCATCTCCAATTGCTCCATATTGCATCACATTGAAACTACTTGTGCTGCTCAAGCCAGGCCTAGCCACACTTAGAATCATCACCACACTAAACAGTAATAGCTTCTGCAATATATAAAAGACACGTCATATTATGTTCTAATCAAGAACAAATTAAATAGTACTTCAGAAGAATGTATATCATATAAATATGTTCATTATATTAATTAAGCGCTGAAAACAGATCACAGCTCAAGAACAGATGAGATCCTGACCATGTTAGAAGACGCAAGGGGGTATTCGGGCCACGCACAGGACTTGAACGTTATGAAATTAGCCCTTTTGTCTTCTATATATAATGGTCTCTGGAACTGCATGACAAATCGTATATTGTACGTTCCAAGATATGTATTTCGTTAAGTTTGTGGATATATATTTGTTTAAGTATATTTTTTATTAATTAATTAAAAGAGATGTAGTGGTTGCGGAAAGGTTAAGGTGAGTACAGGTGTAGCTGTAAACACATGGGCTTATGGGAACAGGAAGCTTTGTGTTCGCCGAGAGAACATGAAACATGTACAAATCCCTAGGTTCAAGTTGTAGTGTACACACACACACATCCCTTTAATTGCTTCTTCATTTACACTCAATAATAATAATAATAATATGCTTTGCTGAATAAATCCCATGATCCAACGTAACGAGCATCTTCTTCTACGTACTTCTTAGTTTGAGTTCAAAGCAAGCACGTTCTATATTCGAATCTCATGATCCACATATATAGGAGCACATTACACTCAAGAAAATGACTTTCGATTTTCATGTTCAACATTTATACATGTATATATCCTAACAGAGTCATCAATAAGAGCCGGATCTTTGAGCTACCTATGTAGACTCTATGTTTTTGTATAAATGAGATTTTTTGTATAGAAGGGCTTTTAATCTTGACCTTTGTATTCCCTTTAAAAATATGGGCTCAAGTTTGGCCTAACCTTTTTAGACCATATAAATTTCTCTCTCCTTTTTAAGTGAGCATGTGGTCAAAATTGTTAAAATTTTGAAAATTGTCTATTTGAAATTGTTAATATTACAAAATAGTAACATGGTTGAAATTGTTTGCTTTGCTTTCAATTTTAAATTAATTATATATGAAAATGACAATTTTTAAATTATGTATTAACATAATAAAAAAATTTAAAAAAGTTATGTAGGCTTTCAAGTCTTGTCCTAAGTCTTATCAATCAGGTTGAATTTATAAAACATGATCAGTTTAAGATATGTGAGCTTATGGGCCTAAGTCTATAGAAGTCTGGCAAGCCCTTATTAACAACTCTATATATTAGTTGAGTTCATATACACGCCCATATATAATGAATACAGAGTTTAGGTTCTTTCACTCTCTCTTTTCAGTGCTAACCTTATTTATAGTAGTGTATGCAAAGATGAACAAGGTTGTGTTGGCTAATACTTAGCTGAAGCACAAAATCGCACCTTATTGGTATCTTTAATTTTTCTCCATCAAAATGGCAACGCCTCCTTAATTACATAGTAAATTCTAAGTAAAATATTTGAACTTTGCACTAGCATTATGTGTGGGTGAATTGTAAATATGAAATTGATTTCTCTAAAAAAAAAGGGAAAGAAATTAAAATAGAAGATAAAGAAAATTGGCGAAGTGCGGAGACTTTATTTTAGCAATGAAGTCATAAATAAAGCAATACATCGATCTTCTTAAAGAAGCAAATGCTCTCCAGGACAACACACTCAGTACAATTTGTTTATATATATATATAAACTACTGGCCATGATTATTGATAAATTAATTAGGAAGCAAGCAGTTGGTAAGAGAAGGTTTGGTGTGGGAAGCAGTTCCATGAGCATTGTGGCAAAAGGCAATTGCTTTCTGGCCAGCAACAGCAGAAGAGAGAGAGACTCTGTCGAAGACGAGGTTGGAGCATCCTATGTTCTGGTCGCACCTCAGATTTATGGCTTCCTTCGTCAGTGATGTTCCCACGATCCCTCTGTACGTTACATCGCTCACTCTTATTGCCTTCGTCTTCATTCCCATAGTTAATCACATAAAAATCAAACATTAATTAATTCATAATCACGCACACAAACGCTGACATTAGTAATAATTAGTAATAACCCACACAAATTAACTTGTAATTAAGTTGTTACCTCGTTCTTGCAATCAGTCCTATGAGGGCAATAAAACTGATCAATGATAATGGGGTTATTGGCACGAACAAATCTGATCCCCTCGAATTTAATCCTCCTTGCATATCCAATTCCGCCCTGTAAAATTTATAAAAACTTGTTCACAAGTACTCCACATGTACAGTGTCATTCATTTCATGTATCCTTCGTGTCTGGTGGACCTAGTTATATATAATCTATCAAGTTTGTTTTAATTATTAATTTGTTTTTTTAAGTTTATTTTTTTATAAATTCAATCTCTAATATTTTTTTAAATTATCATGTTAGTTGTTTAAAATTTTAAAAGACTTGGTATGCATATGTAACTAAATGAGAATAGCATAAGGCTCTCAAATCATTGTAATTTTCATTAATCTAATACGTCACATTGAGTTCTGTTATTTTATATTTTTTAAAAAATTTCTAAGTCTTTCTTTTTACTACATAAATAATTAAAATTTTTTTATTAATCTACATAATTTTCATCAATATTCTGTTATTCGTATTAGCAATTTTTAACAATGTTATCTTATATTTAAATAAAAAAGACTGAATTAATAATTGAAACAAATTTAAGAAAATAAATTAATAAAAAGTAAACTTTAGTAATCAATTAAATTAATAATTGATATAAACTTAAAAGTGTACTAAAAATTTTATTATTGTTATGACAAGAAGTTGCTTGATTAATTATATGTGAAATTACCTGCCATGTCTTGATTCTTACACCAGTTAAAGTCTCTGTTATTGTACAATTCCTTACAGTTACATCCTCCACATTGTCCATCTCTCCACGTGTTCCCAACGATCCGATGCTGCAAAAATAATATCATCATGTGTTATATTCCCTTCATTACAAGAAATATATGTATCTCGTAAATATTTTTTTTTCTCTTCCCTTCATAATTTTTAAAAAATTCAAATTAAGGTCTCCACCTGCTAATGCCAATAGTTGACGATTCTATGTACTGAAAATCAATTTTATCCGAAAACAAAATCATAGTCATGTTGCTCACACTAAGGGTTTCATAATTACTCTCAAGTCCCGCATAACAAATCTAGATACAAAAAATTCTATAAAATTACAAAATTATTATGAAATCCTGTATTATTTATTGAAGTTATCAATTACTGATCGATAATTTTTAATTATTGTTACTTAATCATCAACTAAATAACTTCATTAACAACTATTTAGCACTACAATTAACAATCGCTTCAATAAATAACATGGGACTTTAGATTAATTTTGTAATTTGACAAGATTCCTTTGTAAATTAAACGATGTACTGGGATCCCTTCAACCCTTAATATAAGAAAAACTTAATCAACTTTACTCTTATTAAGAAATGATGGTTATAATCTTAAAATTATTAAAAATTATGTGGCTTTACAATTTTTCCCTTCTATGCAATCAATGACCATATTAATTATAAATTATTGTATAGGAATTCAAACAGTAATAAATAAACAAGGGAAAAATTAGAAAAGAATAATGAATTACTCTAACTTTATCTTATATTAAGGACCAAAGGAATATCGTGCCAATATGTGCCAGATGACAGCAAAAAATAAAATAAAATAAAACAATTAAAGCTAAACATATGAATACAGAATGGAGGTAACTCACCTTATACCATGGCCTGGACCGCAAGTTATACCTGCTATGTGGATACGCGAAGATCCAGCACTAATTGCAATGCAGTCATCACCTGAAATAACCAAGACGATTATGCAGAATCAATATGTATAGTGTGACGTAATTAAGGCATATATATTTATATATAATTAATAATAATAACCTGTGCCAATGAAAGAATCAAGAACTCGAATGTTTGAGGAGCCAGAAATATCGATGCCGTCAGTGTTAGGGCTTTCATCAGGAGCTGTCATGCGGATGTTTGATATTTTGCCATACTTGCAGCTTGTTAGGGTTATGTGACTTCTTGCCGGATTCAAATGCCTTGTTCCTTTCAGTGCAAACCGATTGCATCTGTACAGTGTCAATGCCTATACCACAAACCCATTAATTTTTTTTTAAATTCTTTCACTATTCATCTTCCATATTTTCAATATTCATCTTTCACATTTTTATTACGTACTCAGTTTTTAAATTTTTCAATACGGATATCTATGTGTGCGTACATAATATATGCAAGTGCATGGAAAAGCTTATACGTACCGTTGGTGGACGGCAAGTTGTACCCTGATCAAACAAGAAATTCATGAGAGAATGATCGTAGAATATGAGAGAATTTCATGTGCAAATTAAAATGATGTGTCAACGTGCTTACAGGAACAGGATTTCCAAGACAAGGCTGATCCCACCAGATAGAACCTCGACCATCGATGGTGCCTTTTCCACTGATGATCAGACCTTCTACGTAGTTGAAACTCAGCCATGTGTTTATTTGGGATCCTTTATATTCTCCTTTTGTTTTCGGTGCCACTATGTTCCCTGTAAGCTGTCATCATTCCAACCGTTAAGAACAGGGGAGAAAATAAACAAACAAATCACAGTAGAAGATGTCATATCTTAATCTAAAACATTAAAATTTAAGTATATCCTTCCACTTTATTATATATTCCTTCAGTCCTTTTTATAAGTCACATTTTAAAAGTTTTTTTGGTTCTTTATATGAGTCGCTTTCTTTTAGGATAATTTGTAACCTTTTCTATAAACTTCTAAAGTACCCTCCAACAAATTCTAAAAGAAAATGCACTACTATTTCAATTTTCAATAAAACTCTTCCCTATATCAAATTTCTCTTTTTAAAATTCAAGGATAAAATTGGAAAGTGATTTATTTTAAGACAATTTTATTTAACTAACTCATTTTGGTTTTGATAAGTTAATTAGAAGTGACTAATAAAAAGAACTACTTCATAAAAACTAAAAAATGACAGTTAACTTATTAAAAATAGAAAGATGCATATTATACAATGAGTCATAAAATTAAATTAAAAAATAATAATAAATAATCTACATGCATCTGTGCCTTGTATATATTAAAAATTAAATAATCCTTCTAAAAAATACCTTGTAATAGGATTTGGATGAGTATTTATTCAACACAATTTTATCCTACGTGAAATTTTTCATTGACTCTAAGTCCATTTAAAATTCGACATTCTAACACCGACAATAGTAAGTACCACTTCAGTGTTCTCGTTTATCTAGATCATGAAGTTAAATTTTGAAGGATTATGAAGATCAAAAAGTGCCCGCGTGCGTGCGTGTATACACACACCTGAATGTATATGTACTTGGATTTGCAAGGTCCCTTGAAGATAACAGGTCTGAGTAAGAAAGTTTTTGCTGGAACGATGAGACGTGAAATATGCGAGTTACTCTGATGGCAGACATCTTCCCAAGCCTTGACAAACGCCTGTGTTCAATGTTGTTGAAACACATAAATTAATTTTCCAGAAATTATGAAACAAAGATAACAATAAAATATTATTGTGTCTGTTCTTAATTTTCTGAATATAAAGACCAATTACAGGGGCATCGTTGGTAGAACCATCTCCAACAGCTCCATACTGCATCACATTGAAACTACTTGTTGTACCGCTGAATCCAGGCTTAGCCAAACTTAGACTCATCACCACACCAAACAATAATAGTAGCCCCTGCATGCATGCATGAAACACATCGCATTATTTCCGTTTAAGAAGAATGATGTGTCATATATTCACGAGCACCACAGAACAACTCAAGAATAAGAGATTCTGACCATCTTAGTCTTAGAAGACGCTATAGGAGGTATCGGAGCCACAAGGAACCCTCTTGTCTCACACACACAAGCACAGGTCTAGAGAACTGGCTAACTGAATATATATAATATATGCGTACGATGTCGTAACAAGAGATGTACTTGTGATATACAGGTGTAGTTTGTTTAGAAAATGAAATATATATAAATTAAGTGGCGGTTGCAGAAAGGTCAACCTGAATATACAGGTGTACCACCTTGGTGCTCTACAATATAAGGCATTGCATATTTGCATTAGTACTACATCACCTCACGGTTTAAGAAAAAAGTTAGTTAAAACATTAATTTTTTAATAAAAAAATCGCCTTAGTATTAATCATTGAAATTTCAATAATGAACTATTTTCTAAAATTAAAAAGTAAGTATATAATTTAAAAAAATTATAAAAACTACCATTACTACGTCCAGGTTCCATCCCAATTTATAGAATTCTTGAAAAAAATTTGGCGTCTCAAAATTTAAAGTAGCATATGGAAACATAAGGCTTTGTGTTCGCTGAGCACATGAAACATGTACAAATCCCTAGGTTGCAGGACCAAGTTGTGGTATGTACTACCTTTAATTAATTGCTTCTTCATCTACACTCAATAAATCCCATGATCCAACGTAATGAACATAGTATATCTTAATTAATTTGATTGCAAAGCAAACCACCTTCTCTTTTGGAATCCCATGATCCGCATATATAGGAGATTAGAAGCACGTTATCACTAAAGAATTGCCTTTTCCTTGTTCAATATCCATTTATACTTGCTAGTCGTCAGTCATCCATATGCTTATTAATTGTCATTCACAAATAGATATGTGCCTATAGGTGTTTAATATATAATATAAAGGTTTGATGGAAACAAGTTTCCAAACCTAAGTTCTAACTTTAAGTTTCAACAAGATACATGCTCGTTTCTTGTAACATTTGACTTAAAAGTGCTCATTTTTAAAGATTTCTTCATATATTATTTTTATAGTGTCTTCCGTATCAAATTAAACTTTCCCCTTTTTATCATTGATGATACAATTTAAGAAGTTCTCGATTTTATTCCTATTAAATATATGTATTTCAATATAGAACAATATTAGATTTTTGATTGTATATATTATTCTATATAGTTGTGGTAACTATAATTATTTTATTTTTAATAGATTTTTATTTTATTCTCTAATAACTCTTTTTTCTCTTGTATAAATACATTTATATTGGAATTAATAAGATAATGCACTATTTTCACAAATTGTATTATGGTATTAGAGTAAGTGAAATTTCTTTTTCACTGTTTTCTCTTTCTACTTTATTTCATGCTTCTGAAACCCTATGGCTTCTAAGCCCATTGTTCCATCTTCCAATATCTTTGTTCTTTAAAAAAAGTAAAGTTTATAAAATTTATAAATTCTTAATTTTAGAGAATTCATTCCTGAGAGAGAATTTATTAGAAATCGATTAAACATTGACTTGATTTTCAAAACGGGTGTATGTATCTATATCTTGATGCAGCTAGCAATCACTTAAGGCCAATTTCCCAAGATCTAACTCAAGAGCCATAGATCTGTAAGGCCATGAAAGTGTTGAGAAAGAAACGATAGAATCTAAAGGGCCTTCATTATTTAAAGTTTCAATTTATTTGTGAAATGCAACTTTTTGGCCATAAGCACTATCAGCTCTAGTTTCTTTTTATTTCAATTTCTATTCTTAATTCATAAGAACTATAATTTCTCCCATATGTGTTCTTGTGTCCTTCACGTCTACATCTACAGGAGCAACTTACTCCATTCTGATAACATTCACAACATTTCTTTTGGCACCTAGATTTCTTACAGCTGCATTCTCTTTTATATCGTGTTGAAGTTGTAGTTATGTTAGGGTCAACCCTAGTTTTATATAGAGAATCAATAATACTTCTGATGACTTTGAGAGCAAATGCATGAGGCTTACGAGACTGAATCTCTTAGTGAGCTAAAAGCATAATGACTACATTGATTGTCATATTGGAGCAATTCTTACAAGAACAAGATCCCATGCAGTAGACAAGTAAAGCAAATTAAAGCACTCACAATAAAGCTTTAAACAATTTGTGCTCTTGTATTTGCAACACTTGAAAAACTTCACTTACAATAGCAAGCTCTGACTTACGCCTTTTCCTATTGGAGTCATCATCAAAGTTCTTTTTATGCATTCTAGTCATGCCAAAATCTATGGAATGCACATTTTGTCCCATTTTGGACTTCAAATGTGTGCACAATAACGGGCTTACAAGTCCTAAGCAAAACCTGACTCTGATACCGCTTATTAAGAATGAGAAGCAATTGCATGGGAACAAGGGGAGAGGAGAAAAGGGCAGGAGCAATGAAAGAATGTCACATTTTAATTCAAAACCTCAAGGCTTAAGTTTATGGATCCTTCCTCTTTATTATATACTAGTTATTAAGATCCAATATGAGATTTCTCACATTATCTTATATTCACTTATACTTTGACAACCTAATAATCTCCCCCTTAAGTGTAAGTTCACAAACTCCTCATTCTTAATAGTAGGTAATTTCATGTGGTGAGACAACAATGTGCAAGTTCCTGAAGGTATTTTGTAGCAATTGAGGCATAAAATTGAGACACTGCTAGAAAAAATGAAATTAGTGATGGATTGAGAATTTGTCACTAAACATAACACTTCATGGCAAAATAGTAATGGGTGTGAAAATCTGTCATTATTTTATTAAAATATCCAAATTTATTGACATATTAATTTTCATCACTAATTTACCAACACTCAAATATTATTATTAGTGAAGGATTTGTGACAAACGTAATATCTGTCACCATTTTATCAAAATTTTTAAATGTAATGACAAAATATAATCCTTCATTAATATTCATTTTCTCAAATGTAATAATTTGTGACACGTGAAGATGCAAATTTATATCATCAAATTTTTTAATTATCAAATATATTACATTTAAAAAAATGGATTTTGAAAATTTTATTAGTGGAATATATAATCAAATATGATTTTTATCAATGCACGCTAGTTCGTAAATGTTTTATCATGTGATATTTGGATACATAGAGATAACCTTTTAATGTTGTCATTTTTATGTAAAAGCTATATTATTAATATATTATATCATTATAATACACATTATATAAAATTTACATATTATTAGTTATTAAATTAATAAATTATAAAATATATACTAATTGATTTAATTTTTTAAACTTTATTGCATGGAACAATTTGTCAAAAAAAAAAAGCCAAAACCTAAACAAGGTAAAAGCTATTATGTTTTTTTAATTCATATGATTATTTTTACCCATTTTTTCTAGTTTAAATTCATATAATTAAAAACTGTTGGTATATATATTGTTTTATATATGAAATATATGTAATTTTATATTGAAATATGTGTAATTAATTAGTATCATCAGTTCAAGAAAATGTTGGATATATTTAATTTACAATTAATTGAATTGATAAATATATAAATTTAAAATATAAAAAATAAATAAAAATAATCATATGAATTGGAAAAGAATAATTCCTTTCACCTTGTACGGGTTTATTTTTTGACAAATCGTTCTATGCCAAAAAATTTTAAACGTTAAATCCATTAGCATATATTTTATAATTTCTTATATAAAATATACTCCTTTTGTTTAAAATATAAGCAATTTTTTAAGTTGATCGTGGTTCAAGATATAAGTCACTTGGTATTTGTAAAAAAATTTCTCAATTTTACCCATTATATTTATTAATCTAGATTATTGTATGAATTTATGGAATTCTTCCTCCTCATAATTGGTAATTAAGATTAAGATTACAAAGAAAAAATAATATATTTTTATGAGAATACAAAGTTTATTGATATGTGAATTATTGTTAAAAACTTACTACATTTTTTACCAAAGGAGGTATAACTTCTTAAAATATTATAGATAAGTTTTGTGCATATTGAGGGTTGTGTGTTTGTATTAAAGTTTGATTAATATGAGTACAATGTGTTTCTAGCTCAATTGGCAAAACAAGAAAGTTATTGGAACAACAAGCACAAGGTTCATTGTTTGAAAAAGGATAGATTTAGTAATGGAAATTTCTGTTCCTCGCTAATATCAATTTTTCTAGTAGTAAAAGGTGTATAACTATGGGATCCAATGATATTACAGTAGATCCTTATCAAGAGCATAAATTTTGTTGTGAGTAAGGCTCTCCCAATCACATCTTGGCCCTTCATTTTTCAATACAAGTGTAAGTAGTCCTCCTACAATAGACATTGCCCTATCAAACCCAGAGTTACTACAACCATATATCAAGGCTTGTGGTATGTTAAGTGTGCATTTAGTGCTTAATTGTATGGAATTCCCTTTATTAGTATTTTCTACTAGCCTACCAAAGTTATGATGTGCATGATTTATGTACAAAAGAGTGGATTCACCCGAACTAATCTTTGGATCCTAGGTTTAGATGAAACATATGGTTTTGGTGCCTCCAAAGGACTATAGCTCTAGAGAATTCTACATTCCTTCTTATGACAAGAGACATGAAAACAAATGGAGGGGACCAAAAGCTAAGAGAGCTTAATTCCTAAGGATAATGAACACGCTTGTTTGGTTTTATTAGAGGAAGTCCATTCATATAGCCTATCCATGTTGAAAGAGATTTGAGACTTAAGGGAGAGGCATTCATTACTCCCTTTTTGCACAAAGGCTTGCTTTGATCTTTCTCCTCTTCAAAACAAAAAGGCAAGATGATATTTTCTCCAAGATTAAGAGGGTGATTAGATTTTTAATTGTTGTCGATGATTACCCTTCCTTTAATTGGATCATTTTGATTAAATTAAAATATGAAACTAAAACACATTTGAAGTGCCTCATTCTATTTTTGAAAAATCAATTTTCTTTTACTGTCAAAACTATTCACTAAGACAATGGTCTTGAATTCCTCTTGCATTCTTTCTTTGATTTAAAAGGCATTCTTCACAAAACAACTTATGTTGAAATGACTAAACAAAACAATATTGTGGAATGTCAACACCAATATATTCTTAATATTGCTTGAAATTTATTATTTCAAAGTCATTTACCTTTAGCTTATTGGTCTTATGCTATTTTACATGCTATTCATATCATTAAGCATCTTCCCACCTGTGTTTTGCAACAACAAACACATTCTGAACTTCCTTATAAGATGTTCCCTATTTTTTTTAATTTTCTCTCTTTGTTTTTCTTTCACTTCTATTTCTTTTTCCTTTAAGCCTAAGACATATAATTATACAGTAAAATATTTTGAATGGAGTCAAGGTATGCAGGCTGAAATTTATGTTTTTAAACAAAATAATACATGAATCTTGACTAACCTCTTGTCAAGAAAAGATCTTATTAGTTGTAAATAGGTGTTTAAAAAGAAATTTAAAGCTCATAATTCTCTTGATAGGCATGAAACTCATTTGGTTGCTAAAGGTTATATACAAAACCAAAGGAATTGACCACTTTGATACTTTTGTTCAGTTTTGGCCTTGGCAGCTACCAACTATTGTCTCTTAAAGTAGGAAAATGTTAATAATGCCTTCCTTCATGGTGATTTAGATAAGGAGGTCTATATAACTCTTCCTCCTTGTTTTGATTCTCCATTACCTGGCATTGTATGCAAATTGTAGAAGCCTATTTATGGTTTAAAGTAGGCTAGTTGCCATTAGTTTGCTAAACTTACATATGCTCTTACTTCTTATGATTATCTCTAGCTAAAGGTAATTATTTTTTATTTGTCAAGAAGATTGATTCTTCATTTGGAATTTTATTGATTTATGTTGATGACATTATCTCAATTGGTAATGATTATGATGAAATTGTCAATATTAAAAATCTTCTTAATTAGTCATTTAGAGTCAAGAATGTGGGCTAGCTTCACTATTTTCTTGGTTTGGAGATAGCTTAAACATCCTCCAGTGTATCCATCTATTAATGGAAATTTGCTTTAGATATTCTTTCTTATTGTGATTATCTTGATTGTAAACTAGCTTCTACTCTTATTGATAGATCTATTAAGCTTTCATAGGATGATGGTTCTCCTCTAGATTTTTCACCCACATATCGGGGAATTGTTGGTCATCTCTTGCACTTGACCACTACTTGCACAATAGTTATCTCTATTTATGTCTAATATGCATAATACTCATCATGTCTTTTGTTAAGTCCTTTCCAAGCAAGGACTTATTTTCCCCCTGTTGATTTAGATCTCAAGCTAAAGGCTTTCTTTGACTTTGAGTGGATAGGTTGTGTTTATTCTTGCCACTCCATTACTAGCTTTTGTGTTTTTCATAACAAAGCTTTGGTTTCCTAGCGCTCGAAGAAACAATCAATTGTTTCACATTAATCTTTTAAGATTGAATATTGAGCTCTTGATTATTTGACTTGTGAGTTACAATACTTATTATTTTTGTTACAAGACCCTCATATCTCTCATCTTTCTCCTACACTAATTTTCTATGATAATCAATCTGATCTTCATATTACCTCTAATATTACTTTTCATGAGCGTACTAAGCATATGAAATTAGATTGTTATCTTGTTATTAATAAGCTCTAAGTTGGCCTCATTTATTTGCTTCATATTCGCTTCAAGGATTAACTTGCTGACATCTATACCAAACTTCTTGGAGATGGTCCTTCCAATGATCCCTTGTCCAACCTAGGCATGTGTGATCATTTTCTAACTTGTGGGGGTAACGTATGATGATGTTAGATTTTTTTTATTGTATATATATTACTTTATATAGTTAGGTTGGTTTTAATTTTTTATTTTCTGTTACTATTTTAATTTTTAATAGATTTTGATATATTTCTATTTTATTTTTTTGATACATCTTGATAGATATTTTTTCCTTGTGTAAATATATCTCATTGAAATTAATAAAATAAGTAACTATTTTCAAAAATTGTATTATATTTTAGTAGTATACAAAACTCATGAATATTTAATGGAGAGTAAAAAACATTATCATGAAGTACTGCACCTATATGGCCAACCGTAATTTTAGAAGGCATCAAAAAGAATCTTTACTTGTAATTAAGCAACAATTCCTTCATTTTCAAATATAAGCAAATTTCAACCAACTTAGTTTAAGAAAATTGATCAATCATAATAATTATATTTAAAATTAAAAATTTTACATCAAATTATCCTTGTAATTAATAAAACAAGTTTGCCTCGTGAAAATAAACTTTTATTTTATGAGAGAAAATATGAGAAAAATAGGATAAATACTTCTTAAATTTTATAATTTTTCTTGTAACAAAAATTATGAAGCATTGGTAATTTCTCTTGATAAAAAACGGGGGAAGTATAGCTCAATATACTCTTACAGCTTGGGGCTACTTAAAATATTCAGTTCCTCAATGTGAACATTACACATTTATACTCAAGAAAATCTTTTACATCAACAATATTTTATTTAAATAAAGACTTGGAGTCGGAAGTATGCGAGCGATTCAGTATAACATTATGTTTGATTTTAACCCCCTTAACAACTGTTGGCCAAAAAAAAAAACAAACAGACAAACTCCATTAACAATTTTAATATGTATTATTTTTCTTTTAAAAAAAGGAGGTTTAATTAGTTGTGGAACAGAGATCGCGCAAAAAAAAAAAAAAACCAGAAAAATCAATTTTTTGAAACCATTCGTAAGCCAAGATAAATTTGACTCATCATACTTTGGGCCTCACAAACCCTACTAAAATAAACTCAGGCCCAAAATGCATAAAAGGCAAAAGTTAAGCATCGGTCTAAGAGAAGGCCGGGGTTATGTCTCAGATCGTTGACAAAATGCAGGATGAAGCATCATTATGCTTGTGAGTTTCACGTGAGTGGGGTTTACAAATTTAAAAGACTTTCCTATTCAACATGTTAGTTTTTTGAAATAAATCTTTCTTTTAGATTTATGCTTGCAATATCAGTGATTCCATTGAAAAGCCTATGTCATCAAGAAAGCTATTCAAGGAGAGTTCTAATCATCACAAAGAAAAGTGAATGTCATGGGGTGGAATTGCTAAAGATATCAGGTCTAACAAAGGTGCATTGTTACAAGTTCTACATTAGAAAGTCTCCAAAGTTCATAGGTTTAAATATTATCCCACTAGTCTTTTAGGGTACTCTTGACACACTCAGTCTCTCTGATTTGGACAGTTCAGATCTGATCTCCCTAAAGAGCAGCAACTGCTAAACCGAATCCCTCTCTCTAATTGGTTGGCAAATTGGAGTGATCTCTTGCAGCTGAATGATTGGAATTTTATTCAAAATCCACGAGAGAATACGATAATTAATTTTTAATTGCTGAAGTGTTCTGTTCCTGTCGGAGTTCCGATAGCTGGACAAAGTTCATACATAATTAATAACTCATCATTCTCTAATTAATACGAATTTAGTGCTTAAGAGGTTATCTCCATCAGTCCAAGGAAGCTGCTGAGCCCGTACATATATAAGAACGTGGCACGCTTGCTCCTTCTGATGCATGGTCACTTTATAATTAGCCATGATAGATTAACAATCACAAATAAAAGGACGTGTATATATATAGATCATAATTTCATTGCAAGCCAGCCTTCAAATAGTTAATCAGTACAGAGGCTTGTTCCATTAAAATTGCTCCTACTAGACTCACAGGAATAATGTTGAAAGATATCTGAGACGACAAAGCACAAATATGTAATTAATAATCATAACATAATGCGTTAAAACCTGAGAGCTAGTGATCCGCTACGCAGTTGCTGAGGAAGCTGATGAAGAACTCGGACATGAATTGATGCGTACCAAACTTGATTAGGAATCAAAGTATTGAAATAAAAAGTGACAGATTCAGAGTAAGTTCCAGAGACTTCAACTTTCCGTGGCTTCCAACCATCATCACCACTTCTGTACGGATACAGATAGCATATCTGGTCGGTACCTGGTTCTGTTATCCGGAACCAATGATAAATACAACATGCGAATTTTTCAGAAGGGTCGTCCAATCTCGGAGCATAAACCTTAATCATCATCATCATCACCAAACTCAACTAGCAGTAATTATTTGGAGTCATGAGATAGATTCAAATTAAGAAGAAGAAGAAGGAACTAATTAACCTGATTGCCATATTTGTCGCCGAAAGCTAGACTGATTTGATCCCTTGTGTATCTGGGTGAAGAGCAGCTTGTATAAATAAAAGCTGTGTAAGAACAGTTACCTCTGAGATTCTGGAAAGCAAATGAAACAGTGGTTGATTAGCTAAATTATTAGTGCCCTTATGGTTATCTGTTGTTGCAGAGTCATAAAGGTGTTACCTTTTGCTGGTTTCGTTGAGATTAAATAACTCAGGAGGAGCTTGTTGAAGCTCAGAGTATAGTGTTAGTGTCTGTGCTTGTGAGAAGGCGGCGATGGCAGCGGCGACCACGACGAATGTTAGAATTGAAATGAAAGGTTTGATCTTATCTCCCATAACCTGCAACTGCAGAGTGCAGAGAGACAACAGAGTGATGATATCGATGCCCCTGAATCATTGATAGGCCTAGCTCGTCCCTAGCCCTTCCAACTTCGTTGTGGAAAGATATTTGGAGGATTAAAATTCATCCTAAGGTCCTTCACTTTCTTTGGAGAGCACTTACTCGCTCTTTGGCTATCAAGGATGCCCTCCTTTCAAGAAAATGTTCTTCAAATCCTTTGTATCCTAACTGCAAGCAGTGCACTGAGACCATTGAACACATGCTTTTTCATTGTAAATGGACTGAAAAAGTTTGATTCAGCTGCCCACTTACTTTGGTGATTGATCAGTTTCAAATTTCTTCCTTGGTGCTCACACTTTTTAATGCACTACAGCCCCTTTGATGATTATGGAAAGGCTTATGTGGCTTGCCTTGGAATATTTGGAAGACAAGATCTGCTTCTGTATTTCAAGCAACTGAATTGAACCCCTTTTATGTCATTCGCAGTACTGATGCAATTGTTTCTAAGTTTTGGGGTGTTAACACTAAGGAACAAAATTCATTTCCACCAACTACTGTGTTACAGGTTAAGTGGAAGCCTCCTAATAGAGACGTGATAAAAACTAATTGTGATGGGGCTTTCTTCCCCTCATCTGGCCAGGCAGGTATATTGGAGTTCTGTGTAGAGACCACGATGATGAATTTTTGAAGGGGTGGGCTGAATCTATCGAGGCTGACTCTAGCTTTATGGCTGAACTGAAGGCGTGTATCAAAGCTGTTAATGTAGCTGAAGATTTCAACAATAGCCTAGTTGTGATAGAAACGGGACTATATGGAGCTGTTCTCAGCTATCATCACTAAAACAACTGGAATTGTCATGGGCTGCTGACAGATTTTCTGGATAATGTCAGTTTGAAAGACCCACTCTCATTTTCCTTCAATAAGAGGGAGGGAAACACTGCAGCTGACTCTCTAAAAGGTGTGGCTCTTCATGGTTGGATTCTTCAACCTCCCCGCCTTCTTCTTGACTAATGTCATCTGATTTAGTTATAAAGCAAAGTGACTTCCTGCAGCCTATGACCAACAGAGACAAGGAAGGGATTGGCTGATGTTTGTGGCTTTTGTTTCTTGTGTTATTCAAGCCTTTGCCACTTGGGCTCATGGCTTCATTTTGTCTATTGTTTCTTCGTTGTTGTTGCATTGTTTCATAACTTTCTTGTTTTACTTTCTGTCTTTAATATATTCCTCTTTCTCTGTTGATCAAATAAAAAAAAATTATAACACTTTAATTATATATTTAATTTTTAAATTAAAAAATGTAAATTAATTTTTAAACCTAATCGTTGGATGCATGGAAATTTTAAAATTAAAATGAAAGATAAGGGAAGAATGGCTCTAAAAAAAAAGAATTCGTAATGGCCATTAGACACCCATAAAATGTTTTTAAAGATAAATTATAAATATCTATTCAAATAATTATAAAGGAAAATTACATGTAAATCTTACACAATACAATTAATTAATATAAAGTTTATTAACAACTGAGTCAAGAAAAATGACAACTATTGAGCTAAGAAAAATGGCAACTAATGTATTGTTATTTTTCTTAACTCAGTTATTAATAAACTTTATAGTGATTAATTATGTTGTATGGGATTTTAAAGTAATTCTTCCTACTTATAATGTTAAAGTTTTTACACTATTATAAAAGATAGTTCTACTGCCTTAATTCACATCACATTTTAAAAATGAGACTTAGAAAAAATACAATCCACATCATCCAAGCAAAAGCAAGATGTGGATTGAAAAATATATTTTTTTTATTTTTAAAAGAATCCACGTCCCCTTCCTTTTTGGATACGTTAGAGTCCATGTCTCCCATATAGGAGGGGGACGTGGAATATGGTGTTTTTGAGCCTCGTGTTTGCTTCATTTGTCAAAACCCATTCTTTGTGTCTCTTAGCTCTCCATGTCTTTGTCTCTCATCTCTCAACTCCCTCCCTTGCTCCTTGTCTTTATTTTGTCTTTGTGTCTCTTTCAACTTCCTTCCTGTCATTGTCTCTCATCTCTCGTCTCCGTCTCTCACAGCTCACTATCTTATTTTTTCTCAAAACTATTGTCCTCTCTCGGCTGCTCTGTGTCAACAAAGCCCCAACTACTCACAACTAAGCACCTCTATGCTGACGAGACCTGTCTCTTATTCCTTCCCGCTGCCCCTCTCCTCTCCACTCCTCTGCTGAACCACACTAGCTTCAGGTACTATTTCTTTCTTTCTTTGTTTTTTATTTGAAGCTATCTCCACACGCAACCTTGCCTCTATATTATGCTCAATTTATTTTTTTCTCTAATTTATTTTCAATTTATTTTCCCACATTATGTCCTTTTTTTCACTCTCCACTTAAGTGATTTATTTGCTCTAATTTAATTAGATAGTTTAATGAAAATTTAGATAATACTGCACCTAAGAATTTGTGATAATGGTTAGGTCTTCCTTGCATGTATATATTTTATCAAATTTTATCTTATTGAATTATAGAGTTATAAATTATATATATACATATATAATATTTTAGATAATATTGATTTTCTTCCATGTTCCGTCCATATTTCCATCCATATTTCTAGTTGTTTAATTCATTTTATGGCCTAAAAAATTTGTTGACATAGAGATGACAATTGTGATGGCAGAAAAACTCTTCATTATTCTTTGATTTGCTCTTTTGATAACTTATATAACTTTTATTCATTTGATGTTTCATTAGGATTTTGATGATGCTGAGGACTACTCTTCTCTGCTACAATTACATGAATTTTTTAAGGCAATAACAAAGCCTATCAATTTAGTAATGCCTAAAGGAATTGTGGGTATATGCAAGCCATGTCCTTTTGCAATGGACAATAATGAAAGAGTTGGATATCTTATGGGCTATGTTATCTATCTTGTAATTTTATTATCTATATTTTATTTTATTTTTATTTATTTTTATTTATATGCAATAATTTTTATATCCTTCTATTAATAGGTTTTTTAGTAATCTTAGCAGTGGACCACAAAAAGATCAATTTGGATTTTTGTATCTAGCTTCTTTAATATCGGCTCACAACGATACCAGTGATAGGATGAGACATATGGGTAATATTATTTCAAAAATAAAATACTATCTGGCCTTAATTCTTAAAGGGCAAGTTCTTTTATATTCATTTATATATATATATATATATATTCAATTCCATAATACTTTTTATGCTTTTATATACTGATTTCATTTGTCTCTTTGTAGTTACCATTGGTCCCCTTGTGTTGCATGCCCGTATTTGCACGTGATCTATTGATTTTGTTCTATGGGCAAGCAACCGAGTATTGAAACTAAAAATATATTCAATAAGTAAGTTAAGATTATTTTTATAAATATTATACATTTATTTTGTTTTAATACTTTATGTTTTATTTAAATTTTATGATAAAGCATTGAAGATATATTATATGATTAGGGGAAAGTGCCGCCCACCAAAAACTATATCTCAAAAAAATCCTCCTCCAACTTGGATCTTTCCAAACGTAAATAATTTCAATTCAATACTTTTTATCTACAATTATTTCATATATATATTTTTTATATTTATCATTCAATTTTAAATTTTCATTGCCATTTCTAGATAGGGAGTACAAAGTGTGGATATTATATTATCTGTTATATATATGAGATTAGGAAATTAGCTTTCTTTCACTAATAAGTGATACATTGGTACTAACAATAGATCATAACTTACAACAGAAAAAGTTAATCAGATTAGGGGAGTTTTAAGTTTAGAGTTAGATGGAAGAATACAAGCATACCTAACTAACCCATTAGACAAGGATCTGTTACAACATTTTTTATATCCTTCACCTTGCCTTTATTTTTCAATTGATGTAAATAAACATGCAATCTACCTAGGTTTGAACGTCATGCATTCATTCCCTTAACCATAATTGCCAATTGCCAAATGTATAGAGTATATGTCCTAGACAATTGTATAAGATGGGATCAGGTATTACTTGACATTGAAGACAATTCAATCACAATGTAATTATGTGTGTTCTGTGTGTGTTAGCATGATCATAGGCAAGTAACTATCTCATAGGCATGTTAGCATGATCACACAATATTTTACATGGTGTCATATAATGGTTAACATGAAAGGTAGGCAGGGGCACGAGAAGGTTATATTCATTTTACATGAAATTCAGTACAATAACATGTAATTTTTGCATACCCAACTTTGTTTATGGATTAATTTGCATGAAATTTTTGTAGAGTACTAGGTTTGGGCAATTAGAAGTTCACTATCAATCTTATATACAATTAGAGATAAGTTAAGTTTAAATGAGAACATGAATTTTTAACAAGTTTGGATGGCATAAAGAACAGAACTAGCAGCTCAAAACAAAAGGAAACCAAAACCATACTCGCTCGGACAAAATGGAAGCTTTAAGACATAATGTATACCTAGTTGTTGTCCCTTAGCCCATCGGCACTCTGAAGTAGCTTGAAAATCATTGCTGGAGACTTATCAATCACAAGTCATCCGATTAAGGCATTGTGCAGAGAGATGGGGTTGTCTTTCTCTATGCTCGTCACTCATAGCTCACACCGCTGTTGATAGTCTGCCGAAAAAACGTCCCTCACCAACATTTTGGTCTTCTCTTATTCAAATTATGCAAATAAGCTAAGCAGAGAGGGTGGTCTTTGTGTTCAAATTTAATTGTTAAGATAGGGGCATTTTGGTGAGCACTATATAAAGTAAAAACAATAAAAAATAAAGGTTAGTCCTTCAACAAAATTTAGTCCTTAGAACCAATCACTACTACAAAAATGGATATATATGACGGGCCTTATTGAACAGTTATAATTATAACCATCTAATAAATTAAAATATTGGACAGTTCAATAAATATATTGGACGGTTATTTTTAGAACCGTTTAATATATGTTTGAATTTTTTCAATTCCCTCTTTTTTTTAGACTTTATTGGACGGTTATTATGAACAACCGTCTAATAAAGGTGTTGAATATTGGACAGTTAATATTTTAACCATCCAATATGTGCTTTATTTCATCAGCTTCGGCCTCCCCTTCTGTAGTTTTCTAGATCTAATTCTTTTGGTTTCCGTCTTGGCTCTCTCCTCTTCGTGTCCCCTCTCCTTTCATTTCAGCCATTAATCTCTTCCAAGCTCTCTCTTGCTCTCCCACCACTCTCTTCTCCTGCTCTACCACTAAAGACTTATCTCCCACCACCGAAGATCTTGTCTCTCCTCGTGCTTTGCTCTCTCACACGTAAGTGGTCTCATTTTCTCCTTTCATTTCTTCTGATTCTCTTGCTCTCTGAAATAATTGAACTTGATTTTTGTATTTCATTGTTGCATGGATTACTGATTTTTGATTAGGCTTTTATTTTATTAGATTAGATTATATTGATTTTGGGTATTATTGGTGTTGCACGCAAGCTGTTCGATAAAATGCTTCATAGAAAAAAATGAGCTTAGCAAGAACCCACATAAAATTTAAGTTATGGGTTACTTGAAAATGCATGTTAGACTAATAATATATGATTAGAAGAGAGTTATATTTAGTTTTTATTTTTATCTGAATTTATTGTCTATTTTTTATGTATTTTTTATTTGAACAATATTTAACTAGTTTGAGTGAAAAAATTTTATCATTTGGTTCTTTGATTGATGATTGAGTAGTATATGAAATTTCATAGTGATTGGAATTGTATATGAGTACTTTTAGCTTACTCAAAATTGTTACTTATATGTAATTTGTAGTTTTAAATAACATGTGATAGTGTTGTTTTTGATGATGATGATAATGTGATTAGAATGAGGGTAAAATGCCTAAGAAAATACCATACATAATGTACTGATGCCTGCAGACTATTTGCGAGGGTTGATTTTTGAACCCATTGATGCCAACTACCCGTTGCCCATTCCAACCTTAGATGCATTTACTGTTGGAAAAGCAAGTAGCAACTTTATTGCATGGCCCAGGGTTTTCTTCTATGTAGAAGATAAAGCACAAAATTGACAGGTATGCTAGTTACCTTTTTATGTATATGTCACATAATTGGTCTCTAACTATATAATTGGTGCGCAGTTTAAGGGGAAAGACATTACTAGACAATCGGGCCAATAATCCAAGGTTGAGACAGTCGTGCCAAACCAATTGTCAAAAGCCTACCAGAGCGTACTTGAGGCATATGCAAAGTTGTTTGCTAATTCTACAGTGCTTATCAGCTTTGACCAAAGCATGTACGGCAGAGAACAACACGATGTGGTTAGGGTTGAAATAGTCAATGAAGTCCTCAAGCGAATTTCGATTAGCCAAAACGTGGTTCATTTTTATATGAGGTACATATTGTTTATATGACTTTTTATTATATTTTAAACTTAATATAATATAATAATTTGTTTATTTTTTCATTTAGATACTTATATGAAAATTTTATCGCCCCTGGTGATCCTGCGTTAAAATTTATCTTTGTTTGTCCTCATGATGTCTCTCCTCATCACAACATCACTACCAAGGTGCGGTATAGCCAAGCTCAAACATTAGCAAAGTACTTTGAGGCAAAAAACCCTACTGCAGGGATGTTATTTCTGGTACTTTATGTACAAGGGTGAGTTCAGTGGTATCCTAATTTATTTAATTTATCTTGTCATTTTAAGTTTCATAATATATGTTTTCAGATTGTTTTAGGAGCCACTGGATGCTAATCGGCATTATGCCGGTTGCTATTAAAACTATAAAATTTTACTACTTAGACTCTACTAGTGGGCAGTTAGATAATAGGCCAAATATAATGGAATTATTTAATTTGTAAGTTTATATTTTGATTAACATTTCTATATTTTTCATTTTAAATTTCTAGTTTTAACTTATTTTCTTTCTTATCAAGGCTGTGATGCTTTATCGCACTAAAAAGAATTTGCCTGTACCATTAAGGTACAAGTCATATGATCTAGGCTACCCTAATTGGAAGATAATAAAGGTACTACTCACTACTAATTTTAACAATTAATTTTAGTTTTCTAAGTAATTCAATAACATGTTTATTGATTTTTCTATGCAGTGCCCACGACAAATAGCATATAGTGAGGACTGTGGATATTGCGTCATGAGATTTCTTAAAGACATCATCACTCATGGGCTGACTCTAATCCCCCCTGCGGTATGTATGTTATTTACATTAAATTATATGTGATTATGAATTTTAATTTGCTGAAATAATTACCTTTGTTGTCATATTACATTATTGCAGTATTATCTTGATTCTTATTATGACGAATTAGGGGATTATCACATCAACGAAGTTATTGAGGAATGGTGTGAGTACATTTTTTAGCTGTGGGCCAGAAATAAGTAAATTACACTTTTTCATTTTAGTTTTTATAATTTAAAATAATTTTGGTTTAGTCCAACAAACAACTTTATTTTACTTAGCACTATGTTGAACAATTGTATAGGTAACAAATTTTTTTATTTTAATAAAATTATTAGTTTACTATAATTCAATTTAGTTTAGTATAATTATGGATTGAACTAAATTGGATTGGACTGGTCTGTATTTGCATTATATTATTGTAGGGGCTACAAGAAATGCAGCTAGCATATTAAAAAAATTGTAATATATTAGACGGTTATTTACTATAATCATCCAATATAACAAAAGTATTGGACGGTTATTTACTATAATCATTCAATATGTCCATATATTGAACGGTTCTTAAAATAATCATCCAATATATTTTTTCCTTATACACCTCATTCTAACACTATATTGGACGGGTCTTTGAACCGTCCAATATTTATTTTATCAATATATGACGGTCTCATATTGGACAGTTCATGATCGTCCAATATAGGCAAAAATAATCGTGCAATATTTCCTTTTCTGTCGTAGTGAATTTTCCTTCCAATCAGATTATTTTTACCAATTTTCCTCTCTTTTTTTAATCAATTTGGCCACCCACAAATGGCTTCCCGATTCCACCATTTGCCATGTCATATATTAGATATGTTTGATGTCAAGATCATGACTTGAATTTTGATCTCTTACCTTTCAAACCTTATGTTCTCATTATTTATCAATTGAATTGAAATATACATACAATCATTATATAAGAAATTAAATATATATTATTCAACTACACATATGAAATTATATATTATTAAAAATACCCTAATATGTTATATTTTATTTTCAATTATTAATATGATAAAATTATTTATATGAATCTTTATATTATATTTTCAATTAAATATTGTTTTTTCTTTTATTCCAACAAAATATTATTTTTTAAGAAAATGAACTTAAAATGAAACAAATATTAAATATTAAATAATTTTATTATACATATTTTAATTAATTTTTTTTTTATTTTTAAAATAAAAAATAATTACATATATAATTAAAATTTATCATCAAACGTCAACTTTTTGGTAGTGATTAGTTAGAGATAGAATCCCTCACTAAGATTTTTAGTATTTCAATAATTATTTTTTTAGAGAGTCATAAAAATGCATTACTATTTTTCTCGCTAATTATTTATTTTTAGAGAGATATAAAAATATATTATTGATTTTCTCATTAATTATCTTATTTAGAGAGGAAGATAAAATTCCTTGCTAATTCCTTGCTAATTTTCTCTCATTTTAAAAAGGTATAAAAGTATCTCACTATTTTTCTTGCTAATTATCTTATTTTAGAAAGGGATTGACAGTCTTTCACTATTTTTTCTTGCTGATTTTAAGTCAAACTACAAAATTAATATCCTTTACTAATTTTCTCTTTAATTTAGCATTTTAGAGAGAAATAAACGATCCTTCGCTAAATTTTGTTCGCTAACTAATTTGCTTTTTTCTAGTAGTCAGTATATATTTTTAACTTCAAGTGAGCTTTCTGATATGTTCAATGATAATGACTCAATTCTCCATCATGTTACAACCAATTGAGCAAATTAGAAAAGAGTATAGATTTTCATAAATTTGAGATTAATGTCTGTGTTAAACTTAAGTGTGACAACTAACAATCTGAACACCATTGTGTTGGAAGTTTTTATTTGTTTTCTGGTGTATCCTTAGTCATGTCAGCTCACTGATATACGTTGGGGTCGTCTATTGAATTTGGGTTATCAGAGTCATCTTCAACTTTTGTGTTACCTCTTCACCTTTATCACTCATCAGCTTCATTAATCAGTCACGTATAAGTTCATCAGCACTGTTATGTGCCATCAAGATTCAATCATTTCGATCATCCGTATAAGAGTACGTACGCCTTGCTTAGAAGTTACTCATGATATGAATGAAGTGTTTTTATTATAAATATAAAAAACTAGATTTCACAGCGCAGGAATATTCCCTTTATTGGATTTAAAGGGAAAGGATATATATGAGATTTTAATGAGTTTAATTTTAAATTAGGCAATGATTCATTTTCGTTTATAAATTGTTATACCCGTGCAAATTTAAAATTTAAAATATAGTAGTTGTTTTAGAATTTGTATCTTCCATGAATTATCAAGGGATGCTTAGTCCAAAGATATATGCAGTTACATTAAAAATATATATTTAAAGGCATTATTGAGGCACTCGTAAGGTTGCAATTGAAAATATATAATAACAATCTCATATAGTGGGAGTTTGTATTAGTCTTGGCGGGATGGATTTAGATCCAATAAATAGCTTAAATATATTCACTCAATAACAATACTTTAATTTAATTGAACAATTGTTAGAGATTTTTTTTATATATAATACTCAAAAAGTATCAAACCTCACATCTTTTGAGTGGACAGTACAAGTAAGGAGTGTTTTAATTGTGATAATTATTTTAAATTTTTTGAAGAAAACATATCTTGATAATTTTTTAAAAAAACATATCTTGATAATTTTTAAGTATTAATAAAATACAACAACTATAATTAAGACACTCTTTAAATGATATAATTAGAACACTCACCATCCAAATTCAGGCAAAATGTGGTGTGGAATGGAGAATTAAAAAAAAAAAAGATAACAACTTGTTTTACGTTATAATTTGTTATCCGGCTTCCGGCCTTTTCATATTATAATAAAAACTTAAACAGTATATTTTATTTTAGAATTTATTCCTTCATGCACTTTGTGTAAAAAATAAAGTAATTTAAAAATTCATTTAGAAATTACATAATAAATAAAAAATGTGTAAAATGATATCATACAATATAAGTAAGAACCCATTCTACTCTATAATTTGTCATATGTGCACACACATTAAAAACTTAATTAGCATATTTTATTTTATTTTAAAATTTATGATCCTCATATTTGCAAAAGGGAAAGCAAGAGTAGCTACCACAAATACATTGTATGATACCACTTGAGATCTAAAACAAAAGAGAGCTATATCATTTAATTTGGATCTAACAATGAACTTATATAGCTAAAAATTATACATCTACTCCATGAAGCTAGATGCTAGCTAATTGAATGTGGCTTAACAATAATAGACCTTAATTGTTAATATAATCTCAACAAGGATATATAAGGCTTAAACTCTAGGAAGATGAGTCATGAGAGTTATATACAAAGATGGTACGCAACATAAATATAAACCCTAATGTCATATAGATCCACGAAAGCTTGTAATAATAAATTATTAATTAAAGAAAGGCCCAACAATATTGTCCCCCTCTTGTACCTTATCATATGGAAAACAGCTCACAGAATGAGACAAATCAAACAGGACTCTATTGTCCCCACTTTGGAAGCCTCCATTTAATCTTTCATGTTCTTCTTGTTTACATGTCTGTGTCTCTCTCTTTCTCTCACTATCACATGGCGTTTCCTTTTGCTCCTAAAAACCTTGTCATTAATTCCTCATTTAATGACAGTTATAGCAAACAGATGGCTTGCTTTTTCTTTTCTTTCCTCTAGTAAACTTTAAGGTCCCATAAGTTCATTTATGTGACTGCTTCAAATTATGTTGTTATGTAATACCTCCACCAATAATTGTCCCAACAACACCCACCAGGCATATAGATATAATTATCAAATATTCAAATAATTTATTGAATGGTTTGTGTTTAATTATTTCAAATACTGATTTACTAGTTTCATTTTTTTTGTGAATAATGATGAAATTTTATTATAAACCTACATTAATTGATTAACATTTACGTGTAAGATTACTATATAATACCCTTATAATGGATAGAGAATACTTTCAGTTCCACCGATAAATTATATTATTTTTTTAAAAATGTTTTAATATGATCAAAACCGACGAATCAAATTGATTTTATTTTAAATCGAATAAGCTGAAAATTTTCCCAAAGATTGGCCCTCTGAACACCTTGATCTGCAGTTTTATTTGGCAAAGCAAGAATTTTTCAACGTTGCTTTCAATCCTCATTACCATCCACATTAGTGATATTTGCATACCCAAATTCCATATGAATAAAGTCATGTCAATCAATCAAATCCTAATGTTGGTCTGCTTTTTGTTACTCGATTCTTCGTGCTTTTTAACGGATATTATTGTTTTTCTTTTGAGTAAAATATATCAACCTCTTTTCTATTTTATTTTAATTATAGAAATACTATTTTTATTTGTAAAATTTAAATACACTTTTTTTAAAATCAAAATTTATATAATACATACTTCCCATTAATTTTAAAATTTTTATTTTCATCCATTCGACTAATAATTAACTATTAAATCATAAATTTTACACTAAAATCTTTCAAGAGTCATTTAAATTTTCAAATAATAATTATAATATATAAGTTAAAAATAATAATATCAAAAATAAATAAACTTATTTACATAGTAACTTTAAACTTCTAAATATCTAAATTGAAAAAAATAATATTTAAGACATATATGAATAAAAATTTAATAAAATAGAAAACATTTCAAAAAAGAGTTAGGAATTTAATATAAAGAGAGATAAATTAATTAATATAATGTTTATTTATTTTATTAATTTTAATATAATTTATGTTTATTAATTTTCATATTTTGTATAATATTTATGAAAGTAAAATATAGTAATATTCTTTAAAATTGAAGAGAAAGAATATATATATATATATATTAGATTATGCGGGCATATTAATAATTTAATATTTTTTTACAGATTTTAATTAATGTAATAAAGCTTTTAGAATCTTAAACTTAATATTTCTACCGGTGTTAAGAAATGGAATAAAATGTAGATTTTTAAGAAAAGAGGAGAGATCTCTGACAAACTTAAAAGGAGGTCATTATATTTTACTACTCTTTTTTTTTTTTTATGCAACCACCAGGTTTTCTTTGATTTTTCCAGAGCTTCGAGTATTCGTTCGATACATTCATGTGTGTTTCTATGTATATTACTCCATTAGCTTTTACTAAATGGAGGATTTAGATAATTAATTTAGGGTACAGGAGCAACATACCTCCTAAATCATACATTGAGTATTACCAGCAATTCTAAACTCATTTATTATGTAATTTGTTTTCTTAATTTTTAAATTCATAACATCCTCTCTGACATTAAGTAGAGGATAATGTCTGTTACTTCATGATGAAGCTGACTAATTTGTTCACATGCAAGGTAAAATTTGAAAGTAACTAACATTATTCTCTACAAATTCAACAAGTAAGGGAATAAATTGCATAATAAATAAGTTTAAAGTCTTATAATTTAAATACAAAGATTAATAAAATTGATTTAGTTATTTGTAAAAAGTACAAATTGGTTTCTCTAAAGTAACATATTTAATTATTTTTATTGAAACTATATATATACTCTTTTTGATATAAATCCCCTTACTAACATATATAATCAATAGTATAGTAATAGTTTAGGGGGAAAATTATGAATTTGGGAGACTAATTGAATTGAGATCTTAGTTTTAAGATTAAAATAAATTTCTCAATTAACTCTTACATTTAGGAATTGAGAGATTTCTTCCGCTTGTTGATATCTCAAATCTTTCTTTTTCTTTTTCACTCTTTCAGTTATTTTCTTTCTTCCTTTTTCGGTAGTAACACACACACAGACATATACGTATAATTGATGCCTGCTACATTATTATAAGTTAATTATAAAATACACAAGTCATTGCTGTTTGCTAATTAATGATTGTGTTGTTTAATTTTCTACTTTGGCAAGGCTTTTCATTTTTTCCCCTCATATTGTTGAATGAATGTACAATAAATTAGGCATATATTAATGTGCTACTGGAGAATGCAATAAAAAAAATGTACTACCCATGTGTGATTCAACTGGTAATTAAGAAAATTGTGCAAATTAAATCAAAAGTCTATAGCTCAAGCTAGCCCTAAAAATATGGTAGCATTAGTGGTAAAATTTTCACTTAAAAATATCTTATCCTAACTTGATTTATATTAGTCTTAGTTCTCATAAGGTCTACTTGCCTCGATGTGAGGTAGACCCAGAATATCATATGCTTCACGAGTCATGAGTCTAATGCATATCGGGGAGTCTCAAAAGTAAATCAAAGTTTATCATTATGATAGGTTATCACATGCCCAACACACTAGTTCTTTTTTGGTATGCATTGTTCCTTTAAACTTGTGTCTGTAACGTAATGAAAAGGTAATACTTGGCCCCACAACATTTTTTTCCAAAAAATCAAATTTTTAAAATGCAATTAATTTAAATTATTTATTTATACGTTAATGGACTTGTATTCATGGATTTACTTAGGTCGACGGACCACTTAATTATTGAGGCCCTCATGCATCACAAATGTTTTTTATAATTCCATGAGATTGGATATCCAAACATGAAACCTTGTACTTACTTCGTCTCAAATTATAAAATATTTTTAAGAGAGATTTAATATTTTAAAATATAAGATATTTTGAGAAGATTAAAATTTTATTGAATAGATTTATTTCAATATTACTATTTATCTTTATGATTAATTTTCATCCCTTCTTTTTTTAATATATTAAATGATGGATATTTTTAAAATTTTATATTTTTATTTTAGAAGATAAGATTATTAGTTGTATTTAATAACATTTATTAATATGTGAGATTTTATTTAAAAAGTTTCTTATAATTTAAAAATGAGAGATCGGAATATAATATAATTTCACATTTATAGTTATTTTCACTCCTAAGTGTTTTTCCCCACCTTTTGACAATATAATAATATGAATGTATAATATCAATATTAACATCATTATATCAATATCAATCCATCTAATATACAGTTTATATAAATTCACCTCATATATAAATTATAAATAATGTGATTCAAATTTCGCACTACATAAAATATATTTCACCATACACTTGAGGTAGATCCTTTGAACGAAGAAAGAATAATACTTGGATCTCAAAAAAAAATATTGTTGAAAGATTACTTGCCAGCTGCCAAAAACATGTTTTAATTAAACATGCCTCATTGAGAATTGAGAATCTTACATTTATAAGGTGCCCTTGTATAATGGATGATCATGTTTTGAATAAAATAGTCTCAAATAAGAGAACACTTGTAAATAATTAAAAAAAATTATACTTATAACTCATCTTTCAGCAAAATTTCTTAAAACCTTATAGTTATTAAATTGATCTTTTGAGATCTAATGTTATTTTTTAAAAGGTTTTCTCTACTTCTATATATCTTGATAGTTAATGGTATGGTAATCTTCTATCATTTACCTTCTATATATGGAACGTAATATTCAATATTTATGCATAGGTTTTTCAATTTTTTTTCTCAGTCTCTTATTCTTTTTATTGATTGTTTAGGTTAACTAGGCCTTAAAAGGCATATTAAGGTTGGGAGAGGCCTCGAGACTTCGAATATTTATAGAGGTACAAGTAGATGAAGTTCTCATCATATGATATTTAAGATTAGATCGAGCTTATGTTTGTTTATCAAAATTCATCTTCTTTCCTTTTTTGTTCTTTTCAGTTCATTTCTATAAATAAAAATTAACAAAAAATTAACACACACATGTATATATGTATGTGTATGTATGTAGGTATTCTCAATTTATTGATGAAAAATTTTAGATATAAATCAAGTCATCTAGGTACTCAAACATGTGAGATATATCCATTACACACTAATAAATCTTGATACAAGAAAATTTTACATTCTCCAAACTAAGGGAAACGAACAAAAGACACAGCACTTACAAAGTCACATGACAACCTTAAATATTTGCCATCAGATTAATTTTTCAAAAAATAAAAATTATTATAAAACAGAAGAGAAGCACTTTGATTATATGAAAATGAAAGCACGAGGTTGCGAGTCCCATAAAAATGAAAAAGATTAATTATGTGAAGTTGACTTGTGGAGCCCCACATGCCGACGATGACGATGATGGATCAAAGAAAAACAGAGCCTTCATTTCAGTTCCCATTAAGGAGTTCTTCTATCATCTGCAACGCCATCTTCTGCTCCTCGTCCAGCTCGCTGTTCTCTTCTTCTGGTTTCACCTTCTCCTCCGTTATCTCCAGCGCCGGCGACTCCTCCTCCGACGTCGCCTCCTCTGAACCTCCAAGTTTCTTCCTTTCCAGCTCTACCATCATGACCCAGTTGGAGTCAGATCGAGGCCCTGCTCGCTTCTGCCACACTCCGATGTGACAGTTCTCTGTGTCCAACCTCAAGCAAGTCAGAGATGGCGAAGGCGATTTACAGCACTTCCGAAGCTTTGCACTGAGAGCTTCAGAAAATGATGAGGAAGAAGACGACGACGACGAAGAAGAATGGTAATTTTGATTATTGGGGGCCACTGGGAAGTTTGTTTTGGCGTTTCTTCCGCTCATCAAAATGGCTGCTTCATCATAAGCTCGTGCTGCTTCTTCTGCAGTATCGAACGTCCCTAGCCACACCCTTCTTTTCCTATATTCACACACCACATCAGATTAAAGTACTAGATTCATAGATTTAAACGAAATATGACATATGAATTAGAATTTTTGTAATACCCAATAACATAAAAATTATGAATGAATGTCCAAACATGGCTGAAAATGAATGAGTGAATGATGAACAGGGGATTTTGCAGGGGCCAGAAATGTACAGGCAAGTGAAAAAAAAAAAAACATGAGTACTGCTTTAACCCTTTTGACTTCTGGGAAAAAAAGGCAATGAAAGTACGAAAGATTTAAATTCTCAACATACAATATCATGTCAATGTAATATATTCTCAAAAACAAAAAAGTAAAAACTAGTTTATATATGTTAAGGAATGACGAACAGGGGAATTCGTAGGAATGTAAAGAGCCAGATGAAAAACAGAGCAGTACAGTACATTTTACCCTATCAAGAAGGAAAACAGAGTATAGGTAAGAAAAAGTAGAGAAGAACAGAGGACAATATATATTGTGGAAGGAGGATATAATATATATATATGAAGTTTGGTGAGAAGAGAGAATATACAATAAAGGATGGCGGATCTCAGAGACCCAAGAGCCCCAATGACGCTGTCTGACACCTCTGAACTTCTTTGACTGCACCATCTCTGTCAGAAACTGACTTCCCCTGAGTGAAGGAAGAAGGAAGGAGATGGTGAGAAAATGTGAGAGAGAGAGACAGACAGAGAGAGATGAAATGAGAAAGTCATGGAAAGTTACAATGAAGTGGGTTGTTATTATAAAGAAGCTTTGGGGCTACTTGGAGTCGAGGCTGCTTGTGATTTTTGGTGGAATAGTCCTAAAGTGTTAACAAAGTGGTCCTGCTTTTACTCTAATCGTTGTAACAATAATGTTGTGATCTCTTGGGTGTCTTTAACTATAATGGCTTTTCTGTTAAGACCTTCTCTACACCTTCTCAGCTTGCACAAGCTTTTACTTTAGTTTAATTAACTTCTATGCTAAAACGGTAATTTTTTGTTTTTCATTTTATCATACTCTTGTTAACTTGTAATAATGAGAAAACATGTTTAGTTTTATAATAAGGTGATATGTAAGTACTTGTTGTTACTTGTTATATGGTGCTAATTTGCAAGTTTAGAGGAGGTTCACCCAATGTTTAAGAAGAATATTGTAATGCGTTTTTTGGATGAGAGAGATGACAAAATAGGACAAAAGATAAAGGAATAATATAACTTTAAGATGTTTAATGCTTTTAATTGTTGATTTAATTTTTAAATTTTAATTTGACTTAAGTAATTTATTGAGTTAAAAAATTATTAAAATTAAATTATATCGAGTCAAAAAACTAAAAGAACTGATGAGTTGTTTTGAATTAAAAATTTACATAAATTGAGTTATTGCAAGTTAATTAAAAGTTTAGGGATATTGAATCAATAGTTGAGAAAAGGGTTAGAGATCAAAAGTTACATTGTTTAAAAAAAATTTTACTTAATTCTATTTATAAGTCATTGTTAACATACTTCACTAAAATTAAGAAAAAAAGTTAAAACTCATTAATTTTATTTAAAAATTTAATAAGTTTCTAACTTTATTTTTATTAATTATATATGTTTTAATAACTTATTTTCTTTTATCAATATTTAATGAAAGGTAAAAAAAATTATAATAAAAATTTAATTTCATAACTTATAAATATAAGATAAAAAAATTATTTTTTCTTTGCCTTGTAAATAAATCTAAAAAGGAATAAAGTTGTATGAAAGCTTTCCTGCAAAATATGATTGCGAGAGGCAGCATATTCGATCCTGCTCGTGATTTGAAGATGTTAGCTTTCTTTTGTAATTGAAAAAAAAAAAAATACAATAACCCATTGGAGAGAACCCAAATTCATTTTTTTTGGGCCCCCTTAATCCAAAAGGCAAGAATATGTTTGAAAAGAAAAAAGAGTAAATGTTGAATATAATTGAAAGACCGAAGCGATTGATTAAGGAGAGAACAAGAAGGAATTATTGGTTGTCACATTGTGTATTGGTTGGGCACATTAAGATTTGGCAGTAAGTGATGTATTGTATTTCGCCAAGCAGGAATGGCTTTAGATCCCTTACCCGAAAGTCTGTTCCATCCATTTACCAATGTGATATTCTCACTCTAATCTCACAACCACAATTTGCCTTTTTATATATTGTTTGTCACATCCTTCCTATAATGTTCTTAGTTCTTTGCCCTCTTTTGCTATTTTTCTATTACATTTTTTTTTCATGTTAGATCCTCTATACACTTCACGAAAAATGTGACACAAACATGATATATTTGATTTTTGGAAAAAATGATAATAAAACCTTTTAAATTATATAAATGACAACTTGATCTCTTAAAAAGTCATAATTTCACTGGCGTCCCTTGAAACTTCTCTGTCAATAAATTTTAAAATGAAAAATAATTTTACCCTTATTGAAAATAATAAGCCCTAATTACAACTTTTACTTAATGAATAACAACTTTTATTCTATAAATCACAAAAATTGAATAAGAAATCACAACTTATCAATTGTGATTTTTGTTATTAAAAAACAAACCCTAATCACAACTTTTACTTAAGGAATAATAACTTTTATTCTATAAATTGCAAGAGTTGAATAAGAAATAATAATTTTTCAAATGTAATTTACATTATTGCAAAATAAGTTTTGAAAATAATAAACCCCAATTATAAATTTTTTTTAAGGAATAACAATTTTTATTCAAAAAATTATAAGAATTAAACAAAAAAATATAACTTGTCAATGAGGATAAAATAATTTTTTTAATTTAAAATTTATTGATGCAAAAGTTCCTAAAGACTTCAGTGTAATCATAGCATTTTCAGGGACTAAATTATCATCTATATAATTTAAAAAATTTTATTATCATTTTTTTATGATTTTAACTTGTATACGTCTTTTCCATTGTACTTTTATACAAACTCTTTTTTGGTTTATGAAGAAGGTTATTAATTAATTTTCTTTCTAATCTTTTTAACCTGACTTTAGACTAATAATCTCAAACCCAATTTCTTCTTACCTCCAAATTAGATGGTCCTCAAGGATAGAATGACAAAAAATACAAACAACTATTACAAAATTACCCTCATCGTTCTCATCTCCTTGAATCTTCCTTCTACTCTTCACCCTTGAGTTAGAAAAATCATAGTTATTGATGATTCCATTTAATTAATCTTATATATTAATTCTAAAACAACGATCAAACAAATCCGCTCCTTTAATCTTCCAATCAAAGTTCCAAGAATATGTTCCATTTTATTCCACTTCATCCCATTAGCTCAACTCCAGTCCATTTCATTAATGATCACTTCATTGCATTCCATATGTATATGTATATGTATATATATTATAAACTTCTGTAAACACAGGCTAAAGTTAATTAAACGAAAAAGAAGAGGAGGCGTGAGAGGTGAAAAGGGAAGGTGTGGGGGTGAAGTAAAGAAGAAAGAAGAAAGAGCAAAGGGGGGGAAAGTGGGGCAGTTGAAGAAAGAGGGCAATGATGAAGGATACATTTTGAATGAAACGTTGCTGTCGTAAGGGTGAAGGTGTGTTGTCGTTTACGTGGGTTCGTGAAAGGCAAGCTCATATGTACTTTATCACTTTGTTTAAAAGGAGGGACTGCCCCTCATGATAAGGACACAACACATGAATAGTAAAATGGAACAACTCACAACACCTCACGTGATGCTCACGTAACCTTCCACTTTCACATCACTGCACAACACACATGCATATCCTTCTTCAATCATATATATATATATTATATGTATGTGTGTGTGTACTTATTGCGTTGCGCACCTTCATCATTTTTTGTGGCCTGCACCACATTGAGCTGAGATAATTTAACAAGACAGCTCAGACTAATCTGAATCAAGGGTGGGACATGATTTTTTCAGGTGAAAGCTCTACCGATGACACTGTCATCTGATTATGTTGATATAACTCTCTTACTAACTAATTAAACCAAACATCCGATAATCTTCTTTTCAAGTTTTTATAAACACATAAACAAGTGCAAAAGGGATGTTGTGGTTTTCAAGATCTGTACACTGATCCTCACTTCTCACCTTGGTTTACTAATTTATGTTCTGTGATTATGTTTAATTATTTCTTTGTACATAGCTTTTGCTTTTAATATATTTTGTCCTTTAAAAAGAACAAACAAACACCAATAGACTATCATAATCCACTTCGATTGCATTTGCATGTAAATGCATAATTTACTTCTCCAGTCTTACATACACTCCTTCAATTACTTAAGCCTTTAATTTTCAGAACCGGCGTAATTAGTTTTCCATGCAACAGCGTGTATCAAGATTCCCTCTATTCTAATTTATAAAACATTTTAAAAAAATCTCATATATCAATAAATCTTATTAAATATACTTACAACCACATGATTTTGAGATAAAAATATAAATTTTAAAAAATATCCTTAATATTCGTGAAAAAATATTAAGAGAGATAATAGGAAGGGTATTATTAGAAAAACATCATTAATAAAAGTTTATTTTGGTCAAAGTGTTTTATATTTTAAGATGTTAAATCTTCCCCAAATGTCTTATAAATTGGGACAAAGTTAGTATAATTCACATTATTTTCTATTATATTTTATACTGATAATTGATAATGATGCAGATCATATAGACATAATTTTTATTATGGTATTTATGTTGGTTAATAGAAAATTAAAACTGATTTCAAGAGTGTCTTTTGAAATGTTTTAATTTCTTTTGTCAGTTTTTAATTTAAAACAGTGAAAAATCTATTTTCTAGTACTCTTTCTATCTCAAATTATAAGATAATTTAAAGCAAGATTACACTTACCAATTAAACTCAAAAATAAGACTTTTCAAACTTATCTTTTCAACACAAAAATATAAAATAAAAAATATTCTTTATTTAATATAACTTAAAATCTACAATCATTTCAATTTTCTCTCCATTTTAATGTAATGTTGGAAAAATATTATTAATAAAACCTTATTTTTATCAAATTTTTTTATATTTTGAGGAAAAAAAAAGATCCATTGCTTATTTTCAATTCTAATTTACTTTGTATTTTGCAATTAGACTTAGATTTTTTTTTTTTTTAGTTTCACAGTTGTATAATCACTGCAAAGTGAATAAGGAGAACTCAAAACACCTTTACATAATCATTATCTTTGCATCTAGGTGAACTAAGATGAGAGAACCCAAGACCCTTTACTCATCTTTGATATTTTTGGCATCTTTGGTATTTTTGTTATTCAAACACAATGATTAACTTGTGGCAAACACATTTTATATTATTCAAACTATATCTATATATACACTATTTTATCAGATGTTCCCAAAGGGACAAAATATATATGTACTATAAAAATATAATGTTGCATTTGGATCTATGCAGATTTGACTTTTATTTAAGTCTAAATCCAAATCCATATTTAATTTTAACTTTTTTTTGTAATTTTAAATTCTCTCTAAACCCTAATCATATGAAATTTCAACTATTTTAGTCTTTTCATTTTCTTTATGTTTTTACTATCAATGCTTGTGTTATTACTATCGCCTCTCATCTCATTCTTGTCTTTCACCGATTAAAAGAATAAAAGCAAGTTTGCCATTCTTAATCTTTCATTTTTGCTTCAATCTCAGACCGTCTCTCTTTTACTTTTAAAAATTTTTTTTGCTATTCAATTAAAGAATTTTAAAAACATATATTTTAATTTTTTTGATATATGAGGGGGAAATTTCATTCATAAAGTGACTTCAGCCCGACAATATACCATAACAAAATATGATTACTTTAAAATTCAACCTATTAATTAAACTCAAAATTAGTCAACAACAAAACGAAAATTTCCACACTCTCACTAACCTAGAGTTACTAAGCTTCGGCATATTATTGCTGGCTCGGATGAGCACAAGCTAACATGCATGCTTCCTCGTCGCTTAACATTTCTTTTACACGTCCAATTAATAATTAATGTCTTTATTTCACCTATAAGCAAATAGTTGAAGGTTCAAAAAATGCTTCATTTATCATCAGTTAAAAAAAGAAACTACAGGATATAATTATTATATGTTACAAATAAATTAGTGGTTCAGTAACAAAAAATTATTAATGGCTTGGAGATTAATTACTAACTAGATCGGAGTCGCTCATTGATTAAGCACAACTTTCTGACACAAAAAATTAATTACGTGCATGGCAAATATAGATTCAATTATTTAGGGTCGTCTGGCTTGTTTCCACTATTTTGGCCTAACAAGCTGCTGCCTCCTCTAAATTTTACTTTGTGGTCCTTCAAAAATATAATTATGAATCCTTCAAGGGCCCAAAAAGAAGCTTCTAGTTCACTAATCTCACATCTTGATGATTACTTTCTGACCACTAACAGACTCGAACCGTTTTATTGCTCAAATTATATATACTCCCTTAGGCCTAATTTGTAGGGCATATTTTAGTAAAATTACACAAACATTCATTAAATATAATTTATAATCTTAATTTTTCTAGAAACGTTTAAAAATACTCTTGACTAATAAGAGAAAGAAAAGGAAATTTATTTAACAAGTGAAATGATGAGGAGTACTATTGGAAAAATTATAGTTAATGATGAAGCTGTGTTTTTTTAAAACTGTTTTATATTTTAAGATATCAAATCACCCATAAAAATATCTTATTAAATAGGATAGAGGGAATATACGGTACTCCTCTAGTCCTATTTTTATAAAACACTTCCAAACATGTTTCTCTATAATTTAAAAAAAACTTTAAAACCCATTAATTCTGTATAAAAATTTGATAAGTTTTTAATTTTATCCCTATTAAATATATATATTTTAATAACATATTTTCTCTCATTAACATTTAATAGAGGGTAAATAATGGAGAAATTTGCGTAAAAACTTCAATGATGACTTATAAATAAGACAGGAAAAAAGTTATTTCTCTACCTTATAAATAAAATCAAAGAAAGTAATGTATATGATTTACCGATCTAAGCAAAAATAGTCTTTTTCATTCTCTCACCCGCCCATGCATGAAGAATGAGTTGTATTGGAGCTGTCAAATTTATATCCTCAATTGGCACTGATTTGCTGTAGGTTTAAATAGATCCAATTACTAGTTATTAATAGCAATTGTTTAATAATTAATATGTAGTTGAAGGTTTTTAGTTGGCAGAAATATAAGCCGGACTCAAGTGGTGATGATGGTCCTCTCTTGGAAGTACAAAAATAATTCTTGTATTACATAATAACATATATCAATAAAGCTCATTAAATATATTTTATAACTTTAATTTTAAAAAAAATAAAAACTTTTAAAAATATCCTTTATTTAATATTTCATTTGTTAAAGAATATTAATGAGAAAGAATATATGAGAAGAGTAATATTGAAAAAATATCATTAATAAAATTTTATTTTTGTCAAAGTATTTTATATTTTAAAATATTAAAATTTTTCTAAAAGTGTCTTGTAATTTGGGATGAAAGTAGTAATTATCTATTTTTCTATCTAAAAAAAATAAAATTAAATTCTATTGATGTAGAAGCAATTAAGACTCCTCGAGGATTAGGGTAATTCAGTGAAATAGCTTTATGCAATATTATAGCTCCTTGATGTACGTAGAGAGAGAGTCTAAAGCATTTAATTAAATTCTAGGCCTTGGCCAAAGAGACTGGACCAAAATTTGACAGAAAACACTAAGAATTGTAGTAATGACAGAAAGAGGTAGATGGATGAACTAAATTATGTTGCTATGTTCAAGTTTTTTTCTTAAAAGAAAAAGAAAAAGAAAAGTACAGTATTTTGATATATGAGTGAGTGGAATTAATCGGCTCCTTTTTTTTTTTACAGTTTTTAATTTTAACTAATTTGATAATGATTATTCCCTCCATTCCTACTTATATCAGGATATTTATAAATTAATTTCAATATTTTCACCAAACCCAAATGCAAGTCTTAAATTTCACCAACTTAATCTAAAAATTAAACAAGTTTCTCACTTTGTCCATATTAAATATATTCTTAAAAAATTTTCTATATCGATATTGAATAGAGATAAAAGAAGAAAATTGTAAGAAATAATCAATGTGGTGTCTTATAAAAAGAATCACAAAACTCTTCATCCAAGTGCCTTATAAATAGTAATGGAAAAGGTATTAAATTTGAGATGAAGAAAATTTTAAATAGTTTCATATTTTTTCTTATTGTTATTGGAATTAATTAGTTAACAGTCAATTTTTTTGCCAAAAAAAGTTAACGTTTAATTTGAAGTTCTCATTGTGTACTTAATTATATGCCAATATACTAAAAAACTAGATAGATTATTGAAATGATTGATATAGTAATTCAAATGTGATTGAACTGAATCAATCCAGTCATAATTAAAATTATATAAATTAATTAAAATATATAAAAATATTCATGTATATCCTTGAAAGGAGTAATATTTAAATTAAAAAGATATTAATACCCATGTAAATAGAACATTATAAGTTACCAAATAGATTTACCAAAGCATAAATTTCATGGATTCCAATTTTTTAACTCAAAATAATATTGTTTCACGCTCAGCAAAAGGGAGAAAAATATATACTACTCCATTTCTGTTTGTAAAAAAAAAAAATTACTTTTTACTTGTATATTTATACAAGAAAACTCACATATTTCAATAAGTATTTATTACACATTTTTTAAATCACCCATCATTAATGAAAATTAATGCATGCGTATGTTAATTAATATAGGATATTTTAGTCCAATTTCTTTATTTTTAGACATAATTATTATAGTTAACTAATTTTTTTAAATAATATAATATAATTTTTCTCTTATATATAGAAATGAAAAGAGTAAAGTCTAACCAAATCAATTTGTCCAAAACTCCCCATCGGACCAACTAGGGGAATATTGATTCTTCAGTTTACTAGCCTGACAGGTCAATCTAAATTTAGTTTTAATACCTCGTCTAATTTTATTGGCGAAGTTTATAATAAAGTTAAAACATTTAAAATATAACACCTTTGCTATAATAATCAACTTGAACTCCCATGGTTGGCCAAAAAAACAATTTAATTTGTGTTTTGGTTCAAATGGTAACTAAATAAATAACAATGACATGACTTAAGGAATTCAACATCTCTATAATACTGAAAATTATATTATATTAACAGTTGTTCAACAAATATCTACATTTGTAATGAATAAACTACTCAACATATGGACAAGGACCTAAATTAATTAAATAAAATGTTTCTGAAAATAAAATAAAATAAATATTTAATATTGTTCTATAAAAGTTTGATGAACTATATTATTCATTGACATACATATAAAATTTGAAAACATGCTATGTGGGAATTTTGATTTTCTGGGTCCCATCCCAACACTGAAGCAAAGTGGCATTACTAAGTAGTGTTAACGTCTTATGTGGTCCTTTTTCTTTTTTGGTTCATGCACACCTCCTCACCATGTGATGTGATCTGTTCTCTTAACTGTTCATCAACCACGAGCTATATTTACCTATACTTAAAAATTTTAATCTTTTCGGCTTTTTTATTAAATTATTATTTTATTTTATTTTTTATTTATTAACGTTTAACTAGTGAATATTAATTGTAGTTGGCCAGTACGTTGTAGCTACTTCAAATAATGATGCGTGTTTGTAGGATCTGTCATTGCCATTTGGTGAATACAAAACCACATGATTATTGTCATTACAGTTATTTCTGATCCTCATTTTCTCTTTGGATTCATCTCTCCTGTCTCTGTCTCTTCAAGTTTGTCTCTTTTCTGTGGGTTTCTTTCTCTCTTAATGCTAGCTGTGTGTTGCTCTCTAAACGTACTGAAGTGGTCAATTAATTAATTATTTAATTACATATGGGTTTATTCGTGTTGGTAATTTCTCTGAATTTGTGTTACAGGTTGAGATAATTAGTTAGTTAATGGCAGAAACTCATCTTCATGGGACTCTTCACGCCACCATTCATGAAGTGGATAAGTTAAGTGCCAGTGAAGATACCAGTATTTTCAGCATGGTAATCATTCAATTTAATTATTAATTCTATGTTTGTCTTTTAATTTAATCTACTTGTTTAACCCGTCTTTCTTTGTCTCTGATTTTCACACTTTATGGCTTTTCAATTTTGCCTGTTTAATTTCGTCTTATATATATATATATATATATATATTGTCCCAAAGTGAATCCAATATAATTATAAAAACCTGTTCTTGTTCCATTATTTTCTAAATTTCTTTCAAATTTGGTTTGGTTTTGGTTTTCTGATCACTTTGATACTCGGTTTGTGTTAAATTAGTCAAGATTTCATTTTAACCCGAACAAAGTGCTCGACTTTATTTCATGAATGCCTATAATTTACAAAATTGGAAAGTATAACCACTTTTGGCCCCCTAAGGTTTTCTTATGCAATTAAGTTTAATTTGATCTCATTAATTTTATATCAAGTTTTATTTTTTACTTTTAATTTTTATTTGACTCTAGTTTAGTTCTTTAACTTCATCTCATATTTATCTTTATTATTTTATTTTATTTTTGGTTGATTTAGCATTTTAAGTTTGAAAATTATTTAAATTTTCCTTAATTTTAAAAAAAGTCAGTAAGAAGGGGTTCATGCTTGACTAGATGAATGTCTTGAGTCATACTATGAATTTACAAATAGTAAAGGGTTTACAGTACAGACAAACACATCATATGTTAAAATAAAAACTATAAATTTAAAAATAAAGTTAAATACGGTTAACACACACCCACATTCGTTCCAATTAAATGGTAAGAAGTTTAATAAAATAGCAAAAAAATTATAAATTGCCAAAATTCTTGACAGATGATGGATTATATTGATTAATTTTATGCTGATTTGGCAGCTTAAGCAAAAAATTGAAGATACAGTCGGTGTTGGAAAGGGATCATCTCAAGTGTACGCCACCATTGATCTGGAGAAAGCAAGAGTGGGAAGAACTAGAGTGTTGGAGAACGCAGATTCCAGTCTCAGGTGGGAAGAATCGTTCCACATCTATTGTGCCCACGTGGCATCCAATGTCATTTTCACCGTCAAAGGCGTCAACAAGATCGGCGCTACCTTAATAGGCCGAGCCTACGTCCCCGTCCACAACATCCTTGCCGGCGACATCCATGATGATTGGCTCGATATCTTAAACGAGGACAAAGAACCAATCGGCTCCAAAATCCACGTCAAGCTCCAATACTTCGACGTCACAAAAGACAAAAACTGGAATCGTGGTATTCGGAGCCCTAAATACCCGGGTGTACCCTACACTTTCTTCACGCAGAGACAAGGTTGTAAGGTTACCTTGTACCAAGACGCTCATGTCCCTGAAGATTTCATCCCCAGAATCCCCCTCTCAGGAGGCAAGTATTACGAACCTCATAGATGTTGGGAGGATGTTTTCGAAGCAATTCGTAATGCCAAGCATCTGATATACATCACCGGTTGGTCTGTTTACACTGAGATTAAGCTTGTGAGGGATGCTAAGAGGCCAAAAGATGGAGGTCATGTGACACTAGGACAGCTTCTGAAGGATAAAGCAAGTGAAGGTGTTAGGGTTGTAATGCTTGTTTGGGACGATAGAACTTCGGTTAGTCTGTTGAAAAAAGATGGTTTAATGGCAACACATGATGAAGAGACTGAGATATTCTTTCAAGACACTCAAGTGCACTGTGTTTTATGCCCTCGTGATCCCGACGACGGCGCCGGAAGTATAATTCAGGACGTCCAGATTTCTACTATGTTCACTCATCATCAGAAGATCGTCGTGGTCGACAATGAGCTTCCGGGACGAGGATCATCAAGCAAGAGAAGAATAGTGAGTTTCGTCGGAGGGCTTGATTTATGCGATGGAAGATACGACACTGCATTTCATTCGCTTTTCAGAACGTTGGACACTGCTCATCATGATGACTTTCATCAACCTAACTTCCCCGGCGCCGACATCAGCAAAGGTGGACCCAGGGAGCCATGGCACGACATACATTCTCGTCTAGAAGGACCGATTGCTTGGGATGTATTATTTAACTTTGAACAGAGATGGAAGAAGCAAGGTAGGAAGGATGTGCTTGTGTCTCACGAAGTGCTCGAGGAGATAGTTATTCCGCCGTCTCCGGTGATGTTCCCGGAGGACCACGAGACATGGAATGTTCAGTTGTTCCGATCTATCGACGGTGGCGCCGCCTTCGGTTTCCCAGAGAGCCCTGAAGAAGCCGCCGACGCAGGGCTCGTGAGCGGGAAAAACAACATCGTAGATAGGAGTATTCAAGACGCATATATTCACGCAATAAGACGAGCAAAAAAGTTCATATACATAGAGAACCAGTACTTTCTGGGAAGCTCTTATGCATGGAGCGCTGAAGATGGCGACATAAAACCAGAAGAAATTAACGCACTGCACGTGATACCCAAAGAACTATCACTGAAAATTGTGAGCAAGATCGAAGCAGGAGAGAGGTTCACGGTGTACGCAGTGGTGCCAATGTGGCCGGAGGGCATACCGGACAGCGGGTCGGTGCAGGCAATACTGGATTGGCAGAGAAGAACGATGGACACAATGTATAAAGACATTGTTGAAGCATTGGAGGCAAATGGTATAAGAGAAGATCCTCGCAAGTACTTAACATTCTTCTGTCTGGGAAACAGAGAAGTGAAACATGATGGCGAGTATGAACCTCCGGAACAACCAGAACCTGATTCACCATACGCGAAAGCCCAACAATCTCGTCGCTTCATGATTTACGTCCACACCAAGATGATGATAGGTGCAGAACATAACGATATCAAAATAACAAGAACTTGAATCAGTATCATTGATGTGTTTGATGTTTTGTTATGCAGTGGATGATGAGTACATAATCGTGGGATCTGCGAACATAAACCAGAGATCGATGGACGGAGCGAGGGACACAGAGATAGCGATGGGAGGGTATCAGCCGTATCATTTGACGACGAGCAGAGGGCCGGCGAAAGGACAGATCCATGGATTCCGAATGGCGTTGTGGTACGAGCATCTTGGGGCGATGGAGGACTGCTTCGAGAACCCAGAAAGTGAAGAGTGTGTGGAGAAGGTGAACCAGATGGCTGACAAGTACTGGGAATTGTATTCAGATGAGTCGGCGGTTGAAGAAGACCTTGCAGGTCACTTGCTGCGTTATCCTGTTAAGATTTCAAGAGAAGGACGAGTCCAGCAACTTGAAGGCTTTGAATTCTTCCCTGATACGCAGGCTCGCATTCTTGGCACCAAATCTGACTACATGCCTCCAATCCTTACCACTTAATTTACTTTCCATTTTCTTTTTGTTCTTGTGACTGTCTTCTTTTATGATTACTATAGTACTATATATTTTTGGTCTTTCATTTGAGTTATGTTCAATAATCAATGACGTAAATGCGGCGGCATGTAGTTTTTCTTGAAGTTATACATATTATTATTGTTAATGGTTCTGGTGTATGATGCGGCAATTAAATTTCATGTGTTTTGTATGCACGTTTGATGTGTAATGGAGGAACACCATCTAATTGTGTAATATAGGACAAAATGCTTACTTTATACAAATTAGGCTGAAATATACTTGGAAGAATAAGATAAAGGTCCAAAAGAATCAATTAATTTAAGTTAAATATCAAGTGTTAAATTTTAAAAATTTACAATTCAATCTTTCAATTTTATAATTTTATTGTGATAAATTTAGAACTAATATTCCAAATTTTAACAGGAAAAATATTTTTTTTTTGTTTTTCAATCATTTTAAAATTTAAAATATAAGTGGTAAATTCATTATAATGCAGTTATAAATTTTTAAAGTTTGACATTTGACACCTAATTTAAATTAAACAATCCTTTTGAGATCTCTTTATCATTATCCCAATATACTTTGAATCATTTAACTTTATACTTTAATTTTTTAATTTTGTAAAATGTCTTTTCAGTCATTTAATTCTAATAGTATTAGTTTTATCACAATTTTTTTACATTATTAAACTTTTAAATATTGATAAAATATTGCCACAAAATTAAGTTAAAAGACTAAAAAATACTTTATAAAATTAAGGGGTCAAATTGAAACTCAATATAAAGTTAGAGAATTAAAAGTATATTTTAACCTACAAATTAAGAAAAACTATTTTTGAACCTTCAATTAAGTTAAACTGATTGATTGTTATTACCTTTAACATACCTTATTTTTTCACAAATATGTTCCATTAAATGTCCCCAAAAAAACACACACACACACACACAATCTTATTAAAAGTGGCCTTTTTAAGGTCTTTTTTTTTAGGTAAAAAAGAAGTGTCAATTACTGCCTAAGCTTTGCACGTCGTATCAACAAACTTTCAAAATTTTCTAAAAAGTTGTCTTTATAAAAAGAAGCAGACGGAGTTTTTGCGTTTCGATAAATGAATATAATTCTCATCCAACAACAGCAAGTATTTAACTCAATTACAATTTTAGAGTGAACAACCAACAGGGTAGGTCCTAATGATAGGGAGTATGGCTGCTTAAGTATAAGATCTCGTGTATGAGCCATGTGAATGGCGAAAACACCTTTGAGGATTAACAAACATCAGTTTTCATGGAAAGGCTATGGCCATTTAACTGTTTAAACATGAGATTTTAAGTTCAAGGTCATTTGAATATTTTTGCAATGTTATTAAAACCGGACTAGACATTGAACTGGTCAAGACATTGGTTTACGGTTTAAAGGTTGGACAGTTTGTAATTAAATTAATATATTTTAAATATTATACATTAAAAATTATAGGAAATATGATAAACTAAAGATAACTAACTACTAATAAAGTAATAATCTCATCATACTTCAAAGTTCAAAGGCATACAAATCCAAATACACATTAATAGTAGCACTGGATAAACGGGTTATGGGCCAGCCTGCGGGTTAGTCCACATAAGCTGGCATTTTTGCGGGTTGGATTGGGCTAACCCGCTAGATAAAACGAGCTAGAAAATTCAACTCAATCTATTTTTTAACAGGCCAGCCAGTCCGCAGGCTGGCCTGTGAAAATTTATCAAATTTTTTTAAGAATTTAAAATTTATATAATATAAATATATATATATTTTTTTTTCATATTTTAAAGAAAATAAACAATTAAAGAACTTGTACATAAATAAAATAAACATAGAATTCAATCAAGAAAATTTATTTTGCTTGATTTTTACTATCAATCATCTTCTCGCTTAGGTGTGTTATCTTTCTCAATGAGAAAAAATTTTAAATATAAACCCATATTTTTTTCAATGAATTTATATTTATTATTTCAATTAATAGATCTTATGAGATAAATAAATAATATATATTTAAAATAATTTTATAAAAACTAATGAATTATTGATTTACAAACTATAATAAAAATTTTATTTGTAAATTGTAAAAAAAATTACACTATATTTCAAATGTAAAGAATATATTTGAGAGTCATAAATTATATATTTGAGAAATATTATTATTATTATAGATTTATAAAATAAATATAATGTGATTAAAAAATAAAAAACTTATTTTGAAAAAATATGTTACCTCACGAGCCAGCTCATTTTAGCCCGCTAGTTTTGCAGGTTAGGCTAACCCAACCCGTTTTAAAAAAGGGGTCAATTTTTTAACCCAACCAGTCAAATTTTACTGGTTAAACGAGCTAGCCCGCGAGCTCAACCCATTTGCCCAGCTTTAATTAATAGTAGAAAAGTAGGTAATATCTATGTTCAAAATTCAAACTTCAAACTTCGAAGTCATTCATAGTCATGCACAGCACAACACCACAGTCTAACATTCTCATACAATCTAATGGTCCAAATTCAACCAAAAAACTACAACATTTAATTACCATACAGATCTTTTAAATTAAACTCTCTAAAATCATGTTGAAGATCACAAACATCTCCTTCAACTCTTATAGATTTTAGTGAATTCAAAATAGGAGACTGTAGAACATTCACATCTTCAACAGCACCTAGACAGATATTTGACACAAAAATAGTTAGTATTGATATATAAATAATGAATGAATAAAATATAAATTAAACAAAGCTTTAATGTAAAAAGAAAAGGAGCAACCTTCATTTTCCCTTAATTCAGGACCGGATTCAGAAGGACATGCATTGCCACCAAGAAAATCTTCATTTTAAATTTCCTCAACAATAAAGTCAAGATTTGAAGTTGGAACTTCCTCAGCTATCCAATACTCAAGCTTATTAATTGATTCATAATCAACAGGATCATAGCTCACCTTCTTCAATTTTGACCTTATATATAAAAAAAATCACAATCAAATCCCTAATCATTCAGTTATTGAAGCTAAAGAGAATTATTTTAGATTTGAGTAATGATTAATGATCACTTGTTTAGCAAACGCAAGTTGTAATTAACAAACACAAGATTATTCAATCTTTCATGTTCTAGCCTATTTCTTTTTTTGGTATGAATTCTTTCAAATAAATTCCAATTTCTTTCACATCCTGAAGAAGAAGTTTGTCTCAGAATGTGAATTGCAAACTTTTGTAATATTGGAACACTACCTCCAAAACATTGTCACTAGACATCTACATCAAATTCAAACAAATTAATATTAGTTAATATAAAATTATAATAAAAGAAAAAAAGAGTAAGAAGTTAACCAGGTTGTATTTCATTTGCTATTTTATGAGCTTCTTCTCCGCCAAAAGAGCCTCGGCACTTACGGTACATTTGCATCTTAGAAATCATGTCAAAATATTTATAGGTAGACTTGTATATTGAAAAATAGTCCAACATTGATTCTGTCACTCTACTCTTCTCAATAAATCCTTGGTCATACATGAATGGATTTAAAAAGTAGGATGTTGCATGCAAATCACACTTTAAATGCTTATCCCACCGAGCTTGAATTATGCTTATGTAAGGCATGTATTGTTCCTTCTTTTTACAAAAGAAATTTTTGATTGAATTCTTTGCTCTCTGCATACCCTCATAAACATAACCTAAAAATGATTTTTCATCAGCATCTATAATTCTTAGTAGCTTGATAAGAGGACCCATAAGACATCTAATTTGATGGCAATCATCCCAAAAATCTTGTCCTACACAATGTCACCAACTAATTGTCCAGCTTTAGTCCTTGATAGTTTATTATCATGAAAGTTCTTATCTAAGACCAAGGCTTGCAAGTCATGCTTGTGCTCATGCAAACTTTTCAATGTAATGAAAGTAGTAGCAAACCTAGTCACTCTTGGGTGCACAATTTCTATCCAACCATCTCTTCTCCTAAACGATGAAAGAAAAGCCATATGATTGTACACAAAAAAAAGTAATTTTTTATGCCTTTGTTACAAGGTCAACTACATGGGGCATGCTTGCAATGTCCTTCAAAATAAGATTCAAACAATGAGTATCACAGGGTGACCAATAGATATGATTATATTTTTCACAAATCAACCTTCCAGCAGCTACATAATTGGCTATATTATCAATCACAACATGCACTATATTTTTAAGACCAACCCACTCAATAACTTCACAAAACAAAGAAAACAAATTCTTGGCATCCTTGACTATATGTAAAGCATCAACAGACTTTACAAAAACTAAGCTAACAGGAAAATAAACTAGAAAATTTATTGATGTCCGTTGCCTTTTGTTAGTCCAGCCATCAGCCATGAGTATGCAGCCACTTTCTGTCCAAATGGCTCGATGGCTTTCAATAAGCAGTTGATACTCTTTTCTACAATCAATCAACAAGTTAACCCTTAACTTCTAAAATGAAGGACCTTTAAAACCTGGGCCAATTGCAGCAATTGCATCCAAAATAAGCAGAAAATATAGACAACTTACAGCATTAAATGAAATGTAATTCATATATAACCACTTAGCAATAGCTAATTTAGCTTTACACTAAGCTTCTTTAGATGACCACATACTCCTTAGCCCTAGTTGGGAGTTAGGAGTTGACCTTAGGAAAAAATAATTATTAGCCCCACTAGTTTTTCCTTTTTTTTCACAATAGTAATACTGTTAGAACCTGCCTTCTTAGCTTACTTACTTAGCTCTGAATTTGGAGCCATTACTTCACATTCTAGGTTATTAACAAACTCTTCAGACATGTCTGGATCATCAAGCTTCCTTTTATTCGCCAATGAAACTTCTTTTAAAGATTGAACCATCCTATGGCGAATATCATATAGAACCTTCTTGCAAGAAATTATATTTCCTAAAATACCTGCAAGATGCTACTTCACCCTATTGATCCCACCTCCTCTAAATGATGAGGAGCAATGAAGGCAAGTATACACACAGGTTCTCCCCTTTTTTTTAAAAGAAAAATGCTGCCATGGACGATCACTTTTCCCTCGTAGAGATGGTGTAGGTGATACTTGAAGCACAAAGGCATCATTACTATTCAAACTAACAGCAGTTTATGGGGTACTATTACTATTTAGAGTTGAGCCAGAAGGAGTGCCAACGATAGGAGGAGGATCAAGATTATTAACTTGCACATTAGGCTCGGTGGCAAGAGTAGGAGGTTCCAAATCCATAAAAAACAACTAAGCTTAATCAAAATATAATCAAAATTAGTAAATTAGCAATCAGTAATCAGCACCCAGACGTCTAGAATCACAAAACTAATTATTTATTAAACTATAAAGCATTTGATCAAGCTTCAAGAGTAAGAGCTCTAACCTGTTAATGAAGATTGAAGATGGCAGACGAGGTTGGAAGTGGACCTGATCGAACTGGAAGATGCCAAAGATGAGAGGTCAGTCGAGACTCGAGAATGAAGATGCTAAAGTCCAACGAAGATGTGACGAACAGAAGAGAGGCAGGACGATGGTCAAATTGAGAAAGAGAGGCAAGGAATGTGAATAAGATGACCAGGTGAGAGCTCGCGAAGTTTGCCAAACTAGTTTTGCAGAAGCTCGTTGGATAGATTCTTCAACAGCTCACTTGATAGGGTTCCACGATAGCTTGCACTTGAGCTTCAAAATCGAGACAAAGCAAAGGAAAGTGGAGCACTTTTATGACTCGGTCTGGACTCTGGAGTGTTCTGTGAGTGTGAGGGCTGAGAGAATTAGAGAATCACGAACCTAAAATTAGGTTCTACCAGAACAAGCAAAACGACGTTGTTTCAACAAAGTGGGAAGGAGAAAAAAAATAATGGTGGACTGCCTGAACCGTCAGTTCAGGAGGTTCATGGCCGGTTCTTTCTCCCCCACCAGTTCTGCATCATCTTCGAACCGGATACCTGGCAGGTTTTCAGTTAAATCAATCGAACCGATCGATCCAATCTAGTTTTAATAACCTTGTGTTTTTGACTTGACATTTGCTTGAATACGATGCCATTAGGGGTAGACAACATTTTTGGAAGAGCCAATCAAACTAGACATTTCTTGAATGTGATGCAATTAAATAACTATATTTTAAAAAGTTTTAAGGACAGCTACCCCTAATTGGATCCAATAATGCTCAAATTGGACCCATTCATGTAACTATATAAAAAAAAAAGTGAACTTTGAAACTATTGAAAATGAATTTTTATTATACTCCATCTGTTAAAAAATGTAAAGTATTTTTAAAAAGCTTGATATTAAAAAAAATATAAAATATTTTTAATATTTTAAGATGTAATTAATACCAAAAATATTCTCAATAAAGAAATTATTTTGTATTTATTTTTAAGTAAAACACTCTATTAAATAAATATAAATATAAAAAGAAAATATTAGTTTAAAAATAATTAATTAATTTATTGGAAGTGAGATTTATTATATTATTGCATTGGAAACTATTTGGAAATTTATCAATCATCAATACTTAACAAATAATCCAACATAACATAATTCTTACTTATGATTAAATGAAAATACCATTTGTGTAAAGTTTTCAGTAATAGAAAGCATTTGTTGGCAAAAAAAAGAAATAATATAAAACAAAGAATGGAAAGCATGTTATAAAAAGTAGAAGGCCAAGATACTAATAGAATTAAAAACAACAATAATATGAATTTTCATGGACCTTTTTGCCCAATTCTTACCAGTTTCTATATGAGCAAAAGCAGAACCGAATTCCAAAAGCCTATAGAAATCTCCGGATTCTTGCACTCACCTAGTCATCAGCCACAACCAATGAAAAAGTGCCATTTTTTCCCCTATTACTGTAATCATCTTGGGAAATTTCCATTCCTTTCTTTTTGTTTCTTATTCAATTTAATATTTTCCTCCACCCAAAATACTTTTCAAGCCTACCCCCTTCTCTATATGTACGAGTCTTTCTCATTCTGTCAACATAATCCAGCATGATACAACTGCTCTGTTCTGATAGCATGACTTCTGTTTCGCGAGGTCTTGTTTTAGCCGCTGCCATGGTTTTATCATCCACTTTGATTTATCTTGCTTTCTCTAGGAAAATAATTCCCCCACGACCCTGTATTTCTGGGAATTCTGATTCTCGGGACTCTGACAAACAAATCCTACAACCTTGCTTGTGTTCAAGTAATTAATTTGGTTTCCTCTGCCTTTTCCTCTCTTCTGCTGATCCTAACAATCTTTATATATTCGTCTTCAGCGAGTGATGTGGTGTTTTTTTTTTGTGTACATTTTCCAGAGGAAAATAAAGTAGATGGAAAGAAAGAGAAGAAGAAGAAGAAAGTGAAATTTGCAGATAATGTGATGGAAGCGAATGATGAGGCAGAGAACGAACAGAGGAAGCAAAACAGAGTAGCAAGAAGTTGCAGAGATGAAATTGAAGGAATGATGGGAGTGCCAGCGAACCGAATCGCTCTGTATAATGGGATTTTGAAAGACAGAGTACGTAAGATGGAATGCTCTTAACGTACTTAGGAATCTGGAACTTTCGCGCTCTGTCTCCTCTATTTTCTTTGCCATTATCATTTTATGAAAAGAGTGAGCCTCGAGAGGGGTTTTTTTTTTTTTTTTTTGGTGTGTTGGGGGAGGGGATTTTGCTATTGTAAATACTATATTGGATTTTGCTTTGTTTTTTCCTCTCAGTTGTCTTATCAAGTGGAATGGTCTGGAGCTGGATTTTTTTATATATATTTCTCATAATATTTTAATTATTACTATATTATATCTAATTTCCTATTATTTGTCACGAAAATTTGATCTAAATGATTTAAATTTAAAATTTTTAATATATAATTTTTGATGATAAATTTATTTTATAGAAGTCATAGTGAAAAGATTATTTTTATTTAAAATAGTGTATTTATTAAAATAAAATTGTGTTTAAAATGTTGGAAATGACTATTACGTGAAGACATTAATCACGATTAAAAACTTCAATTTATTAAAAATTTAAAATATTATGGAGGAATCATGTTTTTATTTGTAATTAAAAAATATATAAATATTAAAATAATAAATGGATCGTGACTCCTGAATATAACAAAAATTAATTGTATAACATTATTTGTGAAAATTCATTTATGAATTTTAGGAATTGTATTATTAAATTTATAAAAATTCAATTTTGAATAAATAGATAGTTTTGTAAATTTTGGCATCACTTATAATTTTTGAATGATTAGTTATGAATTTAAAAAATATTATTTATGAATATGTGGAATGTTAATTGTAAATGACTATGAATAGTCGTAACCGTAAATCAATGATTTAAAGACTTTTTAATATCGCTAAACATTCATTGACACATGACTTTTTATAAATTCACAAATAACTATGCACGTATACATGAAAATTTATTACTGACTTTTCATATATATTCACAAATAAAATAATATTTTGTTAACTTCGCAATCAACTTTTATTCAATTCATGGATAACCTCTTATTATTTTTTTCAATAAGTAAAAATATTTTAATTATAAATAGAGGTCATGATCTTTTTTCGACATTTTGATGTCAATTGTCAATATATGTTTACAAAGTTGTAATTGTCGCTTTCCCTAAATCAATTCGAACGGTTGAGATTAAATATGAATATCTCATACCCATCAATATCATTCTTCTGATAACTTTGGATAAAGATTTAAGATTTTGTCTGCCCCACTTTCCTCTTTTTCTAGATTCTTAGTGGGCGTAGGTGACAAGGAACTGTTCTCATCAGTCACCATGTTAAGCTCTAAATATAGCCTTTGTTACATTTTTTTTTTAAATTATTCATTATTATTAATTTTATCAAAATTTTGTAAAAGCTAATTAGCCGCTCGATAAATAATATTTGAACACCAAGCTTGAGTTAGTTCATAAGCTTTAACTAAGTAACTATTGGTCCCTATTTTGACCTATTTTAATATAAGCTTATGTATTTTTTTGTAAAACATAAATTTAAGTCTCTACACTTACTTAATGAATATAGTTTAAAATACTAAAAAATAAAAATATAAAAACTTAAAATATTAAAAAAATACAAAGACTTATGACAAAGTACGAACAAAATGTATGATTTTAAAGTTTTGTTTTGTTTTTTTTTTCCTTTGTTTCATGTTTCTATAGTTTATCCTGTGTACAACATTAATCTTTCTTCTTCTAATATAACTAAAAGAATGATAAATGGTACTAATAATGTTAAATATGTTTACTTGTGATTAATGTTGTTTTTAACATTAGTCCTTTTATTTTTAACCTTGTTAATCACATGTTAATACATTTAATATTGTTAGTATCTTCTCGTCATCCTTTTAGGCATATTCAAAAGCAAATATACTAATATTATAGATAGGATGATTTAAAGGGATCCAGAGCAATAACAAAAAATTTTAAGGACTTATATCAAAAAATGTTAAAAATTTTGTTTTGACGCAAAAAATGTTGAAACTATACGTCTTTAATTCTATTTATAAAGAAAAAAGAGAAAAAATTTAATTTTATTTATAGAATACTTGTTAATCCTTAATGTTCATCTTTACATTTTTACTCTTATTAAATATCTTGAATAAAAATATTATTAATGAGATTTAAGAATATTTATTAACAATAAAAGTATAAACTTATTAAATTTTAATATAAAGTTAATAAAATTTAAATTTTTTTATTTCAGTAAAATATATTAAAAATAATTTATAAACAGGATTAGAGACAATTTATATCAATAGTTGTGTTTTTCAAAAAAAAAAATAAAAACTAGGTTGACCTAATATTCCCAGTGCATTTAATTAAGTTGTAATATTAATAAATTATCAGGTCAAAATTTCAAAACGTTTGGGACAGCGAATCATTATGCATTTTGTAAACAATACTCCCTTTCTGCCGGTACTATATATAAATCATTTTTTATAAAAAGTTTATAATCCTTTTTATAAATAACTTTATATAAAAAAAGTGGGATCATTAATTATTTTCTTCCAACTTTACCATTTTAAGATTTTTGATACTTAGAGAATAGAAAATCACAGGAGAGAAAATATTTTTAAAGATGATACATTTAATAAGAGTAAATTAAAAAAAATAGCAATATTAATAATTTAACTAATTTTCGTTGATTTTGGTGATATAGTTATAACACACACACAATGATTTAAAATTTATCCCCTCTATTTACAACGATATAAAATTTATCCCCTCTATTTTTTTATTAAAAGATCAATACTATTAAAAACAAACAAACATTACAATAATAAAGTGTCCGCAAAATTAAAAGAAAAAGAAGGATAGAAAAGATAGTCATCCTGAAATACATTGAAAATAACAAAACTAAAGAAACTAGCAATTTTATAAATGTCCTGCATCAAAAAAATTGATGAAGATAATGTTTTTGAAGAGAGGCTATGAAACAGATTTTAAAAACATTGAATCAGCATCGATAAAGGATGCTTCCATACCTTGACAGTTTAATTATAACACTCAAGGCAACTTGGGGTTCAAGATAGCCGCCACTAAAGGCAATAAATATTATTAAAAAAGTAGACACGCTATGGGTGCAATGTATTGAAAAATAATTTAATATTGTGATAAGAAATTGAAGAAAAAAAAATTGTACTCCTTATTGATAGTAGTTGTTATAGACTTATCATGTATTTAATATTGATCTAAGAATTAAATTGTAGTATATGTGTTCATCTATAATACTTATTATAAAATTTTATTTTGTCCATCACTATGTTGATTTATTTATTAGGGAGGATTATGTTTAATTTCTCATGATATAGCAAATCAATATGTGAATCTTTGTTAAAAAAATGCTCGCATTTAATACTCGACTTGTCTTGAATAGGATTATTTCTAATAAAAGAATACCTATAAGTAATCAAAATTATATATACGGATTTATTTTTGTAAAAATGTATATGCATAAAATATAGAAAAAATTACAATCATGTCCCAAATAAAAAAAAATTAATTCTTCAATCTATTTACAAGTTAAACTTTTTATATTTATATATTAAACTTTAGTATTTTCAAGTGAATAAGATTTGTAAGTAATTCTCCTTAAAATATATTAGTTCATTAAAATTTGTCCATACAATTTAAAAAATCTATAAAAAATAAGGATGGGCCCAACCCAAATTTTCAAATAAGGATGGGCCCAGCCCATATGTTGCGCATCCTGGTCAGAGAATGTTGACATTTGTTTTTTTTCTTTTTTTTTTTTGGATGAGTTGACATTTGCGTTCTTGACAGAGAGTATGACAGACAGGGAAGTCCTATCCTTCAATGAACGTTTGTTTCTGAATTTTCAATTTTGCTGATTTACGAAATATTATTGTGATTCTGTCAAACTCATTAGGTGAGTCAACAATTTCCATTAAGTTTGAAATTATACGGCAAACGTTTGTTTTATTTATATACAATATATAGAGGATTAAATTAAGTATGTTGCATTTACATGTTAATGAATTTCCAAAAAAAAGGAAAGAAAATAAATTAATTGTGCATGGACTTCACATTTTTATATAACTAAATGTATTATTGAATTAGGTTTAAACGTTGTCAAACAGTGACAAATCTAGAGACTTAAACCTAGGGTGACATTGAAAGTTACCTAAAATAAGGGGTCCATAATTAATTTTGACAATTTTTTACAAATAAAATTTAAATATAAAAGAAATCTCAATGTAATTTTTTCCCTCCGAAAATATATTTCTTTATTTGTATGTATATAATTTTTCCTTGAAATACATGACATGTAAACATGTATATTTTTTAATAAATGTAAGGGATTCAAAATTTCAATTGCATTTCAAAATAATAAAATGACATCTCAACTAACTTCAAATAATTCAACATTCCAACTCAATTGTAGCAATCATAACATGGACATTCTTAGATGTATTCATGAACCCTTTGTCATAAAAGAATTGGCTTGATGAACAACTGAGTCAGCTAAGACAGCTTGGTTAAGTCTTTTGTTTTTTTCTATAAAAAAAATTATAGTTATCAACTCATATCGACAGAGGCGATGATATTTAAGTAAGTGATTAAAAAGTTAGACGCTCAACTATATATGTACATTTGGTCGAGCATACTACATATATAATATCTTACTCAAAAGCACTTTATAATTAATTAACCAACTGAGAAAATAATCAATGATAAATAATTGCGCACGTGAGAATGTACAGTGGTACACTTATGTCTAAGTGGTCTTCATATTAGAATAGAAGAATTAAAATAAATTTTAAATGAACTGAATTGAGAGAAATACACAAATTGATGGAATTCCTTTATGCTATGTTTGGATACATATAAATTTAGATTTGAATTTGAATTTGAGCTAAATCCATTTTTGGATAATTAAAAATGTATGGAGTCCAAATCCAAATTCAAGTTCTCCCTTCATTTCTTTGTAATTTGAAATCATTTTTAAACCCCAATTACTTCAAGTTCCAACTCAAGCTCTTATGTATTTTGACCTAAATGCATGAAAGCTTGATTGATCTGCCAATGGTAATTGGACCGAATCATTAAAGTTGACGAAAACAAGCTACCACCATTGACCTAGATGAGATGGCTAACTTCTATCGGGACTGGACTAACAGCAACGACTAGGACCGGAAGGTCGACTTTTACTGGGATCAGACCAATGGGTATGACGGGGACTAAATGATCAACTTCCACCAAGACTGAACTAACGGCTATGATGAGGACTAGATGACTAACTTCCATTAGGACTGAATAGAAGGCGACAATTGGGATTAAACGACCAACTTTCACCAAGACCAAGCCGATGACGACGACGAGAACTGGATGACCAACTTCCACTTGGACCAAATTAACGATGATGATGAAGATCGATCGACCACCTTCCGTCACCATTGCCTTCAATCTGGTCACCGTTAGTCCTTTTTGATCTAGTAGAAGTCATTTATTCAATCCCCATCATTGTCATTGATCTGATCCCAATGGAATTTGGTTGTCTGGTCCCTGTCGTGCTCATCGGTCCAGTCTTAATAAAAGTCATCCCTCCCATCCCTATCGTCGGCATAGGTCCAGTCACAATGAAATTCGGCCGTTCGATCCCCATTATGCCTATCGGTCTAGTCCTGGTAGAAGTCGGCCATCCAATCCCCGTCATTGGTGTAGGTCCGATCCCTATAGAATTTGACCGCCCAGTCCTTCATCGACATAGGTCCAGTCACGATGGAATTCGACCGTTCGGTCTCCATCATGCCTGTTGGTTCAGTCTTAATAGAAGTCGACCGTCTAGTCCTTATCATTGGCGTAGGTCCAGTCCCTGTGGAATTCGACCGTCTGATCCTCGTCATGCCTGTCGATTTAGTCTCGGTGAAAGTTGGCCATTCAGTCCTCGTCATCAACCTAGGTAGGGTCTTAGTAGAAGTAGGCCATGTAATCCCCATCGTCGGCGTCGGTCTGGTCTTGGTGGATGTCAACCTTACGGTCCTTGTCGTCAGTGTTAATCCAGTTCCATAGGATGTTGGCCATCATGTCCTCATCATCGCTGTTGGTTCGATCCCTATGAAAGTCAACCATTCGATCTCTGTCATCACTGTTAGTTTAGTCTCAGTGGAAGTAGGCCATGCAGTCCCTATCGTTAGCATCGATCTAATCCCAGTGGAAATAGGTCGTGTGATCTCCGTCGTCCCTATCAGTCTAGCCTAATGGAAGTCAATCATCCGGTCCTCATCATTCTGATCCTGGTGGAAGTTGGCCGTACAGTCCTTATTGTCGCAATCAATTCAATCCTAGTAGTAGTCGATCGTCTCATCCCTGTTATAGCCTTCAATCTGGTATCGGTGGAAGTCGACCGTCCCATCTCGTCATCACAACAATCTAGTCCTGATAGAAGTCGGAGGTCCTGTTCCTATTGTCACCAGTGCCACAATCCCAATCGGCTTTGTTTGTTTGATTCTATTGAAAGTTGGCCATTCGAATCATCGAGTTTGACCAATCTTTCAAGTTTCTTTTAAATGCAAATATAGAATTTAAAATTTAAAATTTTACTTTATATCTAAATAAAAGATTTTAATATTAAAATTTTAAAATTTTTATATCATCCAAATAAAGAATTTAAAATCTATGAATTTTAAATGTAAGATTTTAAATATGAGATTTTAAATTTAAATTTTCAACTTAAATCCACCCATCCAAATACAATCTTATATTTGGGACACATATAAATGAATTTATTCTTTTAGTTGTGTATAAGTGTGATCATGTTTGAATCACGAACGGATATTAAATATGTAAATCTCATTCAATGAAAATTTAAATTTTTGCTTGCTGCATTGTAAAGGTTAGCATATTTTAAGCTTGATGGTATTTCATCTGTTCACTTGGCATAAAACCTCGACAACTTCACATGCTAGGGTTTTTTTTTTTTCTCGATAAGCTCACATGCCAGTTTTTTTTTTAATTAACAAAAAGTTAACCCAAGATAACAATTAGCATGAAGAAAACACAACAACAAATTTACGATTCATATCTCCTTTATCTTAAATTATAAAATATTTTTAAATAAAATTATATATATTAATAAAACTAATTAAATTGGCTTCATAACTTTATATTTTTAAAATAAAAATATAAAATTTTTAAAATACTTTTCATTTAATATTTTATTAATAAAAAATTTTAAAAAAATATAACGTGAAGGATAATATTAAAAAAAATATTATTAATAAAATTTTATTTTTATCAAGATGTAATGTCAAATCTCACCTTAAATCATCAGTAGTCGTATATGCCCTTTAAAGTGGGCAACTGCCCTTTTTTTGTGATACCTAATGTAAATATGGATAAAGTTTTAATTTTCCCCCGCTAACGTGTTAATTTTGAATCCATTGATCAAAAAAATGATCAAGAGAAGAGGAAAAAAGAAAGGAGAGAAAGACGACAATTACCTTGGTCTAGATGAGAGGTTGTGGAAATATTGGGAGAAGTGAAGTTAATGATGAGATCATTAAAATTTGTAACAGTGGGTAATAAGAAAAAACTGAAATTTTAAAATAATTTAAATTTAAATATTTTGAGTAATTACTTTTTTTTTGAAATTTTTATCTCAAGTATTTTAATTCTTATGTTTTTTGCGGAACAGTTTGTTTTTTATTGTTTTAGAGTTTTAATGAAATCATTTATATAGTTTTAAACAATTTTGATTTTTACATATTCAATTTATTGTTTAATTTTTTTAAGTAAATCAAGTTGATACTTGATATGTATAATAGAGGACTCATTATTTTTTGTTGTCGAGCACAAGACCTCTAAATTAAATTCTCAAAGATTTATCATGAAAATTAAATTTGTTGGTGAAGACTCATTATTATTTAAACAAAGAGTTAGGGTTTGAATTTTAACTCTTACACATGTAGAAAATTTAATATAAATGATTTTATTCACTTATTGATTATGAGGGAAAAATTAAATTTTAAAATTGTTAGAGTTTATATCATTTATGTCTCGCTAAAAAAAATTAGAAAAATGACAAGTAAGTTTTAAAAGAAAAAATTTATAATAGTTAGATACTAATAAATTTATTAAAAAAGTAAGTTATAAATATCGATTTTTAAATCGTTATAAATTTAAAAATTTCAATTGCAAATACAAATTTAAATTTTAAATATAACAATTAATTTTTATTTTAAATTTATATTTATAACTATTTGAATTAATATTTATAATTAATTTTACTGAGAATTTTGTTCAAAATTTAACTATTATTAATTTTTTATTTTAAGATTTTATTGCTGTTCTTCCCAAAAATTTTGCCCTTACCGGTCCGTGTCCAAGTTCCGCCACTGACGGAGGGAGTGCGCCATAAATTCTTATCCATTAAGGGGATTTGATTAGTTTGCTAGAGATGGAAGGGAATGTTTGACACAATTTATTAAGACCTGAGATTTCACAGTCTTTTATACTTTGTCATTTAAATAAATAAATATTTTATATTAAATTGTGTTATTTAAGTCTCATAAATCGTATATATCAATAATTTAATCTTCAAAATTGTAATTAATTTGATTATTGTAATATTTACATTTACTTACGGATTATATTAGGTAGGATCATGCGCGTCGCTATTCACAAGAAAATTGATTACGCTTTTTATTTGTTGCACAGGTTGCAATATAATTAGATAAAAGTCCTATTATTAATAATAATAAATAAAAATAGCAAGCTCTGTAATTTTATATTTTACATTAAATTAAAAAATTTTGAAAATGGAAGAAAAATAATGGACCAGCAGTCTGACGTTGAATGAGTTTTTTTTTTTTTGCCATTTTTTTAAAGCAAATAGTTGACTACTTGAGGATATAAATACATATTTTCTACCAACTTGGTCAAAAAAATTAAATGCAAGATAAGCAAATAATTAAATCGCAGCTTGGTCAAAAAAATATTTAAATAGAAGATAATAAAAAATGGCCACTTGCCTGTAAATAGCAGAGTAGGCGAAGGGGGAAGAGAAGAAGCAACAATCCAATTATTTTCCAAAACGCCATCATCGTCTACATCTTTCACATCAGAAGAGAGGCTGTCGATTTCAGCAACGATGAGTCCATATTAATACGACACAATTTCAAAGGCAATCTCTCGATTCTTTTCCCACGCAAACCCATTCACTTCTTCATGTCTTCTTATTCGCTCTATCAATGTTTCTTTTCGTAATTTTTTTTTCCTGATCTTTTTGGTTTTCGATTGTCAGGATTGCTCTCTGATTTTTTTTTTCCCCTTTTCTTTGGAGTCGGCTTCTTGCTATTTGTTCCCCGCAATATCCTTCAGTGGATTTTACTTGCTTTTTGGTAATCCCAGACGCTGAATGAATGGGGTATGTTTTCGATTTCATTCATTTCTGAATAAGTTAAACTACTCCCCTGGTGAAAATTTTTTATTTTATTCCCTGACGGGTATCAATACTCCTGCTTTTATTTCCATTTAAGTGCGGGCGTGGTCAAAATTTTGTTCATTTTGTCCTGAAATCTGTGAAGAAGAATGCTTTTGTCCTGAAGTCTGTGGAAAATTGATGCCAAAGGATTTAGATTCACATGCCGCTATCCCAACATTTTAATTATGGAAAATAGGCAAGCTTAATCCAATTATATGGTTAAATTATCGGCAATCAGCGCACTTGTAGAGATAAGCATGAGCTATCATGAGAACATTCCTCCCCTCATTCTTGCGGCAGAAAATTATTAGAGAGTAATATACACTGTCACATGCGGTTCCCGTTTCATCTACTTAAAAATTGCTTTATTTATAGGCATAGTTCCCCACTTACTTGTTAATTGGTTGGTGCTAAACTCGGACTTAATCATAACTTGCTATTAATTTTTATGTTTTGTGAGATGGACTTGGTACTATACTCGGACTTACTCTGATAATTTGCTATTAGTTAGAACACTCAAATGCGTTCCAATCTGTGTTAACCTTTTAGCAGCTATAACATTGCGGTGTCTGAATTTATGTTGTCTGTTTTAGACAATCATAAAGTATATTGTGATGCCTAAAAGAAACTAATGCCATTGTAACAGAGCAGTGGTTGTCTTGGATGCTATCAAAAGCCCGTGGCTATTAGCACAGTGGAAACGCCTTCCAAAGGGCTGGCAATGCAAGGTAAGGCTTTGAAGAAATCCAGTACATCGGAGGATTTCTGGACCACAAGCACACATGATATGGACAATAGTGCTTTTCTGTCACAAGGAAGCATCTCATCAACCAGTGCGACAAACCAAGTGCTAGATCCTCATGGTGCCTCTAGCAAAATCAGTAATCCCGCTGAATTTATAAATCATGGTATTTTTCCTTGCTTTTCTTATTATTCAGCTTGAGCTACTTTATTAAATTGTTTAGGATGCTTTGATATTGGTTTTGACCGAAACAAGTGATGAAAAAAGGACAATTTTATGCCTGCTGTAATTATTTTCTTTAAAATGAGTGTCAATAGCTAGAAGATGATATCTTTATAATTTAGTTACTTTCCTGTTTCCTCTAATCGGGCGACTGTGATTGTTTTTGTTTACTGCTTCCATTTTAGGTGTTTCCATGGCTATAAAATGCAATGTTGGGGATAAATGAAAGTTGATTTGTGTGACGTGATGATTAAGTCGAGCTTTTGCCAGCAGCTATACTTTTATCCTGGTTTCTTAATGCTTTCTGTCTACTTTTCTTTTTGGAAAAATGGATTCTTATGTGAGTCACTGTCATGCTTAATTAGCTATTCCAACCTAGAAAAAGGGGTATGCTTTGGTATGCTTAATTATTAAGCATACCCCTTTTTCTAGGTTGGAATAGCACTTTTCACATACTTCTTTTTAGCCACGTATCCTTCACATTCGAAGGGCTAAAGCGTTGCTTCCTTTTCCCTGTTCAAATGCTTTTGGTGACTGAATCTTTTATCTTAGTCTGATCCAAAATCGTCTTCTTATTACCGACCAGGTTTCATGGCATCTTTGGACAGTTCTGCATTTTCGCCCCCTAACAATCCCCTTGACTGTTTATATTCCCTTATTACCTTGTGTTTGTTGCGATTTTAGAGAATAAGAAGGGGGTGCAATGGTTATTTTTCTTGCTTGTTCATATAACTAGAAAATGAGCGTGGAAGAAGAGAATGCAAAACCAAAATTACTTGGGTTTTTTCTTGCAGGTCATATTCTTTGGACACAGACTCGGCAACGTTGGTTAAGAAATAATAGATCTTATTATCCGAACCAAACAAAACGGCAACAAGAACCCAGATTAAGGTAAATTACACAAAATTTTGTCATAGAAAGGCCAATGAACTTTATATTAAGCACGTAGCTAAATGGCAAGAAGGTCTTTATAAAATTGTACCTATAAGAAGAAAAGAGAAAACGACTCTTCTTATTTGAAATATATGGTGTGAAAGTATTCTCTTGCAGCGAAGTGGATCATGGCTGCCTTTCTGAAGGAGCCGAGCATATTATTTACATAATGTAGACTTCCCAAATGGCATATTTAGATCTTGTACATCATTATTTACATTGCAAAAATATTAGAGTCTGGTAAATAGCCTGATGAAATTTCTCTTTTGGGATCAAAATTCATAGATATATTTCTTGTTTCTTGTAAGCTGTATAGTCTGCTTGGGCTAACATTCATGTTAATGCAGTTCGAATGCAACATATGAAAGTTTACTGGGAAGCAACAAGCCATTCTCTCAGCCAATCCCTCTTTCAGTGAGCATCTAATTCTGAGCTATGAATGCAAATCAGTCAAAAGTTGTTTTTTTTCCCCTTTTGTTGACAGATTTCTCATATTAATTTGAACAGGAAATGGTAGATTTTCTGGTGGACGTCTGGGAACGAGATGGCCTTTATGATTGAGGCATGAAAGATTAGGGGAGTGCTGTTTGGTTAGAGTAGCTAAAGTAAATCTCAGTTTCTTGCTTCTGCAGAAAGAGAAGTTTGGGCATCCTCTGCAAAATTGTATTTATACCTGAATTAATTGATGACGGGAGGCAAGTTTTTCATCTATTCAATCCTTTTCTCTTGAAGTTTGCTGAGTAGCCATTGCCCCGCACAAACTGAAACTTTCAATAAGGACAGAACTGCATTGTCATAGAAAGTAATACGAGTGAAGTTCAAATTCATCATTTTCAACTTGAAAAGGATTTAGATCCTGTGCGCCAGCAGATGAACTTATGACAGTGTGATTATGCACTACTTTCTCTGTTCCATTTTATAAGACATTTTTGTTGATGATTTGGTATTTCAAAATATAATATATTTTGAAAACAATGAGATTTTCTTTTACTGAATTTCTTTCAATATTATCTCTCAATATTTCATTCCTAAACTGAATTTCTTTCTTTCTTTCTTTCTTATTAAAGAAAGGTATTTATGAAAATTTATAAAAAATTTAAGATTATAAATTATATTTAATAAATTTTATTAAAATTAGAAATATTTAATAAACTGAGACGAGTGCACAAAGCAAACACCCTCTGCCTCTAAATTATTTAGAAGAGTGGTTTCATTCTTTAATTGATAGAGATCGTGATATAAAAGTGAAACACACCAAGACCTAATGTGAATGCAGACTTGCTTATCCAAATTAAATTATTGGAAGAAAGCAAGTCAATGGCTGCAGAAATACAGCTGAGAATATAATCGATTTTTGGGCCAAAAATCGATTCTCCAAAAAATTACCCAAACACCCACTTTTTTGAAGAATTTATTTTCAGGCTAAAAATTGATTATTTTCAGAAGCTGAGAATTAGAGCTTCTGCGAAAAAGCTTGTCCAAAATATTGGGGAAAATTATAAAGACAGGCCCAAGTAAAAATTACAAAAAAAGCACATAATTTAATAAAAATAAAACCAAACTCTCTTCTTTTCTCCTTTTTTTTTCTTAATAAAATTTGAACTTTGCATCTTCAAAAATTGATATTTGGTATTTAAAAATTAAATTATATAGTAATTTATATAACTAAAATTGATTCTAATTAAATTATCCAAACATCTTTAATTCTGTTAAAATTAATTTTAAAAAAATAATATCCAAACAGATTGTGTTATAATATAATCAATTATGATTAAAATTTACCACTTAATCAATTATTTTTATAATTTATTATACTCAATTGAAATCCAAACGATCGATGCAGACTTGCTTATCCAAATTAAATTATTGGAAGAAAGCAAGTCAATGGCTGCAGAAATACAGCTGCGGGCCCGGCGGGCCCCATATTTGACCGCAGCCTTTGAACTTGTAATAGTCCCAGATATGTCAGGCAATAATAACAGTCTCACCCACCAAGGGTTTTTTTACAGTATAGCATAAGGTTTCTACTCATGCTAAATTAAGGTTGGAATTTTTGTTCGAATGGATATTTATATTTAATGCATAATTATGAGGGTATTTATATATTTAGTTTGGTTTAATTTTAAAAAAAAAATCAGACAGAATCAAATCAATTGATTCACTATAATTTCATACCTATTTAATTTTTTCTTTCAAATAGTTTGGTCCTGTTTTTGAGTAGTTTAATTTAGATTTAGATCAATTTTAAACTTTTTTAATGAGATATTCTTTGTAATCACCAATACATATTCATATTCAGTAATAATTTTTAACTATTAATTATTATTTGTAGTGAAAAAATCTATTGAACACAAAAGACTTGTGTCTTAACAATTAATTAGCATAATTAACTATTAAAAATTAATATACTATTTTTAAAACACTTGATTATAAAATTAAAAAATTATCTTAAAAACTACAAATAATATTTAGCTAATTGTAACTTGTTTTTATTAATGATTTACAAATAACTAAACTTGAAAAAGGAAAAAAGACTTTGACAAATTTATAAAAATACATATGATAAATGTAATAAAATTTAATTTGGTTTAGTTCAAATTTTCAAAAGCAAAAACCTGAGCTAAACTGAATCAATTAGTTTTTTTTTTTAAATAAAAACTAAACCAAACCTTATTTATTATTAGTTCATATCTGTTTGGTTCTATGTGACTGGTTTGTATTAATTTTGAACACCCTTATTTGACTCTATTTTGGATAGAATTATTTTTAATTAAAGAATACATGTAAACAATAAAAAAATTTTAAAAAACATAATTTTAAATCCCTACATGTTACTCGTTAGGTCTTTATATTTTTTTTTCAATGTTCTAGATATTTAAACTTTTGTTTTTAAGTATTTTATATTTTTTCATAAATTGTGTTATAGAGACCTATAATATTAAAAAATAAAAATTTAGAAATTTAAAATATAAAAAATAAAAATATATATAATAAAATTTAAACAAAATGCAGAAATTTAAAATTATGTTATTTAAAATAAAAATTACAGTTCCACTCCCCCCCCCCCCAAAGCATCGCAGACGGAACCCATCAATGTTTCTGTACATGATGTAACAATTTACATTTATGAGAAGGATAACTTAATTTTCAGATTCTGTACCATGCTAGCATAAATGGAAAAAAAAAAACACATGTTTTGTTCAAAAAGAACCAAAAAGAAAAAAAACATGCCTTGCTTATTCCAGATTCCAGAGAATAAAGAATGGAAAATGGAGCAGTAATATGAGGGTTGAAATGCAAACCTTTCCCTCTAAAAGTTTTTCCGGAAGAGTTATGAGAACGTAAAAAAAAAAAAAAAATGAAATCATGAAGCCGCATAAGACATAATTTGTCAACACCAACGTCATGTTATCCATTTTTAACGATAAATGTTAAGTCAATTATTAGTACAAGTGGTGATATTTTTTGGACTCATAACTGACATAATATTAAATGTTAAAAAATGCGAACAAATTTAAAACATCATCCATTGCCTGGCTCCACATTTTCTTTTTACGATGCATATAACTTCTTCAAATACTCTCAAGATAATAATGCGTATTAACCCTAAATAAAATCAGGAGTTACTTTACAATAGCATAACTGTAATTGAATATGATTATTTAGCATTACATTGCATGAGAAGTGTAAAAGCAAGGGGAAGAAGAAACTGGTTTGGATGTTCATCACATTAATGGGAGTTGAACTACCCAAATTGAATTTAAGGTGCCCTTTTTTATTGGTAGATTTGGACTTGAAATTTAAAATTTAAATTTTATTTTTCAAATCACATGTTAGAATTCATTTATTCAATTTTTTTTTGTTTCAGTAGTTTAAAAAAATTTAAATAAAAAAAGATAAGTTGAGATTTAAAATGAAAATGAAAAATTAAAAGTGATACATTTATCCATATTTTTCACATGATGAAAAATAAGGAAATATGTGAGACTTAGAGAGGCATTAATAGTAAAAATACTTGAAAAATAAGGTGTTTGAAGTGATTGAAATTTCAAATGGTAATGATATAAAAAAATTTTAAATTACAAAAGAAATATAATAAGAGATGGAAATTCAAAAAATTTTGCCTATCTAAAAGAGAAATCTGATTTAAATTTAAATTTAAATTTTCATTAATCTGATCATACCATAAATATTTTATATTTATAATTTATAATTTTTAATCGATTCAAATTTTGTTGGTAGTAGTGGGGGCTCATCAACTTATTGAAGCAGTTGGTGGTTCCAAGTTCGGTAGCAACATAATTTGGATGAGGAATCTATCATTTGCCCTCTTTACTTGAAAGAAGAAATCTATACGATAATTGAAATCTACTCTTTGCATTGGAAAAAATTATAACTGTTTATGGCACTATTAACATCTATCAACATCAACAGTGCTATTGCTTATGGAGGTATGATGAAGGATGAAAAAGACAATTAAATTAAAGAATTTTTCACATACTTGTGTTGCTGTCCTGATATGGCAATTGAGCTTGTGAAAATTTTTGAAAGTCTCAACTTTTGTTAGAATATTAAGCTTCACAAAATCAATATTTATGCTAATTTAATGAAAGCTTCATCCCTCATCGAGCATAATTATATTGGAAGACACTCATTTTCTAACATTATTAGAAAAATTAGAAATCTCACTATAAATTATTGAGTGATTACATTTGATTATGTTTATAAAAAAACTAACAAATGTGCTGACTTTCTTTCCTGTCAGCTTTCTTAAAATAATTTTGACAGTAGGATATTTTATTATCCTTCATCTAAATGTAAAAATCTTATAATTTTAGACATGATTTAATGTTTGTCTTCTTTGTATAGTTATGCTGTAATCTTGTATTAAAAAAATTATAATTTTAAAAAGATAAGTTTATTTTAAATTTTAGAGTAACAGTTAAAAATTATGTTTATTTAAAATTACAGAAAATCTTAAATTCTTAATCAGATTTGGATAGGCTGAAATCTGACCACTCAGGTGATAAGAAGAGCACCGAGAATTGGGCTTAGGGGAAGAGAAGAGCAGAGCAGAGCAGAGCAGAAACAGTGACAGAGGCGTACGGCAATGACGCCGACAAGATGATCCCAACAGTAACGAGCGTGGTGATGGTCGGAGCGAGACGTGGAAGAGAAGGTAAACTGTCATTTCATTACTGCAACAATCATCTTCCTCTCTCCTTCGTCCGTACGCATCTCACTCATCCTATTAGTAAAGTGTTCCCCTTCTTTTGGATCTTCCTTTTGCACTCACACGCTCTCCTATGTCCACAGGTTCTTACTTTACGTGGCTCTTCATTTGTTTACAAGCATCGTTAACATTTATGTCTCTGTTTGGTTTCCGGTGATCATACCAAATATCTTGCCATTGGATATCCATTATCAATGCAGTAACTGTTTGTATAGACTGTAGAGTTCAGTGACAGCAGAGATGAAGCTCCAAATTTTGCAGAAAAACGAAATACAGTGACTAGTACTACTTAATGTCTGCACAAAGTGATTCTTAGTTCTCACGTTGCTGCCTGATTCTTGAAAGTAACAAGGAATCAGTTTTATATAAGATTTAATTCACTAATATGAAGTTAGAGTTGAAAATAAGGGTCGAACTTGATGGGTCGTCCGTTTAAATTTGTTTTAATAAAGATTCGGGCTTAAAAATTTAGCATTTTTTAAGGTAATCGGGCTTCGAAACCCGGCCTTTTTAAATCCTAAAAAAATGGGCTCGGCCTGGGCGGCCCGTGAAACCCGTTTTACTATTCACAAAGTATTGTTTTCACCTCTTTTCAGATAATGTGCAAACATTGATTTATATTTTGTACCAGCAATTGGTTGAATTGTTTTGTGTCATTTTATAGTAATTTTTATATTTTATCTTGTGATATATGTATATATATATATTTGATAATAAAATAATTTAATTAATAATTATTGTAGGTGATGATGAAAAAGTTGTAGAAATAATTAATATTGAGCCTCCGCCTCCATCTTTTACAAGTGGACTTACATCTAAGGGTTTTAATATTTTATTTATGGATGATAACGAGGGAGATCTTAATTAGGATTGATGATGATATTTGCCTTCATCTTATTTGAACTTTTAAATTTTTTGTTCATTTTTTAAATTATGTGAGACTTTGGTTTGATATATGTTAAATTTTAAAATATTTTAAATAAATTTTAATGTTAAATTTTATTTTATTTTATTTTATTCTTATCCGGGCTTACGAGCCCAGCCCTGAGCCGTATGAATAAGAACCGAGCTTTAATTTTACGGTAAAATTGGGGTAACCGAGCTTTAGGGCCTAGGCCCATAAGGACCAAGCCCATATGGGCTAGGCCCGCCTGTTTACCAACTCTATATGAAATACTCTCTTTAATTTTATTTATAAATTATTTTTATTAACTCCATCAATATCAATACAATAAAGATATAAAGAATAAAAGTTAATAAAATTTTAAATATAATCCTTAAATAAAAATTAAATAAATAAATAAATAATATTAATTTTTTTGTTTTTCTCTTTTTTATTTTTTAAGAATAATTTAAATTTTAATTTAAAATAAAATAATTTTATTGATCAATAATTTATAAAATAAATTAAATTATATTTTTAAAAAATAATTAATATATAAGACTGGAAAAGTACTTTAAAAGTACTTCTAATGAGATTTGTCTGATCCTATCAAGGAGAGTACTGCTGAGGGAGAGAGGAAGAGAAAAAATGAGAGGTATCTTTTAAGTAAAAGTGATGAAATGAAAACTTGCCTTACGAAGTGTGTGCAAATAACAATGGTTAGCAAAAGTTTCCCTGGACGGTGCTTTTGACAGTCACATGAGATACAGCGAAGCGCCTGACTTCGTAGAAAGTTTACAGTAAATAAAGCAAGTTCACTGAGGTACTGCCATTTGTCATAAAGGATAGTACTGAAAACTACTATTTCCCATTTGTCTTTCATGCTTTCACCACCAAAAAAAAAAAAAAAAGCCATTGTCTTTCAAACTACACTGACTGCAATAAATTAACTGCTCTATCTTTCTCATCACTACCTCATAATTAATTTGACAAAAGGTTGTGACAATTTTGACCAACGACTATAAAGTCGTGTTCTATTATTTTGCAGATCTTTTAGGTCATGATATATAATATATATATATATTTACACCATTCACATAAGCCATATGTTTAAGCGATGAAGAATCCTTGAAATTCTTATGCACATATGCTACCAAATGTGGCTGAATTAGCAAGTTGAGGGGATATATAACAGTATGATTTGATGGGAAAGGTAAAAGAAAAGAGAGAAGAGAGATCAACTTGATGATCATCCCAAGGGATCATATTGTAATTGCCGAGCCAGTCACTGTTCAGCAACAATCCAAAGTCAGAAATCACCGTTTTCCCAGAAGGAGACTTTGTGTGATAATAAAGCTAACCCATTTTCACTGTTGTGTGATTATAGTAATGCATACTTCATTGGCGAAACAGCCATGGAATCAGAGCAGTGTCTCTTCCTTAGGAAACAACCCTCTACTTTCTCTAATACATTTAATAAGACCTCCTTCTCTTCTTCTTCTTCACCTCTCCATCAATCACATTTCAGATCACACTACACTTCTTTCACTGCTACACAATACTGAGATCTTCTCCCCCAAAACACCACCTCCACCAGCTTTCTTCACAGTAATTTACATTGATGGCTCATTCTCGCCCTCATCCAGCATCCACAGTTGCAATAATCACTGTGGCTTTCATCTTTTTCTTCACATTTCTACCTCACAAGTCAGGTAATTAAAAAAGCCACTCATGTCCTGTTTACTGGTTTAAAGACAAACACTGTTATTGAAATCTGAACTGCTGCGTGTTTCATGTGGTTCAAACCTTGATCATCCTTCACTGTGCTTTTGGCATTAATTAATGCAGGTGGTGGATCAGCAACAGTGTTGGGTTTGGAGGAAAGCAAGAAGGTGATAGGGTCGAGACCTCCAGCTTGTGTGAACAAGTGCAAGAAGTGTAGGCCATGCATGGCCACTTTGGTGGTTCCTCATCATCAGACAAATAAGGGTTTCAGTTTGCGAGGGGTGCCGCCTGGGGACGATGACCCTTATTACCTGCTCTCATGGAAATGCATGTGTGGGAATAAGCTCTTTCAACCATGAAAACTACTACTTCAACTTCGACGTTACGTTAATTAACGGAGCTTCTATATCTATGTTTTGCCGATGTTTATCTCTCTCTTACTTCTGAGTTGGCTTGTCCATTGCAGTGAGATATATATATATATATATATATAAATATACATATTCCATTCTATATAAGAACTCTTATATTATTTGCTCCTCCACCTCTTCCTCTTCTTACTATATTTTTTTAATGATTTTGCCAATACGCATGCAAGCTAAGAATACATACAGTTTTGGGTATGAACATGAAAGATTTCATGAATCCGGCAAAACATGGAGGCTAAGTTCTCGTATCATTTTTAACTGACTGAGGCAAATCATGCCATCTTGTCGTTATGATGATCAACAGGTTTACGTAACACCGAATATTCTTCATTTGGAAGTCAGGTGTGGACAAAACATGAATTGCTTGTGTGTCCTTAGTTGAAGGTAAGAGAGATAATACATAACAATAAACATCACTACTGAGTTTTGACGTGTATATCTCACAAGCCACAAGAAGTGGAATGCCAGCTCACGAGAGTGAATTGTAGTAGGATTAAATGTCATTTTTACTCTCAAATTTTTTGCATAGGGTCCGTAGGTGTCTGAACTGGATTTTGAGTCATTTTTGTTCTTAAATTCATGCATCAACCATTATCTATTTAGGTAAATACATTTTGTTGACCTTTTTTACTCATGTGGCATTTAAGTGGACTTATTTTAAGTTAAATGATCCAAAAAATTGATCAAAATGTCAAGTATCCTTAAAAGAATGTATCAAACGTGAAAATGACTCTATTAAATTTTGATTAGACATCCGCTTAAGTGTCATGCGGCCCAACAAAAGTCAACAAAAAGCGTTTAGCTCAGCAGATAACAATTAACAAGTAGTGCGCATTATAACATTTTTGTTATCCTGAAACACTTTAAAAATATTGTTATAAGGTTAAAACATGTTGTCTAAAAAAAATAGGTTATAGTTTTTAAGTGTTTATAATTTGAATATTGTCTATTATTTCAAACAACAGTTTTCTTATATTTGACCAAATCATTTGAAAAACTGTTACCTAAAATCAAGAAAATAGACAATAGTTTTTGAAAGACCTATTGCAACAATTTTAAAATGTTAATTATTACATAAAATAGGAAACATTTAAAAATTTTTGCAAAATAATTTAAAAACCTATATTTTCTTCTCTATATAGGATTCAAACCCTAAACCTCTCAAAAGAAAGGAATAACTCTAACCACTCTTTTAAATTGACTTACTAATATTATAATGCAAAATATTATATATATATATATATATATATAAAATTTTTAAATTAATTTTTTAATTTATCCAAATAATAAATTAAAAAATTAAGAAAATAAATAAATAAAAGTATATGTAAAAAGTATACAAATAAATTAAAAATAAATTTTTATGTACAAGAAAATTATAAGCAACAGTTTTAAAATTTTGCCGTTAAAGAACTTTTATAGGCAATTCAAAAATTTTATTTCAACACTTGAAAATTGTTACCTATTATAGTTTAGGAAATATTTTTTAAATATTGCCAAAATTATGTTGCTTAAAATAAGGGATTAATAGCAACATATAAAAAATGTTGCTTATGACCATATTAGGCAATATTTTTAGAACTGTTGCAAATAAAATTATTGTTTAAACCAAAAAATGTTATAGGATTTTAAGAGTTTAAAGATAAAAATAACCTAAAATTAAGTTTAGAACACCCCTAACCTACGTGGAAAGTTTAAGAGCAAAAATAACCACTGTAACATTTTTTCCCCCTCCCAAATGCAGCAGGAAATATTTTTTCAATCATATTGTGTATAAAACAATGTGGGCTTTTCTTTCATGGATGGGCGATGATCTTCATTTTTTGCCTTTTTCTTTGACACATTTGCGCATATTTTTTTTATTATTTAGAGGACGTTTATAACATGTCAAAACGAAAAATTATTCTAAGAATAATAAAAATTTTACTCCATTTAAAATTATTAATAACTTGACATATATATGTAGTTAAATGAAAAAAATTAGTGGTCAAATTAGTTTAATTTTTATTAATACAGTCTGTTTTGTTTTGTTTTTGTTTTTTTTTTCCAAACCTGTTTTTCTTTTACATAAATAATTATACTTCTTTTTATTTATCTATATGGCTATAATTAATATTTCATCATTCATGTCGATAAATTTAAATAGTGTTCTTTCTCTCTAAATAACAAGGACACAAATGAAAATTAAAGCAAACTTAAAGAACTAAAAATTTCATTATTCTCACTTTCAAAGGACCGCGCTTCTACTAAGTTTTTAATAATTGATAAACAATATTAAAACTTCATATTACTTAAAAAATGACTCAAATGATTTCAATTTCAACATAAGATAGAACCAAATTCCATATTTAAATAATTATAATTATAATTTGTGCGTGTGTATTCTAATATTCAATATAGTTATTAGTTATAAACTCTCCTTTTTGAAAAAACATTAAAAAAAAAACCGAATAGAGGTTTCAGAAGGGGAACGGTGTGGATGATTTTTTGCTTTTGGGATGGGAGTGGATGATCCAACTTTAGAGAGTCGGACCAAATCCAATTATGAAATAAAAATTATGAAATAAAAACCAATCGGGTCGAAAAGTTAGCCCATTATCCCCAAACACCATAAGTTAAGATTCCATATTGATGATTCCTTCTACATGTATATATATATACACATGTGTCCACACCAGAGTCAATAATCATTTCTTTTTCTTCGGTTTTTATTTTCGCTGTAACTGCCTCCAAATGGTTCTTCTCTCTTCCACGAAGCCAACCAACCTCCCTCCATTCTTCCTCTCTTTCTCTTCAATCTCTTCCTCCCATTTCTGCAATTCCTCTCTTTCATTTTCAACTATTCCTTCCTTCTCCTCCTTCGCAATCCGCTCTCACCTTCTACTTCACCCACTTTCTTCTTCTCATTCTATCGGAGTTAGCTCCGCCCTCTGCCGCTCCTCCCGTCCTGGCCGTCCACCGCCCCGCCGGGTCGATCCTCCTCCAGGAAATGATTCCAGACACCTTATAGGTTTGACTTCTCGCTTTTTTTTTTTTTGGGATTTCATGCCGGTTTAGGATTTTGTATTTGCGGAGAGATGAGAATTGCATGGTTTGACTTTGAGTTTGAGGTTGGGTTGTTATCCGATGAAATTAGTCATTGTATTTCATGCTCGTTTATGATTGTATTGGATTTTTGTAGCTAGTGTACTGGGCTACTGGTTGAAGTTGCTTCCAGCTGTAATTGAAAGGAATGAGTTGTAGCTATGGGGTTAGGCCAGTGAAATGATTTTGAATTCTTGAGATGGATGGAATATTGTGGATTTGAAAGTATTTTAGGGGGTCTTAAAGGGTTTATTGTGTAGTCTAAACAATTCTTAGATGAGAGACGTTTTTCTATGTAGAAAGGACTTCTTATTTTTTTTTTCCCCTGCGTCATTATTGACACCGCCATCAACAACTTAACAATCTTCACCTCTGAAGAGTGTAGATTGTAGTTGAATTATTTCTGTAGCCCCACTGTTCTTTAGGGCACGGCTACCTCTGTTGCTATTAACAGCCGGCTAGCCTACAAGTGAGCCCCTCACTTTCTGTTGTACTAATGTCACTCATAGTTATTTAGCAATGAACTTCTATATCATCATCATTTTTATTTTTATTTTTATTTTTTCCTTTTCTGGTTTGTAGTTTTTTCCTTTTTTATTCCATATCCGCGATTTAGACAAAGTGAATCATAGTCAAGGAATTGCATTATATTTTGGCCCCTTGGCTTTGGGTCATTAATGCCTTAGGTTGATAAGCTTTTCTCTGCGGGATTATCAGCATATGGACAGCTGAGATGACTAGCATACTGAGACTAAGGTAGCATGAATGCCTGATCTGTGGTATGAGATGCACTACAGGTTATTTAAGCCGATTGATTTATTAGTTGTTTGCTCATGCACACAGTCTCTGAGATTACAATGTAATAATGAGTCCCATTACAGTCAAGTTTTGAGAGCACGGTTCTTTTTTGAGCAAACTACGTGTAATCACCTTGAACTAAGCTTAATCATAAATTTGGTATAAAAACTTTAAAATATAACATAACATCAGTTTTGCTTTGTCAATTTGCAGATCGTTATATGCCTGTTCGGTTCAATGCCCATTGCACATGTGCAATGGTAATTAGTATTGCATTACTATTAGGACAGTGGTTAGCTTTTTAGGTGATCTCATGCTAATGACTATTACACATCATTACCGAATTGATGGTAGTGCTCATTTATATCTCTTCCCCTATGAATCTTACTTCATTACCATCTTTCCTTTCCAAAATGATATTAAAATTGCATTGCATCCCATTACATTGCATTGCATTTTTTCAAAAGAGTGAGGAGTTGAACCAAATGGGCCCTTAGTTTCCAATTGAGGATTTAAGAAAGTCTATCCAGCTGATAGTTTAAATAAGACTTTGGATCACAGAGGGATGTTCAAATTTAATTGAATTGGTATAACTGTCAGTTTGGAAAATGAGCATCTACGTTTTAAAATCTTTAGGTACCATAATTAGCCAAGAAGCAGTTACTTCATCGTGCAATTTCTGTTTTTTCTAAAAAAAAAAGAAAAGAAAAGAAAAGAAAAGAAAAAGATCCCAGATCTATCATCTGGTGTTGCTTTGAGTTATAAACTATAAATATTGTTTGTTTTGCACACCCTCTTGTTAATGTCGTCTCGTTTGACAACTATTACTGTAACTTGTCTTGATGTTTCTTCCATTGCTCTCTTCTCTCAAGTATCAACAGTGATGACATGGCTGGCATAATGCTTTGCTGTGTAATGCATGCCTGCATAAATCTGGAGCTTATAGTGTAAGCTTAGGCGGAATGATTCTGTGCTCATGAACATTGGCTTTAAAAAAAGATAACATAATTTGCAACTTGTATCAATTTTGTTTCGTTCATGTTGTTTCTGCTTCCGCAGCAAGATACATTTTTTTTTCTGGTACTGATGGGGATTTCTGAACTTACTTGAGGAACAGGTTTTGCTGGGGCTTTAGTGAGATTGCAAGATAGAGTACGGATATTCTTTGCTGTGCTTTTCTGGATGTCTCTGTTCTTTTGGGCTTCTGCATGGGATGGGAGGAATAGACCAAACAAGGGATCAAGATTTAAAAAGATGAAGTAGTGAGCATATAAGACTGTACGCGCCTAAGTATATAACAACTCATCGCTTACGGCATAGATCTAATATACAGTAGTATATCAATCAACACGGGAAAGAATTCAAATGAGAGGAATGGATGTTCTGATGCTTAATAAACTTTCCAGATTCATATGTATATGTCCTGCGCGCTGCTTAAATTACTCTCAGTCAAATTATTCATGAGCAGTCATTCTGGGTTTCTTTTCTTCCTCAGTGCTGTATTTCATGAGATTGCCGGGAATCTAAATCCATGCTTCACCCACATTTCTTTTGATGCAGTCAGTCATTTCTCCAAATGATGCGTTTTATTTTTCTTTTTTACATTTCTTTTTCTTCACAGAGATTAAAGATTTTAACTAGATATTGGCATATTCGATGTCAGTGGTGTGACTTTAAAGGTGTAATTTTTGGGTTTTGATTTCTGGTACAAGAAGCTGAAAAGATTAATATATATATATATATATATGATCTTTTTCAGTTATATACAATATTTAATAATGGAATGCTTAGGTTCTAGATCTGGTCACTGGGTTTTGTTGTGAAAGCTATATGCAATTACAGTTTACAAACCTTTCATTCCTACTCTTTCCAGGTGTTGGACATGTTTCCCATGTGGAATTCACTTAATTAGGTAGTTAGCATAGTGAAAGTCTAAATCCAAAGGATAATAGAGAGCCATCTTGATGAGAAGCCTAATAATATCGCGATTTGTCTCTTTCGCAATCTCTAAGAAGCGCTAATCCCTTGGATTTCTATTACAATGCCTCTGATGGGGTTAAAAATGGAAAGAGCCGAGAGGTCATGTCTGGTAAAGTTTTGGTTAAATTGATTTGAACCTACAAATAGGCTTAAATTTAAACCTGAAAAGGACCTTAGTTTGGGCCCAAGCTTGTAGATATACATGATTTAAATAGGTTTTGATTTTATCAGAAGTTGCAAGTATACTATATGCATTTATGCGGGTGTGTATATTCATATTTATGCATTTATATTTATATGTACTCCTACTCTTTCTAGTTCTAATTATAGACTAAAGTAAACTAATTCCATGATTCTTAAGGAATGATATAAATTTGTAAGAAAATGTTTGATTTTTTAATTTTTATACTTATCTGAAATTAATAACTACAATAACACGTGTTTAAGAATTGCAATGTGATATAACTAAAAAGGGTAATATTGTGAAAAAATTAACTACTATATCTCCATTCTATATTTAGAATCGAGTATATTTATATAAATAGACTAGCATATCAATCTCATATGTCAGATTTTATGTAAATAGGCCAAAATCAGAAATCAGAAACCAGATCATCGGATATCGGAGCCTATTTTGCACCAAACGGTAACTATGAGATCTCTATGAAGTGAAATTTATTTATTTATTTTTCTTTCTTTGTACCGCAGTTTTTAAACTGTTGAGCATCATGAATTGAACAAAATAGGATAAAGAACATTGAATGGAAATGATACACCTCTCAAGGGTGGCTATGATGCATTCTGATAAGGTTAGATATTAATATTATTATTACTCCTCATAAATTAAACCAGGTGACACAAGAATATTTGATTGTGAAGGTGATACTCCCTTTATTAAAAAATAAAAGTATTTTTAATTGAATTTCATTCCTAATAAAATAATTATTTACTTTTAAATTAATATTATTTTTTTATATGTATTTATATTAAACATCCTACAATAAATATAAAATTATTATTAATAAAAATATTTTTTAACAGTATAATGATTATATCTTAAAATTTTTTAAATATTTAATTTTTTAAAAAATGTTTTATTTCTTCAAATCAAGGGAGCATATAATAAGGTAAGTTGAGATCAAGGATTGAAATGAATGAAGAAAGAGTGCGCATACAGGCTAATGATGGGACATCTGGATCCTCTCACACCACTTTCCCTCACTATTTCCTTCTTGGATTATTGGCCTTTATCATGCCTCCTTCTCTACACCCCCTTTTTCACGTCTAGATTTTTCTACACTCAGCTCCCATCTTCACCTCTCACTGGATATGATATTTTATTTTATTTTACCTTTGCACTCAATATTGTTCTCTCCAAGTTTATTCATAATAAACTGTATATGTTTTTAAAAAATTTATTAATTATTTTTTTGTTAGATCCACGTATATCTATTTTAATCGCCTTGCTTCACTCTTCCTCTTTTTTATAATAAAAAATTTAATTGACTTGAGTGGGACCCATCAGCATGCCTTCAAAACGTTTATAGAAATACTTACAGATTCACTAACAAAATTTTTATATCAATAATAAAATTTATTCTATGACCTTATAGATAACGGGTTTAATTTTTGCTAACTGAACTAATTTTTATTGATTGCTTCACCATCATTCACGTAGCTACCAAAGCAATGTGATTAACCAATTTATATACAAATTGAATAGAATTTACTATCACAAATTAGCCTAGTTTGTAATGATTTGGTTCATAAGTCATAAGGATGTGTTCAAATTTTAGTACTAATGTGAATATTTTGTTAGTGGATAATCTGTAAATATTTTTATAAATGTTCTTTGAATTTGAAGACAAGTCTTGACTTTAATAAATTTATAGGACCTAATTCAATTAAACTTTTAATTATATATATATATATATATAGTCACATTAACTTTTTAAACCTTGATGAGTCATTAGGATCTAGCTTGCATAATTGTTTTATAAAAAAAATTGAATAGAATTCGATAGACTGAATATATATTTTTTATTTTTGTGCAAAGTAAATATAATTTTTCCTCATACTTTTGTGTTTTTTTCATAGACCTCATATTTGTTGTCCTTTTGTTATTATTTGTTCTCATGTATATTTTTTGAATTGCCCGCATGTTTTCTTATCAAAAGCAATTATATTTAAAATAAGGTAGAGTATTAAATGTGAAATATTTTTTAATAGAAATTCAAAATTCAGTTTGTCGCATTGTAATAAACTAAACCCTTCTGTTGGATATAATTTTTTGCTAATTGTTTTCGTGTATTTTTATCTTACCGGTCACATATTATTAGAAATGAATTCCTACTCTAATTATTTTAAGTTTTTAACCATACAAAACTTTTCGCCCCCGTATTTTCATTCATAAATCCCATCTATCTTCCCCGGGTTTCACAGGCTTTAAATCTGTGCACAAAAGGCATCTTTAAAAAAAAAAAAAAACAAGAAGAAGAAGAAGTAATAAAAAGAGAGAAGTACAGTAACCAAATTTATGAATTTGTTAATTATTTCCATAATCTTTTTATCTCTATGGTCACCAATCCAGGGGCACGGTGAACATTTATATGGCCATGACGAAGGTCAGGATTGAAAGAATTTAAATCATCCAACACAAATATGGCCTTATACTATGCTAGTCAATGCTTCATAGACAGATAAAAATACACGAATGCGTAATTAGAGGTGACAACGTACAGTATAAGATATTTTCCGACATCTTCATTCGGTCATTCCATTTATCTTTGATGATCCTTCCTGGAAGTGGAAGTGGTACCTGCAGTAAAACTACTGAAACATGAAGTACCATCCAGGATGTCTCTCTTTAACTTGGTTTAAAATGCATCAAATGAAAGAGAGAACATACCCTATGCCTAAAAAATATCTCGAATTGGTCATCACTCTCATCAGTAAAATAAAAATCTGCTACAGCAAACCCCATGCAGCTATGAAAGATGGACACCGGAACGTGTTCGTCCAAGCAAATTTCGACGCATGGTAGGTTTCTATTGGTCCAGAATGAGGCGAAAGGCCAGAAAATGATGCCACCATCGTGTCGCTTCTTACGGGAAATTCGTGGCCGTTCAATTCTCTGCAGCTTGACAATGGCTCAAGTGTGGGAACGACGCAGTGGGCCCCACTCTCTCCCACGTATCCTCCTCACAATGACCGCCATCTTCTATATATAGCCACCCTCTGTGTTTATCTCTCTGTCCCTGGTGACGGACGAGATCATTCATGTAAATGTACGGTTTCACCAAGCTTTCACCTTCCTTGCTTCTCTTCTCTATTCTCTACTCTACCTAGTTGAGTAGTTTTTCCTTTCATATATATATATATATATATATATTTTCTCTACAAGCCTTCTTTTTCAACTTGTGGTCATGCTGCTGCGAAGCTCCTCTGCTCCGATTCCGAGTTCATGGATACCTCATTCCCCAGAATCAGAATTGATTTTCTTGCATCCTAGAATGAAATCATCAGTCGTGTGTCTAAGCCATCCCTTATCTGAGATAGACCCTCGCAGCTCAAGGTCGAAGAAGAAAAACTGTTCACAGCCTAATAACGTTCGTAGGAATCCAGAGAGAGCCAAGATCAAGGAATGTGACCAAGTAAAAGAAGAACCAGGGCAAGAAACTTCACCTTTTTCAGTCCGAGAACTGTTTTCATGCTGTGGTTTGGATGAGGTAGTGATGGATGCTGATGTGAGAAAGAAAGATGGTAAGGTGCATACTTTGGTGATGGGTGGTGGAGGAAAAGGCTCTGATGGTGGACATGGAAATCTGTGGGATTACTCTGAAGGTAGTAATCATGGGAGAGAGAATACTAATGCTTATTATCAGAAGATGATTAAGGAAAACCCTGATAATGCTCTTTTGCTCGGAAATTATGCACGCTTCTTGAAAGAGGTGAGCTTGATATCACAGTAAGAATATTCAAGATTACATATCATGGAATTTTTTTCTGAGAGTTCTTCTAATATTCAATTTGCAAACAGGTTTGTGAAGATTATCCTAAAGCAGAGGAGTATCTAGAGAGAGCCATTTTGGCTAATCCAAGTGATGGTAATGTTCTGTCACTCTATGCGGATCTAATATGGCAAACACAGAAGAGTGCTGATCGAGCTGAAGGATATTTTGATCAAGCTGTTAAAAGTGCTCCAGATGATTGGTAAGTAGAAATCAGCCTCCCTTGTGGAGTAACTTTTCATTTATGATGAATATATTATACACTGTAGATCCTATTTCCTGATAGATGCTGATGCATTTGTTCAGGTGGTGTAAGCTTACTTTATAAGATGCTTTTTTTCCCACATTCTGTGAACATGTTAGATATGAAGCCCAGCCCCTTCGTCTTTAGAACACTGAATTGTTACTCCTTAATTGTCTAAAGAAGTTGCTTTCCTCTCTTGCTTCCTGTTTGTGTTGTCTTGTTCTCTCTTGGTTGTTGAAAAACTATTGAACAAGCCTTAAAGTCTGCAGCTATGTTCTGGCCTCACATGCTAAATTCCTTTGGGATGCTGAGGGAGATGGAGAAGATGAAGAATCAGATTACAGCCATGCAAATCCACCAGATCCATTCCAGAGATCTAACCATCACTCTCGTTTGCCTGCAGCCTCATAGCCTTTTACTCACCGCTGTCTCATATTTCAGGAAATTAACTTGCGAGACAGATAATGGAGTCTTTAATCTCTGGGAGAAGGACACAACTTGTGGTTTTTTAGGTCTTGCTATCAAATTTTCCACTGAAAACACGACAAATTCGTCCATGTTTTCATATGTTAGAACTTGATAGCAAACATCTAAGGAACTTACAAGTCTAGTCCTCCTAAAATGAGCAAGGTTTGAAAAAAAACAGACTGTATCACTATGCAGTATGTAAATAGCTGAGGCCAAGTAACAATTAGCAGCTTTCAGTACCACTTGTGTGCCAATCAGGTTTCAACTGATGTATCTTCTGAGCATATCAAATTTTGGTATGTACAAAGGAATAGAGAGCTGTGGTTTATACTTCTGCAACCATATGAATTTGTTTTGGTATTCATTACTAAGTAAGTGGTGCAACTGAAATTAATTATGATATTACATGCTTCTAAATAATATTTCTAAAATGGCTAGAATGTCTAAGCATATAACCTTTTTTTGTGTGATTTGAATTTGGTGCAAACTTTAACCTCTATGTTCATATAATATTCCAAGTGTGCGAGAGCTTTGAACAACTAGCAATCACATCGCTCGAATGTTGGTGGGGCTTAAGACATATGGCCTTTTTTGTCTCTTCACGATGGTCCCTATTTTGTGGCTATTTGAATGTATCCATCATTCATTGTATTTGTCTCTTGCTTTCTTTAACTGTTCGTGGTATGTTTGCTCAAAAAAAGAAAAGCCTGTTACTGGTAAGGTGATATCAAGTGTTCAATGTCTTATCGGATATTGATGATAAATATTGTCATTATTCATCCACCATTCGTCCAATATAGCGACTCCGACGACTACTGAAGTTACTGGTACTTTTAAACTAATTTCCCATTTCACTCAAATCTTTTTTACCTGAAACTCTATCACAAAGATCTAAAATTTGAATTGAACCAGCTTATCTCTTTTCTATTATTTGCTTGTGCCAATATAAAAGAAAAAAAAATCTATCACCACATAGGCTTGAAGCGCATGCAAACCTTCTTATATTCTTGTACAGCAACATTGAGTACATGTTTATAGTTAATGAGTAATGACCACGTTTTTTCATCTGGGTCCTGACAACTGAACACAAGATAGGGGTACATTACCGTAAAAGGAGGCCTGTGTGGATGAAGAAGCTTGTTCACTACCCATTTTTAGGAATGATGAATAAGAACTTGAAGTGGATAATGATGGGGGCTCAGGTACAGGGATAACACCTTCAAGCATTTGAACAACCTTGGTCATGGGAGGCCTTAAACTCATGTCATCTTGTATGCACCATAGAGCAACTTTCACTGCAGTGGAAGCTCTTTCATCATTCTCATCAATGTCAATCATTGGATCAAGAACTTGCTTGAGTTTTCTTTCGTCCATCATCCTGAAGGCGTAAGAAGGAAAATGAGCTTTCTCTGAGCCTTCCCATTGATCATAATTCCTCCTTCCTCCAATAATCTCAAGCAGGACCATCCCGTAGCTGTACACGTCACTCTTTTCCGAAATTGCATAGTTGGTGATCCATTCTGGTGCTAGATACCCTCTTGTTCCCCTTAGTGTTGTGAAGACATGGCTTTGTTCACGGCTCATGAGCTTAGCCAAACCGAAGTCTGAAACTTTAGCTGTGAAGTTTTCATCAAGAAGGACATTCTCTGGTTTGATATCACAGTGTATGATCTTCACCTCACACTCCTCATGAAGATAGGCCAGTCCCCTTGCTGTACCTAATGCAATGTTGAATCTGGTATTCCAATTCAGTAAGAAAGCATTTTCATGGCTTTTAAAGATCCATCTGTTCAGAGAACCTCTTGCCATGTATTCATACACAAGAAGGCGATGAGGGCCTTCGGCACAGAAGCCCTTCAGCTTCACCAGATGAACATGGTGAATACTTCCAATGCTGGAAACTTCAGCTTTGAACTCTTTGGCTCCTTGTCCTAGTCCTTCCAGTTTCTTCACAGCCAATTGAGATCTATCTTCAAGCACTCCTAGGTAAACTGAGCCAAACCCTCCTTCACCAATTTTTGTAGAGAAATTCTTGGTGGCTTTACTTAGAGTACTATAACTAAAACGAGTTGGCATACCATGAAGACTGTCCAAGAAATCCTCCTCCTCTAACGTTTCTAGAGAATCCTTCAAGAGATGCTTATTTTTGGTGTAGTGCCAGAACCCCAGCACTAGTCCAATAATTACCAGAATTGTGAAACTAACTACAACAGCGACCAATAGAGTTGGATTCTTTCCTTTTCTTCCATATCCATCTTCAATAGAGATCTTCATAAATGAAACATAGCCTCCAGAATTTGCCTTAGAGCGTTGGAAGCTTCCTGTCTGATCAAAATGGTAGCACTTTCCAGTACTGTTGTCAAAGAAAAGCACAAGGCAAGAGCAGTTTCTTAAGCAACCTTCTTTGCAAGCGCTCAGGGTTGATTTAGAAACTGGTTGAACATACTTGAGGACAAGGTAATCGAGCTTTTCACCGACATATAGAAGGTCTTCTCGGGTTTGAGAACACGACGTGGTGATTGGAGGCTTGCAATTGAAACGAGATTTGAGAAGTGCAGGACATTCACACCAGTTCTCAAAGAAGCAAACATAATAAGGATCACATGGCCCAGCAATGCCACAAGGATCTTGTGGTATTCTAGTTGCTTCAGGGGTAACAGATTTTCCCTTGTTAAGATCATAAAAAGAGATTGCACCATTAGGATCTAATATACCCGCCCACATCGCCTGAGGATCAGATTTATCAGAGAAGATAGATTGCCATTTTAAATCTCCACCTTTGTCATAAAAATTCCAAGAATTTGAAACCAAAGAAGCAGAATGGAAATGAACCCCCTTACTGACATTGCTTTCACTTGAAAGGGACCAATAAATCTGATGAGGTTCATATCCAGCACACAGAACCAAGTCACCAGACATAAAGGTCAGATAACTAAATAAGTTATTACGAGGGAAGCTTTTGAGACTCATTCCTTCAACAAAAAGTTGACCAGGCAATAGGGTATCAGTAGGATGGCTAAAACTCTGCCAAATAACTCTTCCATCTTCACCAATCAATACCAAATTACCTGAATCTTTCAGTTCCATAGCTCTGACTTTACGACCTGTTGTGTTTGTTGCCCAAACCACACCACCCCCTTTTTCCAAATATGCATTCCCAGTATTGTCAAACACAAATTTATCAGAGTTTCTTACCAGTAAGCCTCTGTTAGCAGTCCAAACCACTTTATAGCTTTTCAAGTGAATGACAACTAAAACAAACAAGGAAACGTCGAGGGTACCGAAAAATCCAAACGCGAAAACTGAGTTGTTGGATAGTAAGAACAATCCACTGTGGTCATTCCAGTCCAGCTGAGATGCCTCGAATCCGGGATAAATCTGGCTTATGTGTTGTTGATGGTCCGCCGAACACAGTCTCATCAGAAAAAACACACAGATAAACAAGGTTCCACATCTGTATAAGTTCATGTTTCTCTAACTGCATCAAAGTTCTAGGTTTGACTAAATAAATCAAAAGGGAATTTGGAAGTTCAGAGTAAATCAATAATATTGCCAGCCAAGACAAGAAAAGTATGAGCGAGAGAGACTAACAAAAAGGGAGGGACATTTTTAAGAAAAAAATATGGCACTATTTGTGCTGAGGAAGTCAAGAAGATGTTATAGATTGAGATGCCCATTAAAGATGGGAAATATAGATTTTGGAGAGATAGGGACCATGTGGTTCAAGCATTTCCCATTCAGTTGAAGACATGACGTTTAATTGAGACTACAGATAAGAAGAGTAAGAGAAATCGTACCACGAAGGAAGAAGGGGAAATGGAGGCGAGAAACTTGCAGAGAATGAAGAGTTCTATGTAACTTTACGTGAGGAATGAGGAAGAAGTTCCCATCTTCCCCTTTGTGGTGTAGGACTGTGCGTGCTCCCTCCCGTTCTTGCTATAACCCATCTTTGATAAGAGATTGATCGTGCTTAATGCCAAGCACGTAGTATTTCAATATTATTTTTATTTAATTTGACAATTATAAAATAAAATATAATTTAAATTTAATTTTTTTCATTTAAATATGATTAAAATTGAAATTTCTTTATGTACAAAATCAATAATCATCTCACGTTGATTCTGATGATGAGGTGATTAAAATTGTTTTGAGTGTTTGTTTGTTTTAAAAAAATGTTATTAAATGTTGAAATATTTTATATTAAAATATATATATTTAATAAGGATAAAATTAAAAAACTTATTGAAGTGCTAAACATTTTTAATAAGATCTATGATTTTCCTTAATTATGATAAAATATATTAAAAGTGACTTATAAATAATATTAGATAGAATATTATATACTTCCTCTAATATCTATTATAGGGTACCTTTTAAAAAGATTCTTTTATTTTTAATACTAGTAAAAGGTATTTGATGGAATAATAATTATATTTATGTAATATTACTCTTATTTAAATTCATTAACTATGTAAAAAAGTGTGATGCATGCAAGTTAAAAAAAATAATTTTAAATAGGAATAAAATTAAAAATTTATCCTATTTTCAAACAAAGTTAATGATTTAACTATTTTTTGTTAATTTTATTAAAATTATCTCAAGGGAAATTATTTAGGTTATTAAATATGATACAACTTTAAATTTTTTTCCGAAAATGTCCATATTAAAATGTTTAATATAGTGACTTATTAATGACATTAACTTAATAATTCAAATATAATGAAATAATAGTTGGACTTAATTACAATAAATGAGTAAACATTACACAAAGGTATTTAAGGGAAAAAATCAATTTAGAACTCAATAAAAAAAAATCACCATAAACAAGTTTTCTTATCACATTGACAACTAAGGAAGGAAGTAGAAGTGGGAATATGAATCAACTCAACCCATATGGGTTGGCCTAAATGGGTTGGGTTGGGTTGGATTCAATCTCTCTTTATATGAGTTGAAAAATTTTAATCCAACTTAACCCTTGAGGTTTGTGGGTTAAATGGATCAACTTACCAACTTATTTTTTTAATTTATTTTTTATGAATTTTTTTAAAAAAAATATACTTAAATAATAAGTTTTAATTTGATATTTCTTTATGATTCATTCCAAATATATTGAAATATTAATTTATAATAATTGTATAAAACATATAAATTAATACAATAAGTAAATCATGCCTAATATGATTCATATTCACAAAATTTTTTTTTTTAATTTTTTTTAAAATAATATAGGTTAAATAGGCCAACCTTAATCCATCAATTTTAACTCATATAGTTTATGAGTTATATGGTCTAGATCACAAAAAAATTATTTTTATTTAGATTAATTTTTTTTTAACTCAACTCAACTCTTATAACTAATTATTCAAGTTAATTCATATAATCTGACTCATATTTCCGGTTTTGGAAGCAAGAATTGAAATGCGGTGTGATTAATGAGCGAAGGCCGTCACATTTACGTTTAGCAATTGGTTCCAGCTGTCACCAACCCCCATTTATGAGACTTCAGAGTCAAAGGGGTACACTCCACACCACAACCATTGGTCATATAACATCGACGGAGAAACCAAAGTTTGACTCTTCTAATTAACTACTAAATTCTCGGTGATAATATAATTTTTAGTCACTAAATTCTCTCTCAATTTTCTTTAACTTTTTTAATATTTTCTAGGTGAATGCATACAATCAATGCAGACAGTTTCTAAGATAAATAATTAAAATGGAGTATTGTAACAAAACCAGATGACTGATGAAACATTTGGGAGGAAGAATTGCACATTTGAAAATCAAACTTCAATAATCATTAGTGCAGATTTATGAAGATTTCTTAAAGCTCATCAATTACAAATTTTGAAATCTTCCGTGATTTTTAAAAAATTGTTACCAAGTCCAAGTTTTTCAATCATTTAGTGGTTGTTTGAAATTTTTTCCTTTAAAATTATACTCAAGCACCGGCATATGTATGCGTGTAATTAAGATGCAATCAGCAATTTCAATTAAAACAATGAGAATGAATTGTTTGACATTAGGCATATAAAAGCAATGTTATGAAAATTGAACTAGAGCAATTAGTTGAATTGAAAATTGATCCTAAATCTAGTTCGATTGCAACAGAATACCTCTTATTTTGAGAACCAATTGAACCAATGAAAACTAAAAAAACTGATGAGCAAACAAGTTGAACTGGTCCTTTTTTTAATTATTTTTAATTTTTAAAAATTTAATTAATATTTATAATGTACAATTTATACATATTTATACTTCATAAGCATGGATAAATGTAGAAGAATGGATGAAAATGCAAAAAAAAAAATATGTATATAATATGTGTATATGTATATGCTTTAAAGTTATAGATTATAAAATAAGTATATATATTTTGGATATGGTAAAAATGATAAAATATATTTAACAAAAAATGATGGAATATTAATGGGTATTACCTTTTTTCATTTATTATTATATATGATTATTTATTTTATTTTAATCATATATTATTTAAAATACATTAATTTATTTATGATTGGTTAAACCATAATTTGACTATTGAACTATAAATCAGTATGTCTTTCGATCTAATGATCAGTCTAGTTTTTTTAAAATTGTATGAAAGTAAACATACAAAATTTTCCTTAAAATAAAAAAAATTGTAAACAAATCATGCATATTCTTAATTTACGTAAAGGCAGAAAATTTAAATAATATCTATGACTAAATCTATTTTAAATTTTAATTTCCAATATATGTAATCATGCCAGTGCGAGTGGGTGTTGACTTGGTTTCGCTTCCTCGCCCGGCATGGCACTCCTTTAGTTTTTTTGTCAAACTCGGCTGAAAATATGTATGTTATAGCAGTGCTTGACTTGTCAAACTTGAATTGCACCACTTTGGACTTTTCCGTCACGCGTTCCTTGTTATTGGAGCACTTTAAAGAAATACGAAGACAAAAGGAACAATTTAGGGTCTGTTTGGATGCTCTTTAAATTAATTCTAGGATTAAAATTATAGTTTTGCAAAAATTTATCCCAACATCTTCATTTTATAAAACTTCATTTGGCTTGTGAAATTTCATCTTGAAGAAGTTGAAATTTCTTTCATTTATAAAACTTCATTTGGTTCCTTTTCTTTATATTATTTATTTATACATTTAAAATTAATTCTCAGTAAATCATTCAAACATTTTTAATTTATCAAAATCAATTTTTAAAAATTTATCCCAACACCATTACATTCTAATAATTAATTTTTTTATAATCAATTTTTTTCAATTGAAATTGAAACTCACCCATTTATTTCTTGCTGTTATATTTATAAAATAAAGAAAGATTTTTTTATATTTATAAATCACATTATTAAAACTTTTGCACAAGTTCTCCTTTTTACCCTCCATTAAATAATAGTAAGAGAATATATATATATATATATATATATGTATGTATGTATGCATGCATGCATGCATGCATGCATGTATTAAAATATCTATATTTAATAGAGGATAAAGTTGTAACATTATTAAATTTTTAGACCGTGTTAATAAGTTTTAAGATTTCTTTAATTTTAATAAATTATATTAAAAATAATTTATAAATAAGACTAGATAAATATTCTTTTTAAAATATTTATTGAAGTGATGAACTTAATTCTTGAATGGTATTGAGATAAAGATTTATTCTCCTAATATATATTATCTATTAAGGTTTATTCTATTGGGATTTAGGTAATATTTTGTATTCATTAGATATTATTAAAATATTCATTAGTTATTATTATGTCCCACCATGCTTCTTCCGGTCTTTATTATAGGATATTTTTAGCCATTTCATTAATTTTAAAAAAATTATTTTTTTATGTTATAAAAAATAAGATATACCTCTCCATATCATAATATATGGCATTAGTAATTAATTCACTATTATAAAAAATATATTAGTTGAAACGTACATTTTTTAAATTTTTTACATATTTTCAGTTATACTATTACTCCTTCCGTCTCAAATTATAAAACACTTTTAGGCAAGATTTAGCATCCCAAAATATAAGACACTTTGATAAAAATAAGGTTTCATTAATTATAATTTTTTAATATTACCCTTCTCATATATTCTCTCTCTTTAATATTCTTTCATTAATGAAATATTAAATAAATAATATTTTTAAAAATTTATATTTTTGTCTTGAAAAAGTAAGGTTGTAAAGTGTATTTAATAAGCTTTATTGATATATAAAATTTTATCTAAAAGTATCTTATAATTTGAGACGAATAGAGTATTAAATATCCTCATAAATGTCTTAGTAATAATAATTAAAATTTGAATGTATCATTTTTTCAAAAAAGAGTAATAAATAAAGTTGGGGTATAGTTGAAAAATTAATTATGAAAGTTATTTAATACGTTATATTTTGGACTAAGCAAAATTTTTTAAAAATGCCCTATATTGTGATACAAAGGGAGTACTTTTTTTTTTGTCATTGACTCTAATAATGATATAATTACATTAAATATTTTTACATTAATCAAAAAGGATAAATTTAAAAAATGTTGTTTATATATTACAAGGTATCCTACATTTTAAACTAAAAATTATTTTTAAAATGTGTCTTACAATAGGACTAGAGAAAATATATTGAAAACCTTTCATATTAACAGAGATCAACACTTTTTAAGTTTTCTTCATTTCTCTTTTGACTTCTTTTAAATGATACTCTTTTTAGTTCAAAATATAAATATTTTTTTAAAAAATTACATACCAATAAAGTATTCATTCTCAGTAAAATATATATTTCTTTCCTATTATATCTTTAATCTCAATTATCAATGTATTTTATGATGAGTGAGAGATGAATTTACATATAAATTTGAGTTAATAAATACAAAAAGTAACATGAAATATTTTTTTTATATTTACTAAATTACTTATATTTTAAATCAAGATTAATATGAAGAAAA